GTGGGGTACTGCTAGCAATAGCAACATAGAGATTCTTGAAAGATTTCAAAGCAAGACTTTAAGAGCCATGCTGGATATACCCTACTATGTGAGCAACAAATATATACACGAGGACCTAAAGATCACTACCGTCAAACAAGAAATCGCTAGATATAGTGAAAGCTATCAGACGAGAATATCAACTCACGTCAACGAATTAGCATCCAAACTGGAAGGCAAAGGGAGTATTGTATATTCCCGATTGAAACGGCATAGTGTCCCTACACTAACCGTGAGATTTGGTGACACCAGATGAAACGTACTCTTATGAATACCTTCTGCTAAAATACATAGATCAAGATACCTCATCTGAATGGCTTATTGTGTTAACACAGATTGCCAAGTTACAGAATTCAAAAAAAAAAAAAAAAAATTATGTATATTGAACTAATTGCTATATTGGAGGCATTAGTGTAGATTAAATCTATGGACTACAAATTTTTGTAATTTTGACTGACTCAAAAAGTTCCCTACAACACGTGGCTCGTATTACCACTTCTTTAAGAGGGTCACCGATCGCCTACAAAATCCTTAAATTATTATTGTAATTAAAATCTAACTCTATAGAAGTCATCTTGCAATGGATCCCTTCTCATATTGGCTTGGTGGGAAATGAAACAGTCGACAGAATAGCGAAAGAAACTTCAAGCGATGGCGAACCTTTACATGTTTTACCAGTATTCTCTGATTGCATTTATTTAATTAAAGTTTATTGTCATGAGTAGTGGAAGGTACACTTCGATAAGAGATCTGTTGATAAGGGGATATGGTATCGGACGCTTCAAAGTGAACCTTGGGATAAACCATGGTTCGGTAATTGTACATTGGGACGTGATGTCTTAACCACGGCTTTTAGACTTCGATCTGGGCATATTCCACTTAATAAGTTTGCATTTCTAATGAAGAAAGTTCGGTCTCCTCTATGTACAAGGTGTGGAATTGTTGAAGATGTTTTACATATTGTACTGGAATGTGTTCGGAACGAGGACATTAGGTATAGTGTAATGTTACACGATATTACCAATTTAAGAGAAGTAGGCAGATGCAATTGTATTCTATCATATCCGCTATCTACAGCAGCCACACTACTATATCAAATTGTTAACATAGGTATGCGAAGACGATCCTATGTTGATAACCTTATATAGACTTATATATTATTTAGATTAGAAACTAGGTAAAATATGTTAGTGAATTGGCCCAATGGAGTGGCATTATCCTGTTGGAGAAAACTCCTTAAATAAAGATTAAAAAAAAAAAAACCTACATACGAAAAAACGAATGATAAATCACCTGTCTTTCACATTTCACTGTGATTTTGTCTCATGCCTCAGTCTTTCACTCATTCATGACTGTCAAAATTTCTAATTTGTCCGTTGACTGACACTACTGACATTTCAATGTCAAAAACTGAACATAAACATTGTCTAAGCTTGGGTTCCTGGACACGCAGGAATTCTGCAAAAAATGCTGTTCATACAGGCTCTCATGACCATACAGAAATATACTCTTACGATATTTGTTCATCCCTTAAATCACTGCTGTTTGAAACGTATCGAAAACTGTGAGAGGCCAATTTTACGGCGATATACAACCAGAAATTCCACTTAAGCCCTGGTATGCTAAATTTAAAAAATTAAATAAAAACACCACTTTTATAATTTGTCGGTTAAGACTAAATCACTCATGCACTCCAGTATTTTTAGCAAAACTCAGAATTAGGGATAGCTCTATTTGAGAGTGTGGGCTTGATGAGGGAAACGCGAACCATATATTTTTTAATTGTCCTAGAACTAAGTTGAACCTATTTATGAATTCATTCCTCCTTTTTTTTTTTTTTCATTCCTCCTCATATTCCTCATCCCACGTCCCTTAAATTACTCTTATCTCGCGTTTTTACTCCTTTTGTGCATACAAAAGGAGTAAAAACGCGAGATTCTAGGTAAGTGTATAACTTTAAACAAAATTAAATTCTATTCTAGATCTAGATGAAGAAATTCATTAATTGAGAGACCAATCAATTGAATCGGATCAATGAGCTAGTGAGCTAAACGAGCTAGTGAGCTAGATGAGTGATATATATCTTTAGAGCGAAATGATATGTATCAATCTTTTCAGCTCAGTGATACATTTTGCGCATCACTACTACTGACATGCTAGTGAGGACTGAGGCTAGTCTCTCGCTAGTACGAGGGCGGGTCAATAAGTCCGTGACTTTTGGAATAAAACACAGATTTTTTGATAAATAAATCATTTTATTTTTCAACGTAGTCTCCCTTGAGCTCTATACACTGTGTCCAAGGCTTCTCTAATTTTTTTATCCCTTCCAAAAAATATGATTTGTCGAGGTCCTCAAAATAGGCCTTTGTTTGCGAGATGACTTCATCATTGGAGTCAAATCTTTTTCCACCAAGCCATTTCTTCAGGTTTGGGAACAAGAAGTAGTCACTCGGAGCCAAATCTGGAGAATAGAGCGGATGAGGGAGCAATTCATAGCCCAATTCATGGATTTTTGCCATGGCAACTGCACATGTGTGCACCCTAGCATTGTCTTGGTGGAAAATAACTTTTTTCTTGGCCAAATGAGGTCGGTTTTTTTTTCAAATCGTCATTGAATCGGTCCAATAAGTTGGCATAATATACCCCATTGATTGTTCTTCCCTTTTGAAGGAAGTCAATATGGATTATACCGCGTGCATCCCAAAAGACAGTCGCCATAACTTTATTGGCTGACAAACCCACCTTGGCCTTCTTTGGCGCCGATTCAACCTTAGAAACCCACTGTTTTGACTGTTGTTTGGTCTCTGGTGTGTTGTGATGGATCCATGTTTCGTCCACGGTTACAAAACGGCGCAAAAACTCCTCCATATTGCGATTAAACAACGCCAAACCTTCCTGTGAAGTTGTTACACGTTTGCGTTTGTGGTCGACTGTGAGCAATCGCGGCACCCATCTTGCGGAAAGCTTTCTCATGCCCAAGTGATCACTCAAAATTGAAACCACTGCGCCATGCGAGATCCCTACGGCTTCCACAATCTCTTGCACTTTCAATCTTCGGTCGGCCAACACCATATCGTGAATTTTTTCGATTGTTTCGGGTGAAGAGACCTCAACTGGGCGTCCAGGACGTTTGGCATCTTCAGTGCTTGTACGGCCACAACGAAATTCAGTAAGCCACTTTTTTACCATTGAAATCGATGGTGCAGAGTCCCCATAGTATTCATCAAGCTTAGCCTTGGTCTCGGTAATGGTTTTTTTTCGCAAAAAATAATGCTTAATAAGCACACGAAATTCACTTTTTTCCATTTTTTTTCTCAAATTACTGGGTAGTCTGATAAAGATAGCTGTCAAACACAAACTAACTGACGCAGCAAGTTCAAATTTTGACAGGAGTCAACTGACAGATGCCTGTTGACAGGAGTAGTGTTGCTTTTTCAGTAAAGAGGTCAGAAATTCAAAAAGTCACGGACTTATTGACCCGCCCTCGTATATAGTTATCTGTGCTAGTCTTGTTGTAACCTGTTATATTTTACCAATCTGTGCCTGTTGCAGGCGGTACAATCTTAGTCGACAATCCTTGGAATGTTACGAAAATAATGAAACCAAATACAATGGTTTTTCATTTGTTCTAAAGTTTTAACAACATTACGTACACTTCCTTTAGGCGTATAATACGTGTGTACGTCATGTAATTTCGCCAGTCGATACTTATAGATGTCGTTACTTTCGGTATAATCCGCATATAACATAAAGTGAGTTGTTTTAGTTTTTATTATCCCGGAACGTATATCACTATTTTCTGAAATCATTATAAAATGACTTTTTATGATATGAAATGGTGCCATTATTTTTTTTATACATTGAGTTGGTAGTTATTTTGTATGATAAAATTGATAAATGTAGACTTATATTAAAATTTTTGAAAACTTTAAAAAAATTGTAGCACTTTAAAACACACGTTTCTAAGAAATCCTAACTTAATGCCTGTATCATTTCATTATTGCCATTGTTTTGGTACTTTTCATCAGCATTAATGCAGCAACATTTGCAACAGCTGTTGTTATGAATGGGATTGCTAGGCGGGAATTTGAGCTGAAGGGGCGGAGGATATTGAGCGGTTCAAATTCCCGCCTAGAATCATGCACTTTTGATTGAGATTGAACATTGAAGTGAAGTGAAAATAGTGAAGTTATCTATCAAAAATTAAGACTTGGCTTAAAGGTCTTGTTACCAGGCCATAAAAATACATAAAAAAAAATGTTATGAATGTTGTCCGTCAACATGACATTCATACTGGCATTTTTTTGGTGGTTGAATGTTTATTTGCTTGGAACTAATAACAATTATTCTCTGATATCTTCATTAATGCGTGAGTTGAGCCTAGGTTCTTCTGATCTTTGTTGAGGTTATCCTTGTGTGCTGTTTTCGAGTAGTATTGAGGTAGAGATACTTATTTTTAACGCTTTATTTTTGTGTTGCAATGTCTGTTAAACGTTGTCTTAAAAAGAAGAAAATAAACGTTTTTGATTATACATTGTTTTATTTTACAAAGTTCTAATTGCATAGGTATATTTGTACATAATATAAACAATACTGTTTACAATAAGTATTACCTATATTATAGATATGTAGGTTTAAATACATCCTTTCAATGCTCGCTCCTAACAGATGGCGTTGTTTTGTAATTTCCTCCAAAAGCGATTGAGATATACCTCTATTTCAGTATATTACAATGTGTGGCAATGTACAATGTGTGTGTGTGTGTACAATCTGTGGCCTGTTGTCTTGTCACTATCGTACTAAAATTATATAGGTTATGATTTTATTTGTTTTGGTTGAAATTATCAACGATCATGATTTTTAAGCTATTATCATATTTATTTTTCATATCTACTGTTTCTAAATCTCGTCAGGATGACATAGTAATCTCAGGCCCAGGATTAAATCCTCAGAATATAGTTATGCCGGCAAGATATTTTTTTGTTAACTTCACTTCTATGAATTCCCAGTCGTAAGTAAATATATTGAATTACCTTGTTGGTTTACACAAGATTTAAAATACAAAAATTATCTAATACAAAGAGACGTATATTCCATTTTATATTAGTTCCGTCTGTATTGACCGTCTAAGAACGAAAACTAAAATTGATCTTGTGGCCATAGCAATCGGGAAGCCTTTCGACTAATATCAGTCACGCCACAAAGATAAAGATGCATCTTCGTCATGTGTTTCTCGGCTCAGGTATATCCGCCTATGATTTTCATCTGTTGTTTAGATAGATTTTAAAATGGTGCTTTTTTTATTTTAATTAATAAAATGTTTCTGGTGATTTATTTTTAAGACAATTTTTTATAAGTGATCCCATTATTGTGTAGTGATTATTTTTTTTAGCTATTACTTACGCTGTTTAAAATTGAAACATACAATTCAGTTCAGTGGAAAATCTAATGTTAATACATTCCAATATACATATAACTGCCTATCAAGAGTCAAGCTTAGTCTGTAGCAATTATGCTGGCATATGCCTAGATAAAATCATAAAACGAACTTGGCTAGATACTCATTGAAATTGGCTTTCGCTATAAAGTTATCACACAATTTTTCTTTAACAACTAATATTGCAGATTTTCAGTAAGGATACAGGATACTTGTTTTCTAGATTTTAACAGCTCATTTTATACAATTAATCAAAACTTGTAGGTCTAATGGCAACTATCAACTGCCATATGTTGTTAGACAGGGTGCATTCACATATCTAGATCTGTTCAACCTTTATATAGATGAACCTTATCAGGAGTGGATCTTTTAGTTATCTGAGAGAGATATACCAAAGACTGTGATAATATAATATTTTTACACATCTCACACACAGCCATTTCTAATCTCCCAAAGTAGGCAAAGTACAGGCTTTGCCTACTTTGGAAGATTAGAGATGGCTATGGTAACCAGACTGCTGATAAACATACTTATACATATTTCTAAATACATACATATTATAGATAAAGTACACCTAGACATAGAACAAATGAACATGCTCATCACACAATGATTTGTCCTGGGTGGGAATGGAACCCACAGCCTCTGATGTAGCAGTCAGGGTCACTAACCACTAGACCAACAGGTCAGTCATCTAGTTTATAATGCTAATAAAACAAAAATGATGACAATTATAAGGGTAAGGTAAGGTCCAAAAAATGTTGTTGATTGTATCATAGATCAATCAGTTCAGTTAGATTACATACAAACATCATATGAGACAATACTTATATCAAAATTCTAATGTAGATGCTTAAAGTTGTTGGTAATGATTGTAAAGACAATACAGTGTGCAATTTTGAGTATTTTATTGCATAAATATCCCACTACTCTATTAAAGTTATCTTTTAGTTTGTAAATTTCACCTTTAGCAATTTACATATATTAAAGCCTTTGCAATTTGTAGAGCTAAATACAAATGAGAGAACCACTTCTAAGTTGCTTCACTCACAAGAGGTACCACGGGCCTTCATTTTATTTACATTCACATAACTATCATTCTTTCTTGCATAGTTAGCTATTAAACAATATAAAGATAAATAATTCATAATCTTAGAACATCTGCTATAATTTCAGTTACCCAAACACCCCAATTAATACATGATTATTTAATTTTTTACATTGTAAAATTTATAGAAATATGTATACTGTAGTTATAGAAGAAATTCTGTGTGGTGACTGATCAAGAATACATAGTGTCACCACCCCTAGTCATCCCTTTGGTGTTGTAAGAGCCTCCCTACTAAGGGAGCAAACTAGCAGGATCACAGCACTTCAAGAAAAGGAAACTCGAAAAAAACTCTATCTGGTCAGCGTGGAATAGTAGGCCAAAACCTCCTTTCTATGGTGAAGCCTATGTCCAGAAGTGGACTAGCAAAGGCTGTGGATGAAGGATAATGACATAAGAAATAGTACACTTATTAATAGTACACAACATTAAGAGCTTTTATATATTTTCAGGTACACCCCTGACTTGGCTAAAGACTTAATTGTAGAAATTGATGGCAAATCTAGCTCAAGTAAACACTGCAGAATCTGGGTCAACAAGCTCGACAGAAAAGATGGCACATTTATTGTCCGCTACAAACTATATGAAACCTGTTTAGAATTATCCATTCATATTTATTATAAAAGAAAAGATTTAAAGGGATCGCCATTTGTATTTAACGGTATGTCCAGTGAGTCTTCATGTGAGTGTAGACCGGTTTTCAGTAACTTACTTTAAACAGGATAGGCAAATATTAAAAAGTTGTGACCCTTTAGGCACATGTTTTTTGTTACTTAATGTAATTATGTTTTTTCATCTTTCTTTTTCTTTACAGGCCCTATCTATCCCGATCAATGTAATTGTCCTCAGAAAGACTTAGAACAATGGTTAAAAAATTATGAATGTCCCACTTCCTATGAACAAATTGATAAAGATCTTAAACCATTCCATAATTTAGATATAAGGAAAGATATTAATACAATCATAAAAAAATATCATCAACCTGAAAGCACTAGTTTTTGTCACTATGCTGTAAAGGATAATGAAATATACAGGGAGTGTTACGGAAAACACATTGGTTTTAATATGTTTTCTGATAACATCCTGCTATCCCTAGCAAGAAAAGTTAAGTTGCCTAACATGGAAATAGTAATAAATCTTGGCGACTGGCCTCTTGTACACAAGCAAGATGATATTTTGCCAATTTTCTCATGGTGTGGCAATCGCGATAATTATGATATCGTGATGCCAACATATGATTTAACAGAATCTACATTGGAAAACATGGGAAGGTAAATTAGATAATGCGAGTAAAGGTAAATAATTGTTGGTAACTCTAATAATTCATGAACGTTTTATATTTATGTTGCAGGGTGACCCTAGATACATTATCGGTTCAAAGTGGGGCGGAGGTGCCTTGGTCGCAGCGTGAGACGCGAGCAGTATGGCGCGGTCGAGACTCTCGCGCCGAGCGGTTGAAGCTCATAGATATTGCTCGAGCAAATCCAGATTTATTCAATGCATCGCTCACAAACTTTTTTTTCTTTAGAGATAAAGAAGCTGAATATGGGCCAAAACAACCACACATATCATTTTTCAAATTTTTTGATGTAAGCAAGTGTAAAAGTTTTTTTAAGATTCTCTTTTTATATATTATGTTCGATTGAAATTTTAAATATACATATATATTGATACCACCGTTCTTACATAAATGCGAACACGATCTAACTCGTAGCTTGCGAGGAAACGACTGCATGCCAATGTCAATGCTCGCATCTCTGTATACTTAATTATTACTGTGGCAGCGTTATTTCCCTCCACAAGTTATAGGTCAAACCCGTGATCACGCCTTATAGAGTTAATTTATTCATTTGGATAGAGTCGTCGAAAACAATAATCAAGCATTAATGAAATTCCAGTGAATTAGTTAAATTAATATCGCTTTTTAATATTAGTTTTAATGAAAAGTAGCCGCTGCGAAACGTATCGTGGGTAAAATCAGTTGCAGCGTATTTAAGTTCCGCCCTCAAAGATACTTTATGAAACACGAAATCATTGTAAGAAAGGAAAAAAAAAATTTGAAATATAACTTTCAGTTTACTTTCAGTATAAATATCAAATAAACATTGATGGAACAGTTGCAGCATACCGTATGCCATATCTATTGGCTGGCGGTGGAATGGTATTAAAGCAAGATTCGCCTTATTATGAACATTTCTATAGTCAACTTCAAGCTTGGGAACATTTCGTTCCTATTAAGCGTGATTTGTCAGATTTGGTGGAACGCGTCAAATGGGCACAACAAAATGACGATAAAGCCCAACAAATTGCTATCAATGCAAAGAATTTCGCTAATAAACATCTACTGCCTAAGCACGTTATTTGTTACCATGCTGTATTATTTTGGGTAAGCTTTTTTATCATTTAAATACCATCATATATAACTATTTATCACATCACATCATCATCATCACATCAACAGCCTTTAATAGGCCACTGCTAGACATAGGCCTCTCCTAAGAAAGGAGGTTTTGGCCTACTATACCACGCTGGCCAGGCTGGTTGGTAGATATAGGGTTTGTATCAAGTTTTCCTCTCTGCAGTGCTGTTGTCCCGCGTAGTTTACTCAGTCGGCTCTTACGTCACCTATGGGATGAATGGGGATGGTGACATCCCGTATATTTAATCCTTCACCACACGACTCATATCATGGAGTAAGTTTACCTACCGATTACACAGTTGGTTAACATGGTGGTGGCGTATCTCAGAGTAGCTTTTTTTTCTTGTTTTTTGACATTTTTGTCTATAAAAACAAGAAGTATCGTTATTAATATCAGATTGATTAAAGCAAAATAGACACAACGGTGTGCGTTACCCCAGCAAAATAATGTCGAAAATGGTCATTTAAACTTTATAGATAATTAGTTGCTCCCCTTCTGTAATTGTTAAGCACATTTTTAAATTTGTTTCACTTAAACTTTTTTAGTTATTTCAAAAAAACATTTCCTGCTGGAGTAACGTTTGAAACGTTACCGCAGCCAGACATTTTCTTTTTTAATTGTAATATTGAATTAAATTTTAGCTAAATAATTAGTTATCTGGACTAGGTAAATGTTACAACTTATTTGGTATTTGTATTTTCTTCGGTTGCGAAGTTATTCGAAATCCTGCTGGAGTAACGTTTGTGGGTTTGCTGGATCTCTGAAACGGGTAAGCGGATTGTAACCATCTTTTGTACATAACTTCTTAAGGATTAGTTTTAATTTGTTCGACAATAAAATAACAAAAATAATGGACCGTTTAAAAATTATTTAGGTAAGTATGAAAACACTTAAATACGTCCTAACACTTTAAATAAGACCTCTTAAGACTTACTTGAAACGTTATTCTATTGCTTGTAACTACCTTCAAATGTATACGAATTTTCGTAAGAATACTGTAAGTGACTAAAAAGTTATGATGAAATGTAGCTCTCCACGTTCACGATCACAATGTGTGCGGCCTTTTTTGGCCACCGATAAACCTGTGTGTGGATATATAAACTGAATGTTATGCGAATAATTAGTTGTTTAGTTCAGTTGACTACCTGTAAAATTTCAGCGTAGTACATATAATAATTTACGAGATAATTAAATAAAAGTCATTAGAAGGTGCAAGACCGTGGTAACCCGACCTTGTTTAGGTGGTTACAAAAAAGCGATCACCCAGTACATTGTGCTGGCTTTTAAAATATGTAGGATATTATTTGCAAGTTTACTACGGATATGTACATAAGTGTTACAAAAAACTACATGTTTTTTAAATATTTTTTATTTAGGATTGTTTATTGCATAATTAGTAATCAGCCGGGAGATTAGGTATTGTTTTGAATGCTTTTGTTTTCTCGTAATGTTTAGGTGAATTGTTTATAGTTGTTCATAGAATTGGTACCTGCGTAGTATTTGTTAATTGAAGTTTAATTTTAGGGTAGGTATAGGTAATTTAAGAAATATGAAATGAAATGATAAGTTTTGAAGAGTGTAACGTATGCGTTGTAAATAGGTATTTTGTGAATAGATGGGGATTTTTTTAAGTGATGAATCGACTTAGGCTAGCATATCGCGAACAAACTCTGTATTGCATTATTTCTGTAATAATGTTGGAGAAAATAAAATATTTGATCACAAAATCGCGGTGAGTTAAATTATAATAAAATAAATTATTTATGTAAAATTAGTAATAAGTGATATACCTACCTAAAAGTTATGATCGTTTTTAATTTGTTCACCCTGAACGAAATTTCAATATTAGCATTAGTAATTAATATCCTAAGACAAGAATTGACATTTACTTAAATTGAATCGAATTAGCATTAGATACAAATTGCCAACAATGAAGTATCCCTTCGCCCCTCCCCTCCCGCGTTCTAGCGAAGGATGTATTATCAGCGATTCTTGATTGACAAATATTATCTGACCAATAATTTTATCTATAAAAATGTATCACTTTCACTCGATAAATTAAATTACCGTTATTATATCAAAATATCATTCAACAACTGTTCGTTTTTAACAGAAATCAACAGTCACGGGCTCAACGCTTAACGGTAGGTACATAGGTATAGATAATTCTCGGTTCTAGGTATAGACCACAGAACAATATTACCTACTCTTACGAGGTATACGACTGTTGGGCGATGCAGTGTTGATGCATTCTAATTTACAACTGTATTCTTCTACTATTCGGTCTATTTTAACTTATTGTAGATGACTTGTTGCTTTAAATATTTTGATGCATTCAAGTCTAAACACCCCAAAATAAAATACAATTACTTTAGTGTTATTTCTTTACAATTCTTGCTTCTTTCTTATTGGTTTAAATTTTCGTTTTATTGCAGTCAGGTGAATCGTTCATACATGTATCTACATATTTATAATTTTAGCGGACCAGTGCAGATTTTCTGTTGATTGTAGCTCCGGTAGTAAAAAAGACTAAATAAATTTTAAGTAAAGAAACTAGTGCTTAAGATCAATTAGGGAAAAAAACAAAATAAATAATAGGTAATAATAATGAATAAATATTGAATGTATTTAACACTGTACGCAACTGTACTGAAATCGTAAGGTGTATTACACTAAACATTTTAAAAGACAGCGCAATGTACTGGGTGATCGCTTTTTTGTAACCACCTAAACATGGTCGGATTACCACGGTCTTGCACCTTCTAATGACTTTTATTTAATTATCTCGTAAATTATTATATGTACGACGCTGAAATTCTACAGGTAGACAACTGAACTAAACAACTAATTATTGGCATAACATTCAGTTTATATATCCACACACAGGTTTATCGGTGGCCAAAAAAGGCCGCATACATTTTGATCGTGAACGTGGAGAGCTACATTTCATTATAACTTTTTAGTCACTTACAGTATTCCTACGAAAATTCGTATACATTTGAAGGTAGTTACAAGCAATAGAATAACGTTTCAAATAAGTCTTAAGAGGTCTTATTTAAAGTGTTAGGACGTATTTAAGTGTTTTCATACTTACCTAAATAATTTTTAAACGGTCCATTATTTTTGTTATTTTATTGTCGAACAAATTAAAACTAATCCTTAAGAAGTTATGTACAAAAGATGGTAACAATCCGCTTACCCGTTTCAGAGATCCAGCAAACCCACAAACGTTACTCCAGCAAGATTTCGAATAACTTCGCAGCCGAAGAAAATACAAATACCAAATAAGTTGTAACATTTACCTAGTCCAGATAACTAATTATTTAGGTAAAATTTATTTCAATATTACAATTAAAAAAGAAAATGTCTGGCTGCGGTAACGTTTCAAACGTTACCCCAGCAGGAAATGTTTTTTTGAAATAACTAAAAAAGTTTAAGTGAAACAAATTTAAAAATGTGCCTAACAATTACAGAAGGGGAGCAACTAATTATCTATAACGTTTAAATGACCATTTTCGACATTATTTTGCTGGGGTAACGCACACGACACAACGATCAGATTGGTGTGCGTTACCCCAGCAAAATAATGTCGAAATTATTTTATTTATTTTATTGTCGAACAAATTAAAACTAATCCTTAAGAAGTTATGTACAAAAGATGGTTACAATCCGCTTACCCGTTTCAGAGATCCAGCAAACCCACAAACGTTACTCCAGCAGGATTTCGAATAACTTCGCAGCCGAAGAAAATACAAATACCAAATATTTAAAAATGTGCTTAACAATTACAGAAGGGGAGCAACTAATTATCTATAAAGTTTAAATGACCATTTTCGACATTATTTTGCTGGGGTAACGCACACATCAGATTGTGCTGACTATAGAGATATAAGCATAGAGTGAACAAGAGCCCCAATCTTGCAATATAAGCAATGAGAGATGGATAATAGATAGTCCCTTCTATCTCTTATATATATTATATATATATAGGGTATAGGGTTTGTGTCAAGTTTTCCTTCTTTTTGCAGTGCTGGTGTCCTGCGTTGTTTTGTCCACTACAGGATGAATTGGGGTAGTGACATTCCGTATTCTTAATCCGTCACTACATGGACCTATTTATAGTGCAGTTAAACTTTCGTGTTGCCAGCCGAATGACATTCACTTATATTTTTCTAGGAATGGAGTAAGAGAATAAAAAATGAAGCTGTCCTAACTAAAGGGATGACTCACGTACCACAACCTGCATTTGAGTGCGATTGTAAATATCAGGCAATTAATATTCGCGAAGATCTCTAAATTAATCGCTATTAAACATTTTCGTAATTTCAGTGAGATCTGAACAAAATATGTATATGTAATAAGTACAACATTTTATACAATAAATAGGTTTTTATTTTTATAATACTCACATCCGCTAATACTTTTAAAATGTACATGCTATAAGGCTCAGTAAACGATCAGATAATATTTTCGCTTGAATGTAGGTAAATTGCAAATGAAACAAATAATAAAAAGCGAAGATAAAAATAAGTTTTTAGAGAGCTTTACAAGTAAATGACCAGTGTGCCAAATAATCATACCTTCTTGGTCGTTTGTTTTTTATTTCTAGATTAGAAAAATACACCTTTTTACACACACCTTTTTTTGATTTCTGTTTAATGATTTAATGTTTTTTATTTATTATTCCTCTTATTAAGTGAATGTTTGAATATACTTCTTTTTATTGCTTTGTTTAATTGCATAGTAGGGATACAATGGAACGGCACAATTTAACAATCCATTTTTAAGTCGAATTTCTAGAACTGATCTCATTTGTCGTCTATTACCGGTAATGCGGTAATTCATTATGAAATCAGATATTTGATTTTAGTCTGTCTTAGTAGACTTATTGCAAATAAAACAGTTTTGAGTTGAATGTTATGAATAACGAAATTCTCAAGGTGTTAAGAACTGATTTCACTCTTATGATTACTGGTAAGCCAGATTGTTTTAAAAAGAATTGATTTATTTAATTCAACTATATTCTAAGAAAAAAATAATACTTGTAGAGTTTTTCTACTAGTATAATATCAAATACGGATATCTCAAATGATTCTAACTACTTATTTCTATAAAATGAAAAAAGATCCGTGAATAAATATATATTAAGTATTTAAACACTTGAAATTAAAAATATACTGATTTTTTATTGTTGTATACTACTAACAATTTTACAAAATAGGAATTTAGGTGTTATTTGATTTAAAAATCTTCTAAAAGTACTCTAACAGGGAAGGTGACTCTATCAGGGAAAGTGAGGTAATTTTAACACACTTTACATAACCCACGATAATTATAATTTTTGTATGTGTCCAGACCTTATAATAGTAAGTTTTTTTTTTATTTCTATCGATATGTGACAACTCTCTGAATAAGGAAATAAATCGAAGTGGAAATTCGCTGTCAATAACTTGCACCCTATAACTCCATCTTATATACATTTTCACAAATAATTGTGGTTCTGGAATCATAATTTGTGAACAAGATAACTGCGTTCAGGCAAAAGTGGTAAACTTGTTTGACAAATACAAGCATACACCTTTACATGTTTGTCAAAAAAGCCATCTCTAAATATGTCAAACATAAATAAAACAAGCACATCACAAAACACTATTAAACTTAAAAGAAAAAAACACTAACTTGATCAACTATTCGTCAAATTATTTAATCGTTCACCGGCCTTTCATCAATAATAGCATTATAATAATTAACAATACGATCAAGCTCCATTTAGTGCCAAGCACTACAACGTACCCAATCAAATTTAAATATTTAAGTCTTACTTTGTATAAATGTACTTTTAATTTGCCATAGATACCTGACCATGATGTATAAGCCCCGCACGTTGATATTGGGATTGGCGGCCATCTTCGTGACGTATGCGAAGTCGAGCCGTCAGTACCGTTCGCAGCTTCGCAACGCAAGGTCAGCCTGCGCTCGCGCTACGCATCGAGTACTACTTACCGTGTTTTGAAAGCTCTTTGTTTTCTTTCCCGTTACATTTTTGTTATTGATCTTTGTTGTTGAGTTTTGTTGTTAAGTTTCTTTGTTTTGTTACGTATTGTTTTCATAGCTATTCTATTAAAATGAGTAAAAAGTAATTAACAGCCGTGCGCGGGAAATGATTATTAAAGTAGACAATTATTTTTCTAAAGAGAAAGAGGACGCTAAGTTAGTGCTTCAAAATGTAAACCGTGCCCTAAAAAATGCTTCGGACACTACTGAGGACATGTTAATGTCGAAACAACTTGTTATTGACATTTTGAATATTTTACAAAATTCTACTAAAGTTACGGAACGTGTGGTATGTGCTACGGGCATAACAAAAAATACAGTAACGAAATTAAGACGAGAGCACGAGTCTGCTACAACTAGTGGCAGCAAAATGAAGACCCCGACCAAAGTAAAACGACAAAGAAAAGATTACTTTGACGGATTTTCGTTAACGGCTCTTAGAAATATCATTCACTCTATGTATACGGTCAGGAAGGAAATACCAACAATGCTCAAAATTATGGCTGCTGCAAAAGTGGATCTTAATTATACAGGCAGTGAAACTACCTTAAGAAAAATAATAAAAACAGATTTAGGGTATCAATTTAAAAGATGTTACCAAAAAAGGCTACTAATAGAGAGACCACAAATACAAGCGTGGAGGGCTAGATATTTACGCCGCATGAAGGGGAACGAGTCACTAGGTGTAAACAAAAGGCCTGTCATCTATATAGATGAAACATGGATACACGCACATTATACGGTTAAAAAATGTTGGCAGACGGCAACCGATGTGGGAGTGAGACGAAACGATAGCCCCGGTTTGTTAACAATGCACTCTTGATGTTTAAGGCTAATACAAAAACCGGGGACTATCATGATCAGATGAATGCCGAGAATTTCACCAAGTGGCTCACTGAAAAACTTATACCCAACATACCATCTAATTCCATCATTGTGATGGACAACGCCCCGTACCACAGCAAAGAAGAAAATAAACAACCAACTATGAATTGTAGAAAACAAGTGATGGTTGAGTGGCTGCAAGCTCATAAAATTGACTTTTCAAATAATTGCACAAAACCAGAGTTATACATGTTAATAAAACAGCACAAACCACCGAAAAATTATATAATCGACCAACTATTAGCTGACAATGGTCATGAAGTAGTAAGATTGCCACCGTATAACTGCGACCTCAATCCTATAGAATATATTTGGAACTTAGTCAAACAAAAAGTTTCGGAAAAAAATGTTGAACAATTGGAGAGTAAGATAGAATCCCTGACTTTGGAGGCGCTGTCGTCCATAACTCCAGATGACTGGAAAAAGAAATAAACCATGTCAAGAGACTCGAAGAAGAGTACTGGCGAAAAGACGGAATAACTGACGAGTTATTTATTATAAATACGGCAGACAGTGAATCTGACAACACTGACTCTGAAACTGATTCTGTTTCAGATATGAGTGGAATTGAAGAACTAGCCGAATAATCTCTGTTAGATATCATATTAATATAAGCATTGATTTTACATAAATACCTTTGTTTTATTAGTTGTTCATTAAAATAGGTTTTTAATAGAAATGTGGCAGACAAGCACATAGCCCACCTGATAGAAAGTGCTTACCGAGGCCTATAGACGTGTGCAACACCAGGGGCGTCATATTCGGATGTACTACAGGAGGCGCGGGTTCGATTCCCGCTCAATCAAATATTTATATTCGTGAATAAATCTACAGCGAATAGCACGGAAATACCATCTATAGCATTTGTTACGAGTAAATGGAGCCTTAAAAAGTTCAACTAGTCTAACCGAAATACTTGGGTACCGTACCGTAATGGTTGTTGAGGTCATATGATAATCGCTTCACGGAAAATATCGATGAAAAGAAAAGCGGATCCCGGACTCATGAGATTTTTTTATAGTAAACATATTTATTCATCCTAATAAAAAAATTCTCGGTCCTTTGAAATTCCTTAAGTTTACACTTTGCATTGTATGTAATTATGTATTAATAAAATTATTATAATAATATGTAATAAACCTATAACTCTAGTCTATTTACTTTTAATTACAATTTCTTTGTTAACTGTACTTTTGTACGACGGATGACGTCACGCAGCGCTTATTGTGACAAGGTTCCGTCCCAATATCAACTTGCGGGGCTTATAAAAGAAAGACTAATTATTATACAGCTTTACGGTTGATATCAAATTATACAATAAAATAAAAAATAGGTATACAAAAAAGTTCAGCAACCTTTTATTTTGTTGCCTTTGTTTGTTTGGGTATTGTCGAGCTTCAATGGTCAATCAATCAATGATAACAATTTCGAAAAGTTAAGCGAGTGGAAATAGTTTAACTGATATAAACAAAATACAAATTGCTTTTGCTATGGTAGTTCTATTAAAGCACGTTTTTATGTCGTTAAAAGGAATAAAATAATTTGAACCTTAACCTATGTACATCCCAATATATATACAGATAAGAACAATTTTAAAATAAAAATTTAATGCATTGTAAATTTTATATGTTACCTTAAATCTTCATAAAAAAAATTCTGAATCAAGGAGTACTAAAAACAAGGATGCTGCCGTTATAGTTTATAGCAATAATTATATAGTTTTGCTAACAAGGGTTCAGTCGTTCAAAATCATAAGGTGATCTCGATAACATTAGTTAGTTTAGTTAACTATTAGATGTTTTATCACTCCTTCCACAAATTTTAAACATCAACCGTTACGATGTCATTTTTTCAACTCCCAATAATATGTAGTAATCATTATTGCATTGTTTTCTAATAGACGATAAAAAGTAGGTTGCCTGCTGAGAGTAGGGGGCCTATCGATACATGGCGACGTCGGGGCTGCGGTAGAAGCACATGTAGGCGTCGGCGAGCAGGCGCTTGGCGTGCGCCGGCGCAGCGCCCGCGCAGCGCCCCCCCTCCTCGCCCAGCCACGCGCCCAGCCCCGGGATGCACACGATCTCCGGGATATTGTACCCGTTGCGCTCGCCTGCACATTTTATTACTTGTATAGTATTAGGTGATAATAACATATAGCCAATAGGTAGATAATAGTAGTCCATAAAGTTTATATTATAAAAATATACTGGGAATCTGCTTCTTACGAGATTACGTATCATAAATAATGTGGCATTTCTTTATTTAAGAAGAAATATATTTTATCTTTCTGTGTCTATCTACAGATAACATATTATAGGGCAATTTTAAATTGTAACTGCACAAGCCTGTGTAACTTTTAGTCAATTGTTTTGAGATAGCTTTTCCAAACACACTACCAGTATTTTTAGTTACAATTTAATATTACCACAAAGATACCCTCATTATTGAATTATAGATATTAAAGTGTAGATAAGTTAAAACAACAACAACAAAACAACGTTTGTCACATGTACGGTGGAATTGAAAATACAAAAAATAAATACGGAATTTACCCAAGTGATTGTGATCAGAAAGAAGCCTTAATATAGGATAACCCGGTGTGAAGTGAAATTAAATGATGTAAAATATTACCTTTAAACTTAAAAAGAAATGAGCCTTTAGAATGATAGAATGAAAGGGTCTCGAACAAGAAATACAAACCTTTTCTATCAGCCATAGAATCAAAGAAGCACCACGGCGCATCATGTCCGACTCCCGCTTTGACGAAAGCGACGTAATGACTGGTTTCGATGCAGAGCACTGCGAACAACTCCATATAAACGCGCGGCACGGGACAAGACTCTAGTATGTTCACGAACTCTTCACACACTGTCAGAGGAACCGCCTGTTTAATAAAAAAATGTTGGTACATTGCATATCAGATAGCCGGTGCAAAGCTTCACCCATTTTCTTTTAAGCAAAAAACAAACGAAAAATTTATGCAATGATTGTATTACCTCACTTATAAAGTTTTGTGTATCATATAATTATGTTTATGTACGGAAATCCCAGTACACATATGTAAATTATATATTTGTGTGAGAAAAGAGAGATTTTCTAAAGCCAGACAAAACTTGAATTTACTCATTTTATTTATAATAAAACTATTTTACGTTATCGTAACACAGAAAGCACACCGGTGGGCTCGACTGGGGCGATACCACGGCCTCACAGAAAACCGATGTTAAGTAGGGATGGTATACAATCACAATCACATGTGATAAATCATATCATCACACCTGTGACTGATTTGCATAACCACTGCTGCTTAATTATTATTATTACGCTAGCCGCAAGACTCGTGAAAGGTCGTCTAAATTAAAAAAAAGGCGTAATCTTTGATAAAAAGAATTTTAACTGATTTTAATGCCATTTATCTTTGTCACGAAATCACAATCACATGTGAAATCGCTATGACTAAAACCAATCATTTCATAAAATAAATATGATTTAAAAGTAGCAATAATGTCAATGTCTAATGTTAAGTATTTCTTTCGTTGCTTTTCACGAGTCAGTTTAAGCCCTAACACCCCTTCTCCCTTAACCCTGAAGAGGGGACTCAAAGGCAACGCACTGGTGACTATACCATACAAAAAAGGCTATAAGATTCGTTCATCACAAACTGACCTTGTGGTGCGGCCTGGTGGCGTGCGCGAGCCGAAGGCAGTTGTTGCAGAGTGCGCCCGCTTCTAGCGTGGCGCCGCCGCAATCGCTACACTCCCAGCGCGCCAAGCTCCCGCACACCGTGCACTGACGTGGCACTGCACATACACAGGTATGTTTATGTGACAAAAAATTTACTCATGATAGTGAACTCCCCCTGAAATCCTGTTGTCATTCGAGTTACAGATCTGCATGCATGGTGTGCTGTTGTATCTGAACTACTCAAGCTATTTGGGATGAATTGAAAAGTTTAAAAACTTTGCAATTCATCCCAATAACTTTTATTTTGTAGGGTAAAGTTTAGGCGGGCTTTTAGCTGCAAAATTGTCAAGTGATGTGTTGTTGCTAAAAATTTTTTTTTCTTTCTTTACTTTTAAGAATAAAGTGACAGTATAAAACAAACATCCTAAAACTAAGATATTTTTGGGCTGTCTTTTTATTCTATTTTGGACCATTTTTTTTGTGTTTTTGTTTGTTTTTATTTTTATAATTTTGTATTATTTTTATTGCTTGATGCTGTTTTGTCGACTTTAGTACGCTTAAATTTCGTTAATATCTTTTTATCCCGGGTATAGTTTTGATACTATAGACATATCTTAATTAATTCTCTTTCTTGAATGTTGCAGGGTTTCCAACGTCTTCGAGTAAGAAAATAGTTTTAATAAATGACGTAAGGTCTTCTGATCAGACCTATTTAAATGTAAATGATTTCATAGAGTAACTAAAAGTATAAAATTAAAAGCGAGGGGAGCTTTTTACTACTCGTACATTTCAATACTTACAGCCTTCGATTAGATCTGTAACATCAAGTAGCGGAGATGGCAAAACTCTCTGATACAATTTGTATTGTTTTCCGAATCGTGGCATTTGAATGATAAACGCTGCAGGCACCTGCAATAGCAAATAAATGTAGCAGCATGGTAAAACCATTAAAATAAGTATAAAATAATGGCTTGTAAAAGCTAGATTATCATCACAGAGGAATAATAGAGCTGAAGGTCAATTCTCGTAATCAAAATTCGGTCAAAATTCCGTTTCCGGAGTAAAGTATTAAACATCCAAGCTTACTGTAATGTGATTATATCGTAATGTAACCGAAACTTCAATCGGAAATCTGATAGTCTTAGTACACAGATTACCCCCTAATAGATTCCGCATACACGGCCACAAAGGCGCGCAACACATACTTTCTACAGCTAACATACGACGCGACGCTAAGAATCTTGACTTTAGTAACGACCAAGTTCGTGACACGTACGCACGTCCGAGTTCTTGACAATTTAAAATAGTTTTATATCAAAATATATTAGGAATGGCTTCCTGTCCTGTGAAATGGTGTGGCAAATCAGCTAAGACATCCAGTGATCAAAAAGATGGTATAACATTTCAACGGTAAGTAAATTATATTCTTTTCACGTTAACCTATTTCCAATGCACCGGAGTTCAACTTATAATGGTGCATATTAATAACACTTAAGCCAGACAAATTATGAAAACAGGGCATTGATAAGTAAAAAAATCTCACCTTTAGGGTAGTATTTTTATCATTTGTTTGAACAACTTTGCGCTACAAATATATTCCTATGAGTTATTGGATATTTGCACCGAATTAATATTTATTTACACGTAAACTGCTTATAGTTGTATTTGATTTGATATAACTTTGAACAGATCCACGTATAAAAGACTAAGATTTTAGCAAACTGATACCATTGAGCCAAATTATGAAAATAGGGAATTGATAAGAAAAAAAATCTCATCTTTTCGGTAGTATTTTTATCATTTCTTTGAGCAACTTTGCGCTACAAACGTATTCCAATGAGTTATTAGATATTTGTGCTTAATAAATATCAATTTACACGTAGAAAGTTTATAGGTGCAACATAATTTATCTGGACTTGTATGATTTATCACATAATTTGAGCATGTATTAAAATGAAAAGGTTTGTTACCTCACAGGTTTTTCAAGAATTATTTTAAAACTAAAGTTGAAAAAATAAATTTGCAATGAAAGTGAATGTTATTCTGTACAAAAGAAGGTATTCAAATTTAATCTAGCCCACTTAGATGACGAAATAGAATTTTTAAATGTTGTTTTTGTCCTGTAAAGTATTGATTTTTTACTTGTATCACTTTTCACAGGAGGCACAGAAATATATACATTTTTGCTTTTACATACATATTGAAATGTATACATTGTTTTTAATAAATATTAAAAAAAACATTGATCAACATAACTAATTTATCAATAATCAATACATCAAGAATAAAATAAATATCATGAATTCAAACGTCATTCTTAACGTTCGACTTTGAAATATGCAATCATAGAGCATTTGACACGTCCCCCGCAACCCTTGCATACCGCCAAATTTGGTGAACTCGAATCGAACAAATATTCAATAATGCGGAATCAATTAGGGGGTAATCTGTGTCTTAGTAAAACATATAGAACTTTTACATACATATAGAAATTTTATATGGTCCAAGAAGAAATTATTGATTTAATCTAGAACATTTTTTCTTCTAAAAGTTTGGCATTTTTTATAATTTAAATTATTATATAGCTACAATTATTAATAAAAACAAGTTAAAATTACCTCACTAAGTTTGACACCAGATGTGGTGAAGGATTGTTCTAGAAGTTGTTGCACACTGGGTAAAGAGACATGCTCATCTTTCTCTACGAACAATTGGTAGCAGTAAGCTTCTTGTCCCGAAGATAATTTAAGAAATGGCTCGGCTCTTAAAAGTTGCGCTACTAAACCGTTTAAAAATTCTTCTGGGTCCTATAAATAGAAATAGGGTTACAAATATTAATGAGAGAGGGTTACAATATAATTATATTTTTATAACTATATTTTAAATTCAAAATAGATTATAAATAGACAAAAAACATTTGTTGTGTACTGACGTTTTTGACGGATTGACTGTTGTTTTTTTCACAACTCCCCCACCAGGAATATATCCTGTGGCTACTTGACAAACATGAAACGGATACGAAGAGCACCCAGACTCAGAGCATCAATTTGTGGATCACGCAGAGTTATCCCATGTGGGAATCGAACTTACAATACTCATAACGACTTGCGTGTTGTGGGCGGCGAGGTGACCGCTTAAACAACGTGTAGTCAAAAAATAATCATCAACAGCCATAACAGCCCAGTTCAGGCCTCTCCTCAGAAAAGAGGTTTTGGCTTACCATACTATGCTGGAAAATAATATACTTTGTCTATCTATTCCAAGTCCGCCTGGCCGACCTATCCAGCCGATTTTCTATTTTTGATCATTATATTGATTAGATATGAGTATCCAATCAATATAATGATCAAATTTAAGGGATATGAATTAAAATCATAAACACACCTTTTCCTCTGACGTGAGTCCGGGCACATCGGACAGTCGCTCAAGTAACGTACGCAACTTCATGACCCTGTCAGCGCGTACATAACCATGCCTACGCAATGGATTCACTATTTCCTCCCGCAGAACACGCTGCACTTCTGAATAGTGTGGAGAATCCTGAACAGATTTAATACACTTAAAATATGAAAAAAATAGCTTTCTTACCTGAAGCTAAACGTACAAAATATTTTCTTTTTTTATTCAGTGCAAGCCAGCACAATGCATTAACAAGCCGAAATAATAATACCTACAACTGTTTGTTTATATGTATCATTCTGTAAAAGACAATGGCAGGCATGTATGACAATTTTGTACCGCCTTATATATCTAATGGTAGGGATCATTTTTGTATTTATTTGGCTGGTAATATCATTGACAATTACAGTTCTAATTATCAGAATCTTAGAACTATGCGTTCAAAAGTTATTTCAGTTAGTAGTTTACATATAAGCTGTACTGAAGTCGATACCCATGACAGATGGCTGTCACAAATGAGTAATTGCTGTCAACAAGTTAACGTAGGTGTTAAAAAGTTGCACCAGGGACTTCCTTTCTAGGGTATACCTGGTTCCCCGGCTATTAGTACCCGGCGACGGCGTGCGGTTTTAGTCGGTTCGTGTCCGACATGCCACCGACAGGTGGTATCCGAGGGGATTTCCGCACGGAAAAAAAAAAAAAAAAAGGTGTTAAAAAGTTAAGGTGGCTGGTAGGTAGCTTTTGAAATCAAAATTATTCGTTTACGATTTTCTTAATCCGTCAATAAAATATGTCGTAATGTTCACGATTAATCTAATCGATATGAACAAACTTTATTGGTCTCGTTCCTTAAATTAGTTGATTTAAAATAATTAATTCGTTTATTACTTCGTTTCATTTGTACAGTCAACATCAGTAATACAAGTTGCTAAAGTAAGCTCATTCACAAATATCGATTTAAACCTCTCGTTATGTATGTAATTTATATTTTATGTATGGCATGTTTAAAAAATGTAGGAATGCGTTTTCTGACAACACTTGAACGGTTAGCTATTGCAATTAGTTAGTTATTTTAACGACCGAATGGCGTAGTGGTTTGTGTAACGGACTGCTATTCCATAGGTCGTGGGTTCGATTCCCGCTAAAGTCAAACATTTGTGTGCATGAACATTTTATGTTTGATTTGGTCTGGGTGTTTCTATGTATAATAAGTATGTTTTAACAAAAATAAAAGTATATATGTATTTATATCAGTTGTCTAGTACCAATAGTACAAGCTCTGCTTAGTTTGGGACTAGATGGCGTTGTGTGAATGTGGTACAATATTATTATATTTATTATTATTATTATATTTAATAAATAATAATTGTAACAATTTTTTGAGATGAATTTATATACTTTTAGGAAACTTCTAAAAATATGATAATTATATGAAAATAGTTAGGATGAGACACTTTATAAATGGTACCAATCTCCTAACCATCCACTATGTATTGCTAGGTGTACAGGATCTGCCATTCTTCTTTATTATTTTGTCCGAGCGTTGTAATCAGATTATCACACATATTTATTTAGAATTGATTCGCTAGTATGGAGATTGAATTTGATCGGCTGGCCTGTTGGTCAAGTGGTAAGGTTAGGTTAGATTTAGATCGAAAACTAGGGCAAATGGTTGAGGTTTTGGTTAGTACAGGCTCTCCTAGGCTCTGCCTAGTTTGGGAACAGACGGCCGCGTGTGAGATGTGTGAGGCTATTTTTATTATTAATTAACAATTTCACAAACATTGTCAAGTACTATTCCATACAATAATCTCGTTATTATCTTACCTCTGGTTCTGGTGGACGGTATAATAGAGCGTCAAAAACGCTGGTAAATGTGAACATAGCAAAGAGCGTTGCGTCGAGGTAGCAAGAATTGTGATGTCCTTGAATGCCGCGGTTTTTACCGGCCAGCTCACCCAGCGAGCTCAGTGGCGCTACAACTCCTGGGACTACGGGACATTCTGGCTGAAATAAACGAATTATACTTAAATCAAAATAACTTGCAAAATTTGAAAGCATTCTATTCTACCCTAGTAAATTCTTATTTGATCTCATTTCACTGATTCCTTTCTAGGGTTAAACTCAAAATCGTACAAGTGACTAAAAAACCATCAAAATCGCTTACTGTTAAAATGGCGATCGGTCCATGTCGCGAATGGTCAAATTAGCAAACAATAATGTGTACACTACTATCTGACATTATGTACCACAATCAGAATGAAATTGCAGACATAGGCTATTTGACTAGCCTCTGTCTACCATTAATTAATGGATGATATTATTTATCATATCAAAAAGATATTAAGTAAGTAAGTGAAAACACTTATGACTCCTGAGTTGCAGGCGTTCATGGGCGGCGGTAGTCACTTTCTATCAGGTGACCCGTCTGCTCGTTTGCCCTCTCTCATAAAATAAAACCAATAAATAATAAACTTGTCACCATTGTTTGTTCTTTGTAATAGCCACTATCTTACTTTAGATCAGTTACAAAATTAGCCCCCGAGTATAACAGCTGTCTGTCCGTTTGCCCTCTATGCCGTAAAAATACATAGATTTATATCATTTCATTCATTCTTTGTTGTACACAATAAATTTCATTTGTGTGTTCGCTTTTTCATTTTCCCTACTCAACCGATCATTTTAAATTTTTATGAATTTCACACGTTCTCAACGTTACAGAAAAAGACCCAGAGGTATACCATTAGTCAGGAAAAACAAAAAGTAATAAAGATCTAATAAGCATCACAAGCGTGTCTACTAAAAAGAAATAAGTATTCTCAAATAACACACCTGATCAAAGTGTTCGCCGTCGTGCAAATCAGCGCGGTCGGGTGGCGGTGTGTCCCGGAAGCGTGCGTCTCGACGGCACAGCGGTAGCGGCACGAACAGTGCACGCCCCGAGGCGCATGAAAAAAGGCGTGTGCCTCCACGGCTACCATCACCCAGCCCGCATACACTCTCCTCTAGTTCCACGCCTGCTGTAGCCGTGTCTGGTAACAATAAATATAACTATTAATACATACGTATAGCTATACATTACATATGTATTAGACATCCACATTTTGACAAACATAACGTAATACTGTGCACTTACAGGAGGTTTCAAGCCTATTGCCGACAATCGGATTCTTTATGAATTAATGATGGAAAACTTGGAAGTGTATAAAAAAAGATGGTTGAGTGAGAAGAGGAAAACCCTAAGGAATAAGATTTATACACACGGGTTGGAGAGTAATGTAAACCTGTAACACGCAACCGTTGTGGCGGCGGATTCCGGTTTATATATTTTTACTATATTCTATTCTATTTAGGTCGATATTTTTTTACATTAAGCGAATACACATTTTTTTTATGACACAGTCCCGTAATTGCTAATGTATCATTATTTTTAAACGCTTTAAGTAAATAAATTATGGAACGAAAAGGTTCATACCGTCAATGACTCCAATCCATCTAACGACTCCGTAATAATGCTGATCAACGTCAGTGGCGACCTCCACTAAAGAACCAACTCCGATATCTTCGGGAACGTGCACAGGAGATGATCTCAAAGGCGCATTAGCTGCACGAGGTGAACCCAGCACTGGCGAGTCATAAAGCTCCTCGGCTCCCGCAACTTCACTATTACATAGATCTAAAATAAAACATAATTATTTTACAAAACACTAATCATAAACTACTTCACTTTTGTTAGATTTTATTTATCAAATAATTATTAAATTATCAAATAATTTATCAATTAAAAACAAAAGGCAACGAGTAAGTGTCCATTTAGCATATTCTCCCATTTCTTGAGAATATTTAGAAATATACATATGTTTATCCCAGGATATTCTATTCAACATTCTGGGAAATTGCCTCAAATTATATTCTTTATGCGGCTAGTTAGGTATCGCTTTTTACTAGGTCGATTGTATTTTTTTATTGCTTTTTTTATTATAGATATCAACATACACTCTTCACATTCGAGAACACTAAGCGGTATTTCATCAATAGGTAGATAATACGACATTTTTAAATAACAGAGCTACCGAGTGACCACACCAACCATGCGAACGGTCGACCGCCTCACTATTGATGACTAAAATTAGAAACTAGAGGAACTAAAATAAAACAACGATAGACGCGAGGTTAATGTACAGTATTCCAGTAGCACTTGTTTTTCAATACCTAACTAATTAGTTGGCAAATAGTAAACATTAATTTATATGATGGTAAATTCTAAAAGTTAATTTTTCGTTATTTTGGTAAAGGACAGGATTTAAACTCCAGGTAAAAATAAAGCTGTTACATTGTTTTTTCTTTAAGAATTTAATGTTGGTAATAGGCAAAGACAATGCTTTAGATTTTTAATGGATTTGAATCCATGTTGTACCACCAAGAAAATGCTCCAAAGAAAAATAAATAACTAGGAAATAATATCCTGAGCTCTAGCGACTTTCCACACTATTACTCTTAGCTACACTTGGGTCATTCGGATCCTTGACCATTGTTACTGTATTTGCTCTAAGTAGATTTTCTGGATTTCACGACTCTGAGCTGTGTTGTTGTTTTAGGTACCTTAAATTTCACAACATCTTGAATTTGAATTTAAATAGTCCACTGCTGGCCTCCTTAAAAAGGATGATTTGGCCCTACTATACCATGATGGCCAAACGGGTTGGTATGGGATTTGTTTCAAGTTTTACTTTTCTATGCAGTGCTGTTGTCTTGCAGAGTTTGTTCCCTAAGTCGGCTCTTACGACACCCACAGGATGAATAAGGGTGGTGACACTCTGTATTCTTAATCCGTCACCACTACCTTAACATAAGTATAAATTAAAAACTTGCAAATAAAATAATAATCTACCTATATACTTACATATAAATAGACACGACAATACAGTTGAGAACCGTTTTCTTTTTTGTTTGTTTAGTAGCTATTGACGAGTTATGTTAAAATTGTAACAAACCTATTAGAAGAATTCATATCCTAGCGTTCAGTTCAGTTAAAGTTTAGTTTGGTTTAATATTCAAGTGACTATTGTAAAAAACTGTTTTAATAAGTATATTTAAAAAAAAGTTATTGAGCCCGCTCAACGACGCGAAAATTGTAATAACGTAGGACGGAACGGATCTATGAACTTTATTGCTATACACATAAGATCGGAAATAGAATGTCGCTCAAAGTTGTTTACCTTTAAAACAACCTCTAGATTCCTAGAGAACCTTATGAAAACTTACTAGTAAAATGAAGTTTTTAGCGAGTGCCGAGTGGTATAAATACAGGCACGCCTTAGCTCATAGGATAGTTTGTTATACGCATGCAAAATGCTCGAAATATGCATAAAAAATTGCCAGAAAATGCAAAATTAAATAAGTTTTAAAACCCCAAAAATGAAGAAAAGTGGGTTTTAATTTTTATTTCAAAATCAGCTTAAAATTAGTAATCTATCTGTTGATAGGCGATAATAAGTAGGGGCAGTACATTACATTATTGTGAAAATACAGTAAGTTACATTATATTAAAATGTTTAATATTTTTGTAAACGTAAACAATCAAGTCTTCAATCATCCAAAATATTTTTGTAAGTCAAAAAGGACCACATCCACAAAGGTTAAATATGCAAATGCATATTTAACCCATCCTGAGCCACGCCAGCCAGCGTAACCACAGATCCCAAAAAAGGCAGATGCTGTGCTACGGTAATCAGACTGCTAATAAATATATTTAAATATTTCGAAATGGATACATAGTATAGATACATTACACCCGGACACAGAACAAATGATCATGCACCTCACACAATTATTTGTGCTGGGTTCGAATTAAAACCGCAACCTTCAGCACCAGCAGTCAGGGTCAATAACCACTAGACCTATAGGCCAGTGTATGAATAATTTACAAGAAATTGGCTAAGTATTTATAAAATAACATATTCATATTTTATCATATATTTAAAAAAAAAAAAACTAGTAAACCTGTACTAGGAATATATCCTGTGTCGCAGGGGACTTTACAAACATACATGAAACAAACACAAATAACACCCAGACTCAGAACGACAATTTGTGGATCACACAAAGCGTCCCATGTGGGGACCAAACCCACAAGACACGGTATAGTAGGAAGTGGCGTGGCGACCGCTTAAACCACTACGCCATCCGTGCAGTCGATATATCACCGTTACTGAGTAATAAAGATCAGCTCAATCAAAGATATCATCACCATTATGTACTTTTTGTGACACCAACCACCAAAACCAACTAAATATACAAATTAAAACCAAAAACACCTTCCTGACATAGGTTCTATAAACAATAAAAATCATTAACTAACCAACTAAAATGCCAGTCTCAATCTTCTTGGTGTCCTGTACCATTTTTGGTCTTGTTTCTTCACTAACAGGGGCTGGTGATGGCTGGTTATTACTTGCAGTTTTCAGACGTCTCCGTTCTGGGGCAATATGAGCCAACAGATTCACTGATTTAATTCTTTCATTTTGGGAAGAACGCTGCATAGTTGGTTTGTAATTGCGGGGCACTGATCCATAATTGGTGCGCTCAGGCTCAGGTGGTGCTGGAGGCCAGCTCCCTCCAATCAAGTTAAATAAATCAATCTGCAATTTCCAAACTTTCTATTACTCCCACTACATTTTTTCATTACTCACACTATATTTGAACCTTAGTAGTAAAAAAGCACTCCATGCACATACATCAATAGTTAGATATGTTCAAGTAAGAATACCTATACAAATAAATAAAATTGAAGTGTCTGTTTGTAATGTCAAAATAATAGATTTTTTCATGCTCACATGGATTTTTGCTTGATACCAATGCTTAAAAGTTTTTTGTGTGTCTGTCTGTTTGTTCCAGGTAATTTTCTAAACGGCTGGACCGATTTCGATAATATTTTTCTACCAGGTAGCAGTCTATATAAGGAGAAACTTATTTTTCCTCTCAGAAAAACCCCTAAAATTTTGCCAGGTCTGGGAATCGAACCCACTAAGGCAGCACTTTTCAAATTCCTCACAAATGAAGTCACGGGTACCAGCTAGTTCAATGTAAAATATAACTCTTGCCAAATAAAATTAAACTATGTACGAGTCACCTTAGTGGTTTTATAGAACCTAAAAACAAGAATATTATTTTATACCTCTATTATTTAAACATTAAATAAATTTTAAAAACTTACTAGTTTTTAGGCACATTTACCTTTGGCCTATTTTTTATTAAGGTTTTAGTAAAGTTAAACAAATGTATTAATGTACCAACCATTGTATGTTATTAGAGCTAACAAATCACAGTTGTAATTATAGTAGAAATGCCCCCTTTACCCAAATAAGCAGTTATAATATTTGGCAAAATATCATGTAGGTACCATAAGTTGCAGTCCAATCCAAAGGTCAAAAAGATTAGTTTCCAATTTGAATAAAAATTATGTTCTAATTTATTTCAAGTTATGTATTATTTCTTCATAGCTATATAACTAATTACTTGTTTTTCTTTGAAGTTAAGGTTACAATAAGTGAAATCATTTACAGAAAAAACTAATTAAAGTGTTCACAACACCAATTGAATTTAGCCAATCATGATTTCAATATTCAAGCATTAAAAGATAATTAATATGATCAAGTTAATTCTATGGTTAGTTGTTTATAACAGTTATTATAAAGTGCACATTGGTAATAAATAGGTAACACATTTTCCGCACAGATCACAAAACATAGGAGTAATGTTAGATGTTAATTAGTTAGCTTAACAGTTTTGTAAAATATTATAAGTGTAAAATAATGAAAACATTCGAAAACCTGTTGGGTGTCCCTGGTCTGATTTACATTATCATTTTCTGGTAAATTTTCAGTAGACAAAAAATTCATTCTTGACGATGAAGTGTAATCAAAGCCACTATCAGCTGCCTGATATATTATGTAGTTTTCAATAATTTATTTAGTTCCCTTAATAGTTAGAACTATTAATAATTACGAAACGACTAACCTTTTATTGGAATTATCACGATCTATAAATCGCTATATACTACATAAACTACATGCACCTAAACAATCATTACATTCACAATGTTTTGAACTTTTGATTACAAGACTTCTGACATTGCTGTCAAATTCTGGTGTTGGGTTCTTATTCTTGCGTACATCAAGTGTGAAAACAATCTCGATCGTTGGGTTACCTATGTCGAAAGACAATCTACAGATATCCTAAAAGGAACACAAAACTACACTAAACTTAGAATACCCGGCATACCACACACACTAGAGAATAACAGTACCAGCACAGTGAGGCAGGATGTTAAAGGCCAGTAGAATTAAAATAGTAGCTGGACGAAATTCCTAACATGCAACGACATATATTATATTTTTGACTATGATTATAGATAAGGAACGTCCCTATGAAATAAATCTAATTTTAATGTGGCAAAAAAAACTTAAAAAAACAGTATTTTTTAAATAGGCAATAGCCGATTTGCAATATCTGCAATTAACGTATAGGGCTTTGTAGGCCATATAATAACAGTTAATCTGCCACCAGAAATATCAAAATCTGTTTTAAATAATCTCAATATACCGTCGAAAATAACAAAATTTTTATTATTTTGTTAATAATCATCCTACAGTTATAAAACTTGGTGAAAATATGTATTTTGATACTATGAAACCACCATAATTCAATAAAATAAATATTGCAAACTCTTGAAAAAAAGCCCTTTAATTAAAAGGGTCTCTAAATTTTACTTCAATCTGACCGAATGACTGAATTCCTGTTATCAAATATTACTTACTAAACTTAAATCTGTTACTGGACAAACTTTTTTGTATTTTTTCAATAGCTAAATGGCGTTTTACAAAGTACTTACGCCTTTTGCGGGCTGTGTTTTTTTGCAAATAGCTTTCAAATAAATCATCATATCATCGGCATTCAACTTACGTATTCTTGTACCTGGTATTTTTTCACGAATTTAAAAATAAAATACAATCTATTTTATTTTTATACACCAAAATTCTAAAAAAGTTGGTAGGTATTAATAAAACCTCTATCCGAAAAAGTTTTGTTACTGACTGCCTTAGGTGAAAATATAACATACTACTACGGAATATACTATGTGTTGAACGCGACTGGTGGTGATTATAAGTACTAAATACATATATTATAAGACATAATGTAAACTCATTGACATAGAAGTTATTAATTATGGGACATTGAAGTCTCCCAGGTACTAGTTCTTTCACTTATTTCTTGAAGGAAGCAAGTGTTTGTGTACGTCTGCTTGCGACCGATAGGTATTTCACTCCAGTCCATCGCCTCTAACTCTAAAAGGCGCAAGTCCGACTGGACGGGACTGGATGACATAATGTTCTCATCTCTATGCAGGGGCACCACAGTACCAGCTTCTCCCTCTGAACTGTATCGAAAGAAGAGCGATTCGAATCGTCGATAGCCAAAAGATTTGGGACCGGTTGGATCCCTTGGCGTTACGTCGAGATGTAGCTTCGCTCTGCATTTTCCATCGTATCTATCATGGAGAGTGCTCCGAGGAATTGTTTGAACTAATACCGGCCGCAACCTTCCGGCATCGTTCTACAAGGCAAAATTTTCATCCCCACTACTGTGCGCTTTTCAAGACAACAGCAAGTTATCGGCTGCGGTATTTCCGGATCGATAGAGCCCTCAAACCTTCAAGAAAAGAGCGTACTCCTTTCTCAAAGGCTCCCAACGCGCTTTTGACTCCTGAGTTGCAGGTGTTTATCGGCGGCGCTAGTCGCTTTCCATCAGGTGACCCGCCTGCTCGTTTGCCCCCTATTCCATAAAAAAATCATCCGCCTATAGATGGGCGGAAGAAGATTTTATATTAGTTATAATATTAATAATATTATAACTAATAATAATTATTCTCATTATTCATTGACGTTTTTGTTATTAGATATTCTAAATGTATATACATAATTAAAAAAAAAGTTAATCTGACGTAAGTTACCTACTCATTTAGTCAACAATAATCAAAGTTATAACCAAAACGTACAGCAAAAAAGAATATAATAGAAAGGTAGTAAAATTGCGTACCAGAACAATTTTTACTTGGTATATCGTTCAAAACCCTGAAAAATGGTACGCATACCAAGAAATTGGTATATGTAACTTCCCTGCAGTGAAGCAGGGCAGACCACAGCACTAATTTCTCAAGGGGAAATCCACTGAGATCAACTGAAAACATTTTATGTCAAGATAATGATGTGTTTAAGTGAACGTACATTTCAGAAATACAAATAGGGCACCGGGCACGTTCCAGCCTGCAGGTATGAAAATTTCAAAATTAAAAAAATCCCATTTTATAGATCTCAATTAGCCCTTTCGACCTACGTTAATTAATTTATAAGCCCCTTTTTCGTTTTCCCAGGAAAAATAGAAATATAATTTTCAATTTTCCTCTACTTAAAATAGCCATATCTCTTTGAAAAATGATTATTTTTTACTCTACCAAGCGTAAAAAAATTGCCCTTGCGCTAATTTAATTTGCCCGCGTGCTAATTCTTAAAAATATTCAATAATTAATATTGTAAACAGTAAAAAACCGTCGTGGCTTTTCCAAGCCAATTATGCGCATGCGCGACAGAATCAAACAGTAATAGCTAGCCATACACGCACAGATCTGCCCGCCGGATCTGTCCGACAAACGTGCCTGGCGGACAGATCCGTGCGTGTATGGTGAGAAGGGACACGGATTTGCACGCCGGGTGCCTGCCCGCTGCCCGTGGTCAAATCGAGGGGATCGGGCACGGGGCGGGTAGATCCGAACTCCCAACTGTGCGTGTGTGCGTAGCGACGGATGTACCCGCCAGATTTGACGTCAGTCGCGCTCTAACACTCGAAGTATGGAGCGTAGAGGTAAGGAGAACCATCTCATAAATTAAAAAGTGTCCACTGAAAGGTAGCAAATTAAGATGGCGCCACAATAGCAAGTGGGTGGAAAATTTAAAAATAGCGCCACAGATAATTAGAGTAGGATACGATTAAAGAAGGAAAGAAGCTTTCCCATTGCTTCTACACTAGTTTAAAAACAAATTACTTAATTACAATTAACAAAAATGTACCTACAAAAGTTTATATTTACAGGTTATATTCACTAAATTACATTTGACTACGTAAATAGTTCAGGTTTTAAATACTGCATATCTCCTAAATTATTAAAAAATAACAAAAATGTACCTACAACAGTTTATAACAATCGAATCACTATCTGTGTTTATATAACTGCTAAATTCATATCATTTCCTTTTCCGACACTAACGCCTATTTACAGGTGGACACTTTTTCAACCGATCCCCCATATTAGATGGTTCTCCTTACCTCTACCCTCCATAACTCGAAGTAATATACCTACATGAGTTTGATCACAGAAATGGCCGAAATGGAAGAATTTTGGACAAGTTTTATAGAGCTTTATAAGCCTTGACTTGTTTGTGGAAAATCAAAGATAAACAATTGTACCTTAATAAAGATTTAAAGGCACAAGCATACGAAAACTTGGTCGAAAATGCAACGCAATCAATCCGCGTTTCACTTTACTTAGAAGGTATTCAAAAGCTGATATATCCATTCTTAAAAAATTGAACAAATCAGCAGGCTCATGGATTGACAAATCTCTGAGTAGAATCATACGGCTATATCGCGGCCGTTTTTCTAGCCATTGCTTTACCCAAACTCTTCTTCGTTTTCATTCTTCGAGACAAATAAAACCACCACATATTATTGCTAATTTATGCTTTGAAATAGACATTTTTACAGACGACCGTATTTGCTGGCATTACGATCAGAACTGCTGCCCGTACTCGTGTGTGGCGAATCACGGATCTGCCTGTCGGACAGATCCGGCAGGCAGATCTGTGCGTGTATGGCTAGCTTATATCCACCCCATAAGAAGAATATAGAGAATAGCAGTATCGTCATTTTAACTCAGTATACACCTTGAAAAACAAAGAATATAATCCATTTTCCTAGTTTCAGACAACAATCCGAGTTATTTTTTAATTTATTTATTTTAGAACTATGAACTTGTGTAAATCGGCGGACTTAATGCCCAGGACATTCTCTACCAGCCCACCTTTGGGTGGTTCAGAAATCTGGTGAGGTAGGTGCACTGAGGTTACAGTTGTAATAGTAGCATACATATAGTTTGAATTAACATATACAATTACTCATATTATACATACACACATATACATACATAAACATACATAAATACACATAAATACATATACTTTATAGTACACTGTAAATAGGGAGGTGTACTATCGAGTAGGTAATTCCGCCAACTGAAGAAGGTACATGCTTTTTAAATGTGAAGAAGCTGTGCAAAAGCTATCGGACGGTCTCTCTGCACTCAGCGCTGATCCTGGCTGGTATGCTCCCTCTGGACCTCAGAGTTCGCTAGGTGGCTTCGCTTTACGAAGCCAAGAGAGGGGTGTACCAGTCATGGTTGCGAGACATGGAGATCGAACAAATAACTTCGGCTACAGAGGCACCACACCCCGTGGAGTATGGGGCCTTGGAGTTCAAATGCCTGGAAGACGAGGAACAAATACAGCGCACCGATAATATCGAGGTGCGCATCTTCACGGACGGAAGCAAGATTGAGGGCCGGGTTGGCGCCGCGTTATCCATATGGAATAACGGGGGAGAAACCAGGGCCCTCAAACTTGCTTTGTCACCCCACTGTCTACCAGGCCGAGCTTCTGGCCCTATGCAAAGCGGCCAGTGAGGTCCTCCAGCGAGGAGAAACCATGTTCAGTATCTTCAGCGTCAGCAGAGCCGCACTCCTGACGGTAATTAACCGTCATACCCTCCATCTCCTGGCAGTGGAGGCCAGGGTAGCCATTCAAAAAGGCATGGCCCGGGGTAAGGAGATATCTTTATTCTGGGTCAGGGCCACGCAGGGTTGGGGGGTAATGAGCTAGCCGACCAGCGACATTCGGTCGCTTCGGACTTGACGCGATTCAAGTGTAGGGAGAACTCAGCATGCATTTGTGATCCAAACGTCAGCGAGACTGTCCCTCACCTTATTACTGAATGCTCTACCTTTGGCAGACAAAGGTATGAAACAGAACAGGAATTAGATACTAAAATAGCAATAGAAAATTTAAGTAATATTATAAAAGGTAACAATAGGTGTACATTCTTGAAACACTGCACAAACATAGTAGATTTAGTAAATAAAAGAAATAGAAGTTAAGACATATGTGACAAAATAATGTGACATTATTATTGTTCAACATAGAATAAGGATAGCAATTTAAGTAATAGAGTAACTTGTGTAGTAAATTAAGATAATATATTAGATATAGTTTTGAATTTGTAATTTAGTCATAAGAAATGTATAGTAAATAAGTAATATAGCAAATAAATTAAAAACCATGTGAATAAAAACCTTTGTCTTGTGTGAAAAATTAATTAACCTAAATAAAGTAAAAAAGAAAATAAAGTCACAGATTAGCAGGAATCCCACCTGGACGGTATGAAAGGTTAAATGAAAGAAAGAACAAGTATGCGGAATAAAAGTACGAGAGGTAGCAAATGCGAGAACTAGTATGAATGAGTAGAGTAGGCAATAGGCTCCAAAGAGCATTGGAGGTGTAAGTATATATAAAAAAAAAAAACTGCTTGCACAAAGAACGAACAGTTCATGAACTCGGAATTCTGGGAGGGACACGTAGTCAAACTTTCAAAGATTAAATGTATATCGAATGCAGTTATTATAAAGACGGTCTAGCTTGTTTAGGAGGTCTCGAAGTTTGAGGTCAAAGTAACACACACACACATCATCACATCAACAGCCTTTACTAGTCCACTGCTGGACATAGGCCTCTCCTTAGAAAGGTTTGGCCAGCGTGGTATAGTAGGCCACTATACCACGCTGGCCAGACGAGTTGGTATAGGGTTTGTGTCAAGTTTTCCTTCTTTTTGCAGTGCTGGTGTCCTGCCTTGTTTTGCGCCCTTAGTCAGCTCTTACGACACCCACGGGATGAATTGGGATAGTAACATTCCGTATTCATAGTCCGTCACTACACGGACAATTGACTTTTTTTTTTTAAAATACTTAGTAGTAAATTATTTAAATTAATTATCAAATTATAATGAAATGATAAAATTACCTATCTCAATAATAGAACCTATTATTTATGTGAATTTTTGTATTAATTATTTCAATTATAGTAACGACTTGATTTTGGCTAAATTTAATTAATTGATTTGAGTAACAAAAATAATAAAAATAGAACATTGCTTTGCACATTGCACTGCAGATTTGAAACATTGAAATTGTTTTGTTGAAATAATAAGTATAAAAGGAAAGAATATGAGAGGAAATAATAATATATATCAAAATTATAATATTCACATTTTTTTAAAGAAAACAGTGAGGCGACAGCCTGTTAAACCCTTTGTATTAGACGTTTAACATTTATTAAGAAAATATAAAATAAATGTTAAATAAGTGACGGGCAACGGGTTATTAAACAATAAGATACAGACGCGGTCACCAGTTCCGAATAAGCCGGTTACCATCTTTATAATATCGTTATGTCAAGCAAATACGCATTCAGCAACCTATAATTAGAAATTAGATCTATTATCGGCCAACATATGTAGGTCCGATGTTTGCGTTAAGAGCGCTTGTACCACTTTGATGTTTATCAATATCATAAGTATCTGTTCGAGGTTTTCATAGCTCTCTACGATGAATGAACCGGTAAGGTACCCACTTATTGCAAAAAGATAGGTTTTTCTACAGCAAACGCTAGTATGATGAGTATTGGTTTTACAATACTTTATCATATAAGTTCAAAATTCTTAAGTTATGTGTACCTAGTTATTAATTTTCAAACAGTAATTTTAATTTCACCAAAATTTAAAGGGAATCAATTGAAGAATTGTTTTGATTTCCGGATAGATTTTTAAAATGAATGACTTGTTTTATAATACCAGATGCTTTAAGCAAATTTTTTCTATCTTTGTTTCACCTTAATTCAGTCCCGTTTAGCTGGCCCTATTCAACGGTACCCTAAAATCGTATGTTAGTCGACTATTTTAACACACTTTTGTTTTGGAGTCCCTCACTCTCAATGTCAAATAGTGGTCAATAAAAGAAACGTCAAACCAACCCGGTTTATTTACCTCTGTGTGTTCTGTTCAGTATGTTAAATGAAATATAATACATAAAGTAAAAATAAACGGATATTAAATGTTGCATATTAATACTGAAGGTAAAACGATATCTGTAAAGTTATCAATAAATTTTTAATTATCACATAATCTACCTTAAATACGTACCAACTTTTCAACATTTAAAAATCTGGAAAGTAGATCAAAGCATTTCAATATTTTCAGCCTAATCCAAACAGTATGATTCGTCAAGGCAGTATTGACGATATTAACTCACAACAATTTCTCAAGGTATCCAACTATGAAGATACTGTTCGTCAGCTGGACATATATTATGCTATTGGTATGTGCAAAATTTATTCTAGTGTCATCTCATATTTTATTTATCATTAGATTTTTTTAAATAAAATCTATCATGAACTTGGGTTTTATTCTAAAAAAATTATCAGAAACATTTAGCTTTTTATATATATAAATTATTTCGTTATGGTAAATTTATTTTTTGATTTTATATTTAATATCGAAGAACAGTGAAATTCCTGCCCAAAAGGGAGCTGCCTAACTAAAATAAAAATCCATTATAATCTTAAATTCTTTCTTTCTCTATTAAAAATTAAAAACAAAATCTTGCTTTTCCTTTTCATAGGAGTACTACTTTTCACTAATAAAACCCAAGCTTGGTAATATTCATAGGCTTCTATAATAGCTTTGATAGAAATACAAAGTATATAATTGCAAATTCTCACTTGCATCTTTGGCTAGGGGGTTTGAGTTGTAGGTAATGATACCAATCAAACTACAATCATGAGATGAAAAGTATAATATAATAATAATATTGGAAATATAAAGATTATTAAGCAGCGTCCACACTATGCCGGAGTATGCCGGGCGAGGCCGGGCCGGCACGACGTCCACACCGAAAACGAGGCCGCCCGGGTTATATCTACCTATTAGTTTCAATTCGACACCAAGACTGGACAACTAAAGCCGCCCGGTGCCGCTCGGCACGTCCCCACTACATATTTTCGTTCGGCTCGGGCCGGCAGCGTCCACACCAACCCGGCTTAGGCCGCCCGGGTCAGCCCGCTCGGCCTCGCCTGGCATAGTGTGGACGCTGCTTTACCATCTTAGGTGTACACAACCTAGGATATATGTTTATGAGTGACAGGACACCTGACAAAGACCTGGAAAGGAGAGTCCAATCAGGGACTCGGTAAATGGTCCTCTGCATTCTCTTCAAAATCAAAGGTCAACAATCAAAATCTGTCATTAAATACACATTTGTTTATTCTTGAGAGAGTGTTAGTGGTTGACTGGTGTACGGCAGGCAGAATTGGGCATGGCAAATGAAAACTTTCCCTACTAAATCACAAGTACAACAGTATGAAAACTGTTTTTGTCAAACATTATTATCAAAGTCAAGTTTTGCAATGGTCTTTTTGAATGTGTAACTAAAATCTTTTGATATTGCAGTGAAACGGCAGTTGTTAAGATTTCAAAGTCCAATTACAGGACTTTTTCCAGTTTTGTCATCTGATCTGCACATCGGAAGTGTTCGAGATAGTATTTATTGTGCATCTGCTGTATGGGGACTATATCAGGCATACAGGTATAACATGTTAACTGCAAAAAACAAAATAGAATAAGTTATATTCATTGTTGAGAAGTCACCCTTGAAGTTGCAATTATGGTGAAGGGACCGTTACTAAATAGGTTTAGTGTAGTTACGGATACTAAATAGGTTTAGTGTAGGTGAAAAGCTTGGCCCTGTCTCTTTTATCATGCTGCATTTTGTTAACCAATACACAACCTTCTAAAACTTAATTGAATATTTTTATTCCTATGGGAAAAATGCCATAAGACTATTGAAATCAATGTAAAAAAGTTAACTTCTGTTTAGGTACACATGATTTGAATGCTAAAAATGTACCTACTTGTTTATCTTTTCCTATTATGGATGCCATGTACTCACAGAACTCCAGAAATTCTGTACACTGTACACTTTTTAGTATTTTGTTTTACACTACTCGTATTCTGTATAATGAGTATAAAGAACTTTGAAATTTAAAAAATCACTCCTGGCCTTTCAGGCGCATTGATGACGATCGAGGCAAGTCTCACGAATTAGGCCAGAGTACAGTAAAATGTATGCGCGGCATTCTTGAGTGTTGGGTGAAGCAATCGGCGAGAGTTGAGGCTTTCAAGACGCGCCAGAGTGCGGCGCACGCGCTGCATGTTAAATTCCACCTGACAACAGGTGAACCTGTCCTCTCTGATGAACAATACCAGCACCTGCAAATTGATGTGGTGTCACTGTATCTTCTGTTCCTCGTTCAAATGATCACTTCGGGACTGCAAATTATTTATACACAGGTATCTGTAAATTACTTATACGTACTTGAACCATTAAATAAACAGGGTGTTAAGGAAACGACGACAGATGATGGTACTAATGATACCTTTTATGAAGAGTCAGAAAAAGATTGATCCCATTGTAAAATTCATAGCTCATTACACCCACTCGACACTCGACTAGCATCACCTCGAGCGTTGACGGGTAGTCCACGGGTAGACGCTGCGATGTTATCAAAAAAACGATACGACATACACGTTCGAGGAGGAGCGGTGTGCCGCATATGCATCGTCCTCGCGCGTGAACCACTCGCGGACAGCGCGATTCATCGAGTGGACCAGTCGTCGTCCATGCGTGGACAACCCGCGGGCGAGGCGCTCCGGAGTTGATATAGTGAGTCTATACCCATAGTACTTCATACAAATAATACTAACCGCTCGAGGCAAGGCGGTGCTGGTGGGGTGTTGGGTGGCTCTAATGAGCTATGACCTTATGACTCATGACTGTTACTTTAACTACAACCTGCAGATATGTGTTATAGGGCACGGAAGAACTCATATTTCTTATCTTGTTTATTTCCTTTTTAATTTGAGTCAAGAAACACAAGTATTTTCTTAAATTCAGGACGAAGTAGCATTTGTTCAAAACCTCGTCTATTACGTAGAGAGAGCTTACAGAACGCCTGACTATGGTATGTGGGAACGAGGCTCTAAATACAACGATGGAAAACCTGAAATTCACGCATCATCTATTGGTATGACTACATTTTTTGACACTATTAATACAAATTGCAAATATGTACCTATGATGTAATTTAAATTATTATAATAATCTTATAGCAGTTTTATTAAATCAAAGTAATTAAATATTATTATGTCTCTGGTAGCATAAATGTAGGCGGAATCGTGGATTGTATTCAAATAGTTTATAGAATAATAAGATTTACACAACTAATATAGTATTAGGTTCATCATAGTATGATAGTCCAGTTTCCAGTGCAAATAATGTGAAGTACTTTCTACATTTTAATATATTTTAATAATATTAAATTCTAAAGCCTTGATTAGAATTGCATTTGTAAAATGAAGAGACTAAACCAGAAACGAGGAAATCGTGAAAAATAAAATCCTTTTCTACACATTACTTTCATTCCAGGGATGGCTAAAGCAGCTCTGGAAGCTATCAATGGCTGCAATTTGTTTGGGGATAAAGGAGCTTCTTGGAGTGTAGTTTATGTAGACATCGATGCTCACAATCGCAACAGAAGCATCTTCGAAACCATGCTACCTCGTGAATCCAGTTCCAAAGTAATGCACAAAAGTACTAAAAATATAAAATATTCATTTAATACTCCCATTTACACAGGTGTACCTACAATTGTGTTCTACTAATCCCTCTCACACGCCCACCACTGTAACTCCTATACACCAGGATCAACAACAGTGACCTACGATTACACCTAGATATGACACTCGGGAAGTCCCAGGAACAAAAATTAAACTGTCTTGGCACCTGCAACGAAATTAATCAGAAGAAAATTGGAGGAGTTGGTAATATAATAAATCCACTTCCCTCCTTAGCAAAGCGGGAGACAAAATGAAGTAAAATAGGCATACACCCTTTTAAACAGGGAAGCACCACGGCCATAAAATATTATAGGACCTAAGTGAGCTATATTTGATTTCTATGATATGTACCTATGGTAGAACTGCCTAAACGCACGGAAATTTACCCTAGTTGACACAAGATCCCCATAGTATACCGCCCCAGATATCACCTGTAAGCTATTCAGCATTATATTACGTTCAATATACCAAAGACTACATTCCTAGAGGATATGATGAGCAGACTGTACACAGTTAGAGTCAGGTGTTGAGCATTGACACTGGTGACTCGACTAATGTAAATGAAAACAGTTTGCTCTTGAAGTTACCATGACCTGTAAGAAATTAAGCGTCACAGTGAACCTACCTCAAACCGTGCCCTCGACAACCTTGCGCGAACAGTTGGAAAGAACTGGTAAAGGTGGCGCCCCTTAGATAATTCGTTCCAACGTTAAACACTGGGACCCGTTCATACAACGTAATGCTCAATACTCGATTTTTAAAATGAGGATATTTTAAAAACAAACTATGTAAGGGTAGACTTAAGAATGTATCACATCATTTGTACAAATACTAAATCAGTAACTGCCACCTGCTGTCCAGTTCGTCACCTCAAAGTTTACCATATTCGCAAATCATTCATCGTCCGATAATGTCCGTGAGTTTATAAAAAAAAAAGTTTTCTTGCACTTGTCTTTTTTTAGGCATTATGATGTTACTATAAAATCAAAATAGCCAGTCCCTAATTATGGATTTTAATAAATAAAATATATTTTAAAGAGAACAGTTACAAATCATGTGTTACAACTAATTATTTTGCTAAAGACAACTTAATTTCGATAGATAAATAGTACATACTTCACCTTGAAAAAACCCAACTTTTGCGAGATTATATTCAAAAGTAGCTTTACCTGTGAAAAAGAAGTTCATGGACCTAGAAAACCAGCTCAGAGATCATACCATCTGCCTAGATTCACTAAAATTAGTAAAGTGAAATATTAAGAAGTCTTTTACATTTAAGCCTGCAGGCGGACGGCCGATGAAAAACCAGTCAAAACGCAGAAAAATTGCAGAACTTCTTCATAATTCTTCTGAAAAGTTAATATAAGCAGCACAAATGAGCTTGAAAGCTAGTGGAAAACGCTAGTACGAATACATGTTTAGAAAAAACTGTACCTGAATGTTACTGGTTAACTAACGAACAAATTGATACTCTTTTCTCCTTGATACCCAAGGACTATAAGATCGCACAAAATATTAATTCACGGTGATGTAAATATATCAAATTGTTTACTACCGATATGGCAGTTAAGTGAAGAAGCGCAAGAATCACGAAACAAGGACTTTAAAACATATATCTCTCGAAAAACCTTAAGAAAAAGTAGCTTAAAAAATATATTTAATCTTATACGCAATATATAAGAAAATTTAACACAGTTTTCTTAAAAAAAGATGGTTTGATCCTGAAGTAACAGATATGCTTTTAGAAGAATTAGTAACCGTTTCTTATGAATCTAATTGCTTCGGATGACGAAATACAATATATTTTATCAATTTTGCATTTTGACTGGTAGGTATTTTAATTCAAATAAACATTTTATAGCAATTTCTTTATGTTCTCGTGAAAATTATACGTTAAAAATCGCATTCCATGTTTTGTAGTGTTGAATAGTACAGTACCTCGAGATCGACCGGAAGCACACCCGCCAACACTGGCAAAGCCTCAGTGCTAATCGTCCTATATGCCTTGCACAAGATTATCAGCGCAAGTCGTTGGCTTTGTAACAGTTTGCGACGGATAGCGCCTACGGTTGCGCTATCGGCCCATACAGGTGCACCATAGCACATAGAACCTAAATTGTGAACCTACAATTGTGTTATCAATTTTCAGGGAGTCGATGCTGCACTATTACCAACAATCTCGTTTCCCGCTTTCGCGACACACGAGGAACATCTAGTTCAGTTAACTAAAACTAACATATTAAGACGTTTACAAGGAAAGTGTGGCTTCAAAAGATTTAGTCGTGATGGGTACAAATGTGTTCTGGAAGACCCTAACAGAAGGTTTTATCACGAGGGTGAATTGAAGGAATTTGATGGCATTGAATCAGAATGGCCTCTGTTCTATGTTATTATGATTATCGATGGTGTTTTCCGCACCTTGCCAGATCAAGTCGAAGAATACCAGAAACTTCTGAAAGCCAGAATATACATGGATGAACATGGTGGTATGTATAAATAGCCGCTATTTAAAACAGTCCAACAGACTAAAAAGGTTTATAATAGGATTGCCAATAAGATATTTGTTTGTTATTCTAAATAGTCGGTCTGTTGTTCCAGATCCTGTAATACCTTGGTACTACTATGTACCCCGGGAGGGTATAGAAAGTGAGCGCAGTGAACCTAACTCAGTGCGCAGACTGCCTGCAAGTAAGTCAATTGAGTATAATTTAATGATTATGGCTGGCTATAACAATTCATCAGGTTGATCATCTTGATCTAAATTATGATCTACAATATAAGCTTTTAACAGTATGGTACATTAACAGTATGTTGTTCTATTAAACATGTTTTCAAAATTTCAAAAATACATAATTATATTTACAGACCAGCCCGGTGAAAATTACGATAAAGGTAACACGTAATCGCATTGAGAATGCATCTATTTTCTTGTTTTAACATTTTTCGTTTTTTTTTTAACTGTTAACAATTAATTAATACCTATTAGTAGTTATACTTATTTCAGTTGTTCTGTTTTTTTTTTGTTTTTGGTTGATGCATCGTGTTCAGTTAAAAGATTATCCTTCGTATTATATTACGGTCAAGTTTCTTAAAAGACAGTGTTAGGGTTGTAATAATTCTTATAGAGGAGAAACTTGATAAGAACATTGGGATAAACTAAACGTGAAAAGACCCATGAATCCCCAAAGATCAATCCCGAATCTACAAAAAAAACAAGGTCAAAGGTGGCAAATATACGTTTTTTTATTGTATTTCTCATCCAAACGGTAAGAGTTTCATGAAATAGGTCATATAAAATTGTGGATTACGCAGTTATCTATTAAAAACTGTCCCTTACATAAGAACGAAATCATACTAACATATATTATTCCAAAAAAAAAAGTCTTGTTTTCCATGAATTCCAGCGTTTGGTAACCTACTTTTTAAGTGTCGCAAATTAACAGGTGTCTTTTTTATAAATGTTTGAAAAAAGCTAGTGAAAAAGGACGTTAATTGAGTATAATAGTGGTCTATATTTTTTTCTAAAGTAATCTTTAGGCAAATAAACATAAGACTGTGTAGCCTTCACCAAAAAGGCTGGTATTTTTTAATTTCATTAATGCTTTTGAATTGAGTCTTCTATATGTCAACAAAGTTCGGTGGGTGTATATTCTTAAATCTCGAATGACTCGGAAGTAACCAAGCTTAGGATACGGTATCCCGAGACTATATTCTAAGTACTTTGACCCGTTAAAATTTATGGTGTTTCTTAGAAAATGATTTTTTTATAGATAGGTTCACGATTCAACGATCTACAGTTTTTCCAACTTATTTTATCTAACCTTAGCCCGTAGCTCGGCTATCGTGAATTCTTTGTCTTTGACTTTGTCAATTAATTCAAGAAGTTTAGGAAAAGTACTTTTTCTGGATTGGATGGAGCCACGACAATCAATTATCACTGACAAACTGAGTGAAAAAGTTCATGTTCGTTAGCGCAATTACGGCATGAAAGTGTAATAAACAAACAAACAAAGAAAAGTCAACTCCGCCAGGCTTCAAAATGCAAAAAGCCATATTTGCGATCTTTGAAAATACATTTTTTTGCAGATGCGGAATACTTTTACATTTTATTAACAAAGGTTCTCCCAAGAATTGTACTAATTAAATTTCTACTCTATGTAAATTATTATAACCTTAAATGAATATTTTAACCGAACGACTTATAGTGGCAAAGGGTTAGTTAACTACCCTAAGTGCTAATATAATAAGGCCCTAATGTGAGTTTATTTCACATCAACTTGCTCTCGACGGGGACCGCGCTCGGCGTTACGATTGGCCTGCACTAAACTCTTCACCAATCGCAACGCCGAACGCGGTCGGCGTCGAGAGCGAGTTGAGTTGTTGTGAAATAAACTCATACTAGGCCCACTGCTTGCCTTAATTTTTTATAGCGACTAATATTGTCTAAATAATACGTCGTTAACCTTTTTTGTATTAAAATATGATAAGCAGTAGTTAATTTTATTTTCAATTACTGTAGCTATTTTAAATGCTTGTACAAATAAACTTAGTTTTCAGGCATTCGTAGACTGAGATGGTTTGGTTAAAGGTTGTTGGCTATATCTTCATAATTTAATGCAACACATTTGAAAATATAAACTTAATAATTTTTAAGTGTGTTTGCCATATATTTTCCATGTACTACAGACCACATACGGTAATAATGCTAATAAGAATAAAGGTACAAGGACAAGTCGACAGTGGCGGCCTTAGCCATTGCGAGGCCCCGGGCAGGTAGATCATTGGGACGCCCAGGGCTGGTGTATCATTGCGAGGCCCTTGTCTTTGTAGAATTAGTTTTAATGATCATCATTTGAAACAAAAAATGCAACGCAACACATGCTGATCGAACATAAAAGCATAAGCCGATGACATTTTACACTGGAAGCCTGTCAAGATCACAGGTGGAATGAAACTCGTTGAATACCCGAACGGTGAGGCGTAAGGCGCGAAATTTAAATATACATTTTTCTACTTGGATTGTTGCGCGAGTACGCAAGGCCTGCACGAGGGAGGCCCGGTTCGGTTGCCCTGCTCACTACCCCCAAAGGCCGCCCCTGACAGTTCACTGCATGGTTGCCTATTGCTATTCCGAGACGGACTGCAGATTACATATACCGTAGCTGTAGGCTCAGTCGTTTTCGCACCTTATCAAAATTGTTTATTCCCAGTAGTTCCATGAAGCCAGTTCCACATGGTACCGATATAACCTTAAAATTAGTTTTTTACCATTTGTTACATGTAATTTTATACTGCTTTTACAGCTTAAATTCATTAAAAATGTGCTACAAAAAATCATTTTCAGAAGAATATTTTAATCTAAGATTCATGTCCATAGCAGCAAGAATAGCAACTTTTCATGCAAGCTTCAAATACTTTCTGGCCAGCTCTTTTGAGTAATAGCGTGATAAAATGTAAATGCTACACGGGACTACGGTTAACCCGAATCGCGCACAACTGACACAGACAATCAGACAAGAGTTTTAAGAATCGTAATTTTGCATCTATTACATTTACGAAGACCCCATGTGCATTTTTTTTTATTTACCATGTATAATATCACCTCTTACAGTTTCAATTGCCAGTTGCAAAAGTTCCACGTGGAACTGGCTATATGGAACTACTTGGAATAAACCATCAAAATTGATGTCTTTGGCTAGAAAAAAAAGATAATGAAAATAAAATAAACTGAGCAGGTCCAAAGGAAGAAGTTTTGTGTGCGTCCTTGTTCTCCACAGCATCAATTTCATAGAAACCAGTATTATAAAAATATTAATTATTTCTACTTGATTTAGTGACAAAATAAACTTCTGTATCGTTAGTTACAAGCTCAGCTAAGCTACATACTTTCTTGCTTAGCAAACAGATAGTTGCTAACTACATCGATTTCGCAAACATATTGTTATTAATATTTTTCTAATATTCAGGTAAGCATCTGGCAATCGTTTTCTATTGTTTTTAGAGCATTTAATATGATTCGTGTATACTTATCACTACCGATTGTCGAACCTCCAGTGTATAAAGTATCGTGTGAATCTGTCTAACTCATTGAACTTCTTAGATGCTAACTTTATCTGAATAGATCACTAGTGACTTAGACTAGAATATTATTTGAGTTTTTAACATAAACGTGTTTTGATACCATTTTATTTGCGTTATGTCATTGAGATATACCAATACAATTAGAACGAATGGTTGGCAAATGCCTATTCTGTGGCAGTATAATTTAATTTTAAAACATGATTTAGATACGGGTGGTCTGTTCCTGTGGGCGCAATCCCTGTTTGTCCTGGCGCAGCTTTTGACTGGTGGACTATTGCATGTAAACGAGCTGGACCCCATCAGGAGATATCTGCCTTCGTACAACCGTCCGAAACGGGCAGGACGATATTCCGCATTCCAGGTAATCTGTTCTGTGGACTAACCGAATGTACTATTAAATCTCTATCTCGTTACCATGATATAGTTCTAACTTTAGATTTGTCTTTGTGGGCCCTGGAGTGCATTAACGTCCCATACCTATGATGCTTTTCTTCCCTGACTAGTATCCCTCAGTTATTAAATGTAAAATAAGCTGTCACCTTGGCCGATATACTATGACTTGTACCTTGCCTACTTGTACCTACTCAATTAAGTGCTTACTAACAACGTGTTAATTTGATCAAGAATAATATAATTAAAATACAGCCCGACAAAAACCAATGAATTAGTGATTTGAAATGAGAACAAAAATATAGTGGTCTTATTTCCAATAATTTCGTCTCATTTTGAACAAGTTTCAAGTAATTGTATACCATTAAAGTCCTAGCCAATTTTATCAGGACCATCTGTTCATAAGCTCAATCACTCAAAAACGAAAATGGAAATCCGTGGATCTTATGAAAAGTATTTATACAGCTTTTCTAAGTTCAAATATCGTTTTGCCTTTGTCTTTGTTTGGGGAAAGTAGCTTTAGTAAGAGAATTAATTGTGAGACAGTTATTTTTAAATATATTTATGAAGTCTCCTAGTCTCCTTTCCTCACAAACACAGTTATTAGTGGTTTATGTTATACTTCATACGAATTGTTGGTTTTACATGAAACCCGATTAACGCGATTAGTTTTCATGTAACGCACTTTCGCTTTAAATTCATTATTTCTGACTATGAAAACCGGCTTCGCTCTCTCAACGTAATGTCAACGTCTCGTCTCGACTTCGTCTCGTCTCTCACTTTACATGTATAAAAACACTTTGCATGGCTTGTATCCTATTTACATATATATTATACTAGCTGACCCGCGCAACTTCGTCTGCGTCTCTCAATAGTAATAAATTTTCTCCGTTTTTGAAACATTCTTCATTGGTGCTCCGCTCCTTTTGGTCTTAGCGTGATGATATATAGCCTATAGCCTTCCTCGATAAATGGGCTATCTAACACTAAAAGAATTTTTCAAATCGGACCAGTAGTTCCTGAGATTAGCGCGTTCAAACAAACAAACAAACAAACAAACTCTTCAGCTTTATAATATTAGTATAGATTTATAATAGGACAAAAGTTATGAGTATTAATTTAACTAGAATATAATGTTTTTATTTAAATTATTCGTTTTAAATAAAAAAAAATACCTTTTGTTTCATGGAAACTGGCAGGCCAAACCCACTGTTGTAAGTAAATAGAAATGTTAGCATGCGCTGCTAAACTTCAAATGCTGCTTTTTCTTTTATAGTTCTAAAACAGACTGAAATCTTATATTCATGCAGATTTGAGTGTGGGAACTTATTTACTCATACTTTTATTAGAAATTTAAAAAAAAAAACACGGTGGTGACGGATTAAGAATACGGAGTGTCACCACCCCTATTTAACCCGTGGGTGTCGTAAGAGTCGACTAAAGGAGCAAACTACGCAGGATAACAGCGCTGCAAAGAGAAGTAAAACTTGACACAAACCCTATACTAACTTGCCCGGCCATCGTGGTATAGTAGGCCAAAACCTACTTTCTACCTAGGAGAAGCCTATGTGCAGCAGTGGACTATCAAAGGCTGTTGATCATGATGAAAACAAGCTTGGGGAAATTCGCTCTATAAAGAAGCCCTAAGAAAAGATAAGCTCAGAGCATTATATCGAGAAGAGTACATCTTAAAGGTTCAATGTGAATCCAGGCTTATTTTGCAGCGTTTGTGTCATGTCGTGGCATTTTTTTGTGTTAGTAGGTTTCATGTTGAAGCAGTATTGCTAATTGTATAATAACAGCAATGACGCTTTTTTACTGTTTTTGTAATTTAAAATACACTTGCATAATTTCGTAGTAATATAAACGTAATATAATATATTTATTATTATTATTTCACTACTTTCTCATATTTGAATAAATCAACTACGGAGGACCTCTCTTTAAGATCTACTATCTTATTTTACTCTATTTAAGATCGTATAAAAACATCACTAATAGCTCAGTTTTATGTTTTGGTTGTATTACCAAATTCATCAGAATAGTGGCCAAGCCAGCGCTTAATTCCCGAACATTATCATCAGTGGGTCGTGGCCTTTTTGTTACTGTAGTTTATTTATAAACTTGTTTCTTTATTACAGGGTATAGCTACCGATCTTGTGGTTCAGGTTGTGTTGATAGCGGAGTCTATGCGTCTACAAGCCATGATGGGTACTTATGGGATACAAACACAAACACCTCATGAAGTGGAACCCGTGCAGGTACTACGTCTACCCACTAAACCCCGCGGCGGCCTACCTCGTCAGTCGGGAGGAACTCCAGGAACGCATCGGCGACTTCTGGAGTCCTCCCTGCCGTACCACATGTCTGAGGCACATCCCGGTGGGACCCTGGGGCAGGACGCTGCCGCGCCTCTCATTGTTCTACACAGTAACAGGCGCAACAGCGCACGACGCCCCCCGGCCGCACCGGAGTGTCATCTGTCTCGGGTCGTTTACAGCGGTCACATGGCCCCAAGATGTCGCAGCAGCGACCCTTAGGCGGCGATTGGGGAGCTAGCGACCTCTGCCGCTTCCCCTTCGCGGCCTCCTTCGAGCGGAATCGGCCCTCTCCCGATCCCGCTCTGCGGCCTCCTTCTGGAGCATAACGTCCTCGCAGACAGGTGACAGGTTTCTGACCAAGACTCGACATTTGGACTCCCATGCAGGGCAGTCCTCCAGCTTTTTGTATTGTATAACGCGTTCTTTGAGAAAGGTTAAAGGTAAAATATAAGTGCATAAATGCAGGCAACTGCATGAAACGGCTAGCCTAAAATAAAAATCTCTACGAAAGCATAATCGAATTTTGTGTAGAAGTTGGGAATATTTTTGGACGGGGCGGAGTTTAAATGATACAAGTTAAGTCAGTAGTATTACCAAAATGATAACCTAAAAATAAATAGTAACTGGAATCATATAAAACTTCGAATAATCTTAAAACATTCACATCAGTAACTATCTATCAGATAATCCATAATCCAATATTGCCGTTTCTTTTATAATAATTATAACATTATTATTAACTTAAATTATTCAATTTGAAGTTTATTATAATTATTTGTCCGTAAACATTTTTCATTACTAGGTGTGCAGCTCCACGCAGCTTGTTCATGTGTACCGGGAACTTGGTATTTGTCCTAAATTGAAACTTACTGGACGTCCTATAAGACCTATCGGATCACTTGGCACGAGCAAGGTACCTGTAATTTTGTACGACATTTTTCATTTAAAAATGAAAAATGTCGTATACGTATTTTAAACGACGCAATGTTGAAATATCAGAATTGAAATCTTAAGATTGCAACCGGATATCCGGCCACCAAAAATCCCGCTAAAAGTTGTTTATTACCTGTCCTTTCTGCCTGATGATATTAATGACGGGCCTGTTGGTCTAGTGGTTAGTGACCCTGACTGCTAAACCGCAGGTCGTGGGTTCGATTCCCACCCAGGAAAAATATTGTATGATGAGCACGGTCATTTGTTCTGTGTCTGGGTGGAATTAATCTATAATTTGTATGTATTTAGAAATATATAAGTATGTTTATCAGCAGTCTGGTTACCATAGTACAGGCTCTGCCAAGCTTGGGATCAGACGGCCGTGTGTGAGATATATTATTATAAAATGCCAGCAAATTAAATGAATCCGGCCGCGTACTACTACTAAATACTCGCGTACTATCCGAATGTTGTTTTAATTATACTTCAGTATCAACATTTTCTAGTTCATCTGAATATTTTTGCCGGTTTCTCATTAAACAGCCTAACTGTATTACTTACAGATATACAGAGTGTGCGGCATGACGGTGTTGTGTTACCCGCTTATATTCGAAGTATCAGAGTTCTATCTGTATCGAGACATGGCACTCCTTATTGATGATATTAAAACCGAACTCCAGTTTGTTGGAAAGTAAGATTAATTTATATATACTTAGTCTAGTATTATTAGAAGCCAATTTGCCCTACATACAAAGTACTTCAACCTGATAAGTATTTATCGTGTCACTTGTTTTAATATTCTATCACGTAAGTAAAAGTTTACATAATTCATCTATCTATTCTACTAACCTTTAATTAAGCAAAGGTCAATTCTTGTAATAAAAATTCAATCCCGATCTACTCTCGATCTCTCAAATGACATAAAAAGTATTCTCGTAGAGTTGTAGTAAAGTATTACTGCGACTAGTAGAATACTGATATGATATGATAGTGAAATCGGGAGATCGGCCCTGAATTTTTATGACGAGGGTTGAACTTCTGGTCTCTCAGGAAGGCGGATAATTAGGTAAGTTTGGTCGCGAACTATACATAGCTAAAATTGACGAAAAATTTCTTAGAAAATTTGTAAGTGGAAGTTCAAGATACATTAATAATAACGGCGTGAGAGGTCTATGGACCCCTGGTCGGAACGAAGTTCTTTTGGTCAACCTGGATTAACACATATACTACTTTTTATCTCGAAAAAATGTAGTGTTCCCGTGGGATAAGCAAGGAATTATTTTTTAGTGTATCTGATAAAAAGTGCGTAACTTAGATAATTAGGTATAATATTTAAAGAAGTAATGTTTCTCCCCAGGTACTGGCGGTTGTCCGGCAGGCCGACAGTGTGCCTGTTGGTCCGCGAGGAGCATATGCGCGACCCACACTTCAAGCACATGTTGGATTTATTCGCGATGCTCAAGAAGGGACATTGCGACGGTGTCAAAGTGCGACTCGGCCGTTTGCAGAACTTGATATCTAGTTCTTGCATGGGTAAGAATTTCTTTTCTATATAATTCATTAAGGTATAAAGGTTCCGATCCGGTTTCACTGCCCGTAGTTACAGGCTGGCCACGGTCTGTGTAATTTCAGTAAACATCATCACTAACAAACTTCAATAGTCCACTGCTGGACATAGGTCTCTCCTTAAAAAGGAGGTTCTGGCATATTATACTACGTTAGCCAGACAGCTGGTATTTGGGTTGTTATTATCGAACGTGGTAGTTTATATAAATGACCCCTCTACACGATGGCTAAATGAAAAGTAGTTTATGGTTAAATGTAAACTACTTTCAATCTAAAATGTGTTTGTTACAGTATACAAAAATATTTAGTATGTTAAATTTATATTTCTGTTGTAGCACCGTGACAACATCGTAGTACCTCGTAATTTTACTTCATAAATAACTATTAATTTCGTATTCCAAATACTTTAAATCGTTTAATTTTGCCTACAGAGCACTTAGACTTCATGAGTCAAGGCGAATTTCCAGCTGAAATGTTCACGCAGTTTAGGCAGTTGGAACACGAGTACATCGGTTACCAATCCTTAACGGATGTACCTCGTACACTCACCTATCGCGAAGAGAGTCTCTGCTATGAATCATACAAACACAGATCGACACCAGACGTGGTAGCCGCTCTCAGATCCACGGAAAATATCTTCGCTCAGTGCCAGCTCTGGGGTATATTGCTGGAGCGGGAAGGACCTCTGTTTGAGGTAATGCATTCATTTTAAGATAATAAATTAAAGTTGAATACATCAGCAATGTTTAATACATGACATTCTGCAGTTTACAGGTAATCAGATGAATATGATACTCTGATTATATCGAATGCATAGAAAAATTATGTTAAATGTTCTGACAACCACATACTCGATACCAAGAGACTATGTGACACTAGATTTTGCCCACGGCTTCACTCGCGTAAATGTCAATTTTGTCAATAAATTTGGCCGGGACAAATAGTAGCCTCTGTGCAATTCTAGACTATAATTTATCTAATCAGCCAAAACCACGCCCAGATCCAGATCGAAAAGTGAAAAAAATAGGTGTCATAATTATTATTTTTGATAGAACGTTGTAACTGTTATTTATACATTTTATTTGTATTGCGTACGGAGTTGTAAATAGTGACACCTGTCGCCCCGCGTCGCATTTATTGATTTATCCGAAGTAGATTGTAACTATAGTATTGATGTCTCTTCGTCCGCCATCGGACCACTAGATGGCGTGGTTTTTTTGGTAAGTCGTAGTAATAATTTATCCTGTCAAATTGTATTGGTGTTAAAAGTTTCCTGTTATGGTAGGAAGCGGGTTACTGTTGAATTGAGTCGTGTTAACCTCAATGATAATTTGAATTCGATTGGGCTCCAATTCATGATTAAATAAAGAAGGGATTCTTTCTAGAAATTTCACAAACCGAGCCTATATAAGTCCGGCTTTCAGCCGCAGGGGAGACTCTGGTGATTCTAGTCTTCCGATCTGAAGTAGCATTTTGATTGTCTGTTTATTCATTTTTAGTAAATTCTGTGTCCTAAGTACCCACTTCAGTGGGCTCCAGATTTCGGGTCAAGAGATACTTCTCAGACGGCGTGCTCTTTTGTTTGTGGCCTTCTTGTGCGTAAATGAGCTCCTAAGTTTCATCTGATTACTGGCAGCTCACAAGCTGGCGGTCAGCCTCATTCAAGGGTTACGTAATTTTTGTTAATGTAACTAATATAAATACCTAACCTACCTATATACCTAATATAAATAGCCGACTCGGGCTGTATATCTCCGCTGGGTAAGCCGGTGAGTAGACCGCCTGACACGTTCAGCGGTTACAACGTATAATTATATATTGAGAGTTTGGATTCGATAAGTTAAAAAAAGATGTTCCCCATACAAACTTGCACTCCTTTTTAAAGTTAGCTTTAAAAATTAGTAACAACGTTTTTTATTACTCTTATGGGCGCATACAAAATAAATACTTCGTGCGAAGTGTACGTCACCGAGGAAAGATTCAGCGTGCGGCAAACGGTCCATCGGGCCGCGCGCACCGCCAGTGCTATCCAGACTGTCCTAGCGCATCCCCGCCTCACTTCGTTAACTCCGCCGCCAAAACGAATAACTATTCGTTTATTTGTATAGTTTTCCTTCTCGTCGATCTTCTATTGGAACTCAACGGATAGCTATACTGGTGACCCCGACGTGATTAGAAGCAGCCTTCAAGGAGCAAATCAGCAGCACCACCATCGTGTAATCTCATCTCAAGTCTCAGCCAGTCAGCAAACTCGGCCTCAACAGGGATACCACACGCAGGTATCGACCGTTCCAGCCTGGTTACCCCTACGGCCTTACGGCCACAGCACACTGCAACTGCAGTCCTCGTACGAAGAGCATCTCTCTCTCGTCTACGACTCACTGGGGACTTCACCGCAGCACCGCGCACCGCATGCAGCCTCGATTCTCTGGGACTAGCAGCACTCAGTTCCGACTTACTGGAACTAGCGGCATTCAGTTCCGACTCACTGGAACTACTCACTTCTGGCATTGACACGCTCCACAACAGAGCATAGACAGCTGATTCATCAATATTTCGAGCTCCGGTCTTGGAGTGACGGGGCGACTTCCACATATAATGAAATGAAGAAACATACTACAGCGCCATCTATCGAAGATACACTGAACTACGGAGTAACTGCTAATCCTGTATCACGATACGAAGAATTCTCACGCGACTTAGCAAATACACAAGTTCCCAACATCAACCATAGGGCCGCGGTCCGCCAGGCATGATCACCTCGCCTGGTCCGACTGTCTCTGTTTTCTTCCGAAGCCTGCAACATTCTGTCGAGTGTATTTAAATAGCAGCGGAACAACAATCGGCTAGCTATACTCTTAATAAAGAGTAATTACTGTGAGTTTAAAAACGCCACTACTAAAAATAACGAAGTTTCATATAAATTTCCAACCCCATTTTGCACCTCTAGTGGTGTTTTTTTTTTTTTAACCCTTTCTTAGTCACACCTACGTCGCCTAAGGAACATTTGTGCAAAATTTCATGCTTCTGGACTAAGCGGTTTCAGCTGTGCGTTGATCGATCAGTCAGTGAATCAGTTAGTTTTTTCTTTCATAGATATAGATTGTGGATAAATCCATCAAATATGAACGGATAATCAATCATCATTTTTTACCATTTAATTATTGTTTATCGTAGCTCCTTGTATGCCTCCCGCACAATTTGAGAATGAATCAGCTGTAACATTTGGGTAGGTGAACGGTACGAACGCGTTGGACTCACTGAAGAGCCTGTACCACAGCGCCGGCGTGCTGCGGCACTGGCGCGCCGTGCGCTACTGCTCGTCGCTGCTCAACCACACCGTGGACTCCATCAGCCCCTTCATCACCACCGTGCTGGTTAACGGGAAACAGGTGCATAAAATACCATACCAATTCATTATATTCTGTAACAGAAGAGCTGAATATGTTAGAATGTTATTCAAATCATTAATCGTTTACTTTAATTAAATTACTTGTAAAGAGTTCATAATATTGTCAGTCAGTATAAGTCAATTGTAAACAGTCAATGAACTCCAAACATATTCTTTTTGGATATTTAACGTTTTTTGGCGACATTGCTTATAAGTAAAAATTATATTAAAAGTGAAATAACGGGTGTAATTTTTAAGGCCTGTTCAAGGAAAGAAACAATTTATTCGTGGACGTAAGAACATACGCTCACAATATAAAGGAAACTTGATACTGGAGCAGGAGATGCGAAGGGATTTTCCACCCCATTAACAAAAAAAAAGCTTTAGCGATAATACAATTTTATGTAGGTAATACAACGCACCCTTACACGCACTTATTAAATGTAAACATGTGTTTAAAGGTACTCGACTACTCCAAACAATAACGTCTGTTTATTGCAGTTGACAGTGGGCGTTATCGGTCAAAAGGAGACCGTATTCGATAAACCCATGACTCCAGGCGAGATTCAGTCTGTGATGTATTCTACCATTCAACCGTATGACGTCATTGGTGCAGTATTGCAACAGGTAAAGAATATTAACTGTTTATCCGTTTAACTTAGCATAGCATTCCGCATAGCCCTATTGGTTCATAGAGTGGAACTATTATATGAATTACATACAGCCTTCAATATATTTAATTACTATAATCAGTTAAGGGTTACATAGTTGCTTATTTAGCTTAAATGTAACCTTTATTTCTTTGTGGTGAATACTATTAAATTATTATTTTTGAAACTACCAACGACAGCTTTCTTTGTACCCCAAGGACTTTCATACATTTAACGTGGTTAAATAATGAAGTAAATAAAAATATTCGCAATATTACTCTCAGGCATACAATATATTTATTCAGGAAATAGTGTTATACTGCGGTCGTCTGATTGGCACCAATCCGGACATGTTCCGTGGTATCCTAAAGATCCGCGTCGGCTGGGTGCTGGAGGCTATCCGCATATACTTGCAACTGTTCCCTGACGAGAAACGCGGCGATGGCACGATCGAGAGCTTGTCCCCCTACAAGCTCCGCACGCTCTTGCAGAAGGTACTCACCGTGTCTGATTGGGCCGATGAACGAGGGTATGTATCTACTTGACGTAATTGTTTTATGTAAATAAAAAAAGCCGTGTGGTGTCGTGGGACACCCGATAGGAACAAAGTTGTTTAAAGTTAAAACTAATTTGACACCATATTAATTACAACGCCATCTATAAAAGCGGCTATTACCTACATGTTAAAAACAATTAAAACAATTTATACATTGGTAAAATCTCCTTGCGAAATGATTTCCTATCTATTCGATAGATGGCACTGAATGTCTGACAAGATGACACGAAAAAATATTATTACTAATACTTTCATACTTTCATCAAATTCATGGCTTACGTTGTATGTTATAATAAGATTTACTTTAATTTTTAAAAAAACTTTGACTGAAATCTGGGTAATAGTGTACATAGCACCAACTTCTTTTGATTATTAGTGTTTTGAAATATATTTACTTAGTTTTATTTCCTAAATTCAAAATTTCAAGAAAAAAATATAATGTTGACATTGGGGTAGGCCGTGGAAACACTCAAAACCACCAGAAAGATAATAAAATATGAATTAACATTACAAGCCTACACTATACTCACATTTACATACTTACACAAAAAAAAACTATACAATTCAAATTCAAAGAAAAATAAAATACGAAAACAAAATACGAAATACACCAAAAAAAAAAACCTGCGGTAAAAAATTAAATAAAGAGCAAAAAAGCCAACATCACGTGGTATTCCCAGGCGGTCACCCATCCAAGTACTAACCACGCCCGATGTTGCTTAACTTCGGTGATCGGACGAGAACCGGTGTATTCAACATGGTATGGACGTTGGCGAACGTTAAAGCAAATTTAATGTATGGTATCCACAGTTAGACGTCAATTTATATTAATAAAAAAGTGTCGCGTCTCAAATTTTCGTATGAATTTTTTCCGTCTAGCCCCCTTTCACAACGCGCGATTAGGAACTTCGTTCCAATAATAAAAAAATACACTATACAAAGACCTTAACCGTCAATCAGAAAATAATAAAAGTGCCACATTAAACTTTAAAAATTCGCTTTTAGATGAATGGTTGGCGCAACCAAATTTCTTTTCTCATACAGCTAAGTTTAAGAGAATCTAACCATTAAGGTCACACAAAAGTATACTAGTGTTGGTGGTTAACAAATAGGTGAAACAAGTAAGTTTTCATTATTTTAAAGATATATTTGAGAGTGCAATTACTGAAAATATTTATTATATTTTTCCATAGATTGACGCCTCTACAACGAAGACAGCTGGAAGGTTGTTTATGTCGTGTGCCTAAACACTTCTACATTCATGTCTGGGATATCTTATTGCGGACCCCCAAAGGAATCATAATTCAGGTTTGTAGAATATCATGGAGGTTTTGGCACACTGTACCACGCTGGCCAGACCGGTTTATATAGGCTTTGTGTCAAGTTTTCCTGCAGCAGCAGTTGCAGTGCAGTTGTCCTGCATAGTTTGCTCTCTTAATCGGCTCTTATGACACCCACGGGATGAATAGGGCTGGTGACACTGTATTTTTCATCAGTCACCACATGGATAATATAGTGGTCCAAATCCTCCTTTCTAAGGAGAAGTCTATGACCAGCAGTGGACTATCAAAGGTTAATGCTAATAATATCATTGCTTGCTCTTTGCATTTTTGGATAGAAGTTCCTTATCGAGCGTTACACGCTCTGAGCGAGCCCGAAAAATGTGTTACAAGACTGTTTACCCGACCCGTCCGGTGTCCATAGAACCCTCATACCATTTTTTTCAGAGATGGTAAATGGCATTTCAAGGTAATGGGTGTAGGCTCTTGTAAACTCTTGTAGCACTGAAGGTTGTATACACATATGTATATACAATTATCTAGTGTTGCTAAGCTCATAGACACGTAAAACATGACTAGAAGAATTAAATTGATTGAAGCTGCAATAAACCAGCAATTTTATTATTCGAGAAGATTCCTCAATATACATTTCAACGATTTTCAGTTTCAGAAGGTTAAATGACATTAAAATAGCGTTTTTTGCTCGTATTAAAATTATTACCCTGTTTATGTCATCTACATAAAATCTATGCAAATAAATAAAATTGAAGTGTCTGTTTGTAATGTCAAAATAATATGTTTTTTGACGCTCTACATACATGGCTTTTAGGCATACCTATGCCTAAAAACCAGTTTAAATATTTTTGTCCGTCTGTCTGTTTGTTCCGGGTAATCTTCAAAATATTAGGACCAATTTTGATAATATTTTGCTGCCAGCTAGGTGTCTATATAAGGAGTAACTTAGGCTATTTTTCTATTTTTATTAAAACCTTAATTTTGCCCGCTTAAACCACTACGCCATTCGTGCAGTCAAAGTAGGCCTAGTAGGCACCTCGATCAGTCTTGCTTTGAATAAAAACTTACGTTAGTGGTATTCATATTAATTGAAGAAATACGTTTTTACTCACGTATGTATTTCGGGGATGTCCAACTACTCTTAGTCACGACATGGCGGAATAGTGAATAATGTCTTCTTACTTATATATAAAAAATCGATGTATACGTGTTCATATTTTATGGGGTTCTTACCAGAGACATCTTATCAGAGACAGAGTAAATATAATAAAAAAAAACTTTCACGCTAAGCCGCATGCAAATACTAATACATTATAACAACAATACCCCATAAAAAAAGGTATAATATATGTGTGTACTTATTAAATTATAATATATCTTTCATGTTGCATTCGTTACTGTTACAGAACAATACTGTTCTGTACCAATAAGAAACCAATTAAGTGAAACCATCCGATAAGACGGAAATATAAAAACCGCGCCGCCAATATTAATCAATTCTTACAACTAGTACTGCACTGCACACTTCAATTACTTTATTTATGTTATTTTAATCGTTGCAATTCCATTTTAGCACCTATGCAGTGAAGCGTTAAATTTGATGTGCTGCTTCAACGTCATATTATTATGTTCTATGAGGAATACAATATGGTCGTGAAAAATACTCAAAATTTATCCAAGTCAGCTTTATTCTTTCCTCATTACGTTTTATCTATCCCTGAAAGAGATCGGTTATTAATATAATCTTATTTCATATACACCTACCTTATCTATCGACCCAAGTCTATAGCATTGACAATTCCGATTTTTCAGCGGCGGATTAGCCACGTGCAAATGTAGCAAATGCTACGGGCCCCGTGCACCAACGCTTTCCGACCGTAAGAAAGTAGCTTTTTCGATCTTAAGTGTAAAGATATTTTTCAAATCCTAATAGCCATAATTCTTATCACGAAAGAGTTGCATCTAAATGTCTAACTATAATTTAAACTTTTAGTACCTTTCTAAGAGTGAGCGTTGGCTGCACCAGAAATTATGTTTTGCACTGTGACCCGACGCTGCCACGCCCTAGCAGGCTAAACAGTGATGACGGGTGAGATTCAATTCCCTCCTAGCGACCGAGAGCAGAATCAGCCGTGCCCGGAAAAGATCTGCATCAGTCAGAAGGAAAACGTTTCGTGCTGCCGCTCTGCCTACTCGACGATGACCGGTTGGAGCGCCCAATGGCGGCCAAGCAAGCACGTGAAGCCTCCAGCCGGGACGATCAATCAGCCATCGTGGCTCGGCAAGCGACCTCGTGCCACTGGCCTACCTCTTGGGGGCCGTCCAATTACCGTCTGAGGGCGCCAGAGGTGCGCACTATTCTGGGCGATCAGAACCTATGTATCTGCGTATCTGTGTATTTGTCTGTCTATCTGTGGCATGATAGCTCCCGAACGGATGGACCAATTTCGATGCGGATTTTTTTGTTCAAAAGCCGATGTGATTGAGATGGTTCTTAGCGTGTGCGTTACCCCAGCAAAATAATGTCGAAAATGGTCATTTAAACTTTATAGATAATTAGTTGCTCCCCTTCTGTAATTGTTAAGCACATTTTTAAATTTGTTTCACTTAAACTTTTTTAGTTATTTCAAAAAAACATTTCCTGCTGGAGTAACGTTTGAAACGTTACCGCAGCCAGACATTTTCTTTTTTAATTGTAATATTGAAATAAATTTTAGCTAGATAATTAGTTATCTGGACTAGGTAAATGTTACAACTTATTTGGTATTTGTATTTTCTTCGGTTGCGAAGTTATTCGAAATCCTGCTGGAGTAACGTTTGTGGGTTTGCTGGATCTCTGAAACGGGTAAGCGGATTGTAACCATCTTTTGTACATAACTTCTTAAGGATTAGTTTTAATTTGTTCGACAATAAAATAACAAAAATAATGGACCGTTTAAAAATTATTTAGGTAAGTATGAAAACACTTCAATACGTCCTAACACTTTAAATAAGACCTCTAAAGACTTACTTGAAACGTTATTCTATTGCTTGTAACTACCTTCAAATGTATACGAATTTTCGTAAGAATACTGTAAGTGACTAAAAAGTTATGATGAAATGTAGCTCTCCACGTTCACGATCACAATGTGTGCGGCCTTTTTTGGCCACCGATAAACCTGTGTGTGGACATATAAACTGAATGTTATGCCAATAATTAGTTGTTTAGTTCAGTTGTCTACCTGTAAAATTTCAGCGTAGTACATATAATAATTTACGAGATAATTAAATAAAAGTCATTAGAAGGTGCAAGACCGTGGTAACCCGACCATGTTTAGGTGGTTACAAAAAAGCGATCACCCAGTACATTGTGCTGGCTTTTAAAATATGTAGGATATTATTAGGAAGTTTACTACGGATATGTACATAAGTGTTACAAAAAACTACATGTTTTTTAAATATTTTTTATTTAGGATTGTTTATTGCATAATTAGTAATCAGCCGGGAGATTAGGTATTGTTTTGAATGCTTTTGTTTTCTCGTAATGTTTAGGTGAATTGTTTATAGTTGTTCATAGAATTGGTACCTGCGTAGTATTTGTTAATTGAAGTTTAATTTTAGGGTAGGTATAGGTAATTTAAGAAATATGAAATGAAATGATAAGTTTTGAAGAGTGTAACGTATGCGTTGTAAATAGGTATTTTGTGAATAGATGGGGATTTTTTTAAGTGATGAATCGACTTAGGCTAGCATATCGCGAACAAACTCTGTATTGCATTATTTCTGTAATAATGTTGGAGAAAATAAAATATTTGATCACATAATCGCGGTGAGTTAAATTATAATAAAATAAATTATTTATGTAAAATTAGTAATAAGTGATATACCTACCTAAAAGTTATGATCGTTTTTAATTTGTTCACCCTGAACGAAATTTCAATATTAGCATTAGTAATTAACATCCTAAGACAAGAATTGACAATTACTTAAATTGAATCGAAGTAGCATTAATGCCCATTATTAGTAATTAGGTACACATATTGAAGAACTCTCAAGAATACGATAAATATTTGCAAAAATAGAAAGCGGAAGCGCACACGTATATTATCTGCCTAAGGGTCAAGTTTAGTGCACTAGATGCAAAAGGCAAACAATGAAGTATCCCTTCGCCCCTCCCCTCCCGCGTTCTAGCGAAGGATGTATTATCAGCGATTGACAAATATTATCTGACCAATAATTTTATCTATAAAAATGTATCACTTTCACTCGATAAATTAAATTACCGTTATTATATCAAAATATCATTCAACAACTGTTCGTTTTTAACAGAAATCAACAGTCACGGGCTCAACGCTTAACGGTAGGTACATAGGTATAGATAATTCTCGGTTCTAGGTATAGACCACAGAACAATATTACCTACTCTTACGAGGTATACGACTGTTGGGCGATGCAATGTTGATGCATTCTAATTTACAACTGTATTCTTCTACTATTCGGTCTATTTTAACTTATTGTAGATGACTTGTTGCTTTAAATATTTTGATGCATTCAAGTCTAAGCTCTATACACCCCAAAATAAAATACAATTACTTTAGTGTTATTTCTTTACAAAAAAAAATCAAAGAAATGAAACGATTTCTTATTGGTTTAAATTTTCGTTTTATTGCAGTCAGGTGAATCGTTCATACATGTATCTACATATTTATAATTTTAGCGGACCAGTGCAGATTTTCTGTTGATTGTAGCTCCGGTAGTAAAAAATACTAAATAAATTTTAAGTAAAGAAACAAGTGCTTAAGATCAATTAGGGAAAAAAAAACAAAATAAATAATAGGTAATAATAATGAATAAATATTGAATGTATTTAACACTGTACGCAACTGTACCGAAATCGTAAGGTGTATTACACTAAACATTTCAAAAGACAGCGCAATGTACTGGGTGATCGCTTTTTTGTAACCACCTAAACATGGTCGGATTACCACGGACTTGCACCTTCTAATGACTTTTATTTAATTATCTCGTAAATTATTATATGTACGACGCTGAAATTCTACAGGTAGACAACTGAACTAAACAACTAATTATTGGCATAACATTCAGTTTATATATCCACACACAGGTTTATCGGTGGCCAAAAAAGGCCGCACACATCGTGATCGTGAACGTGGAGAGCTACATTTCATCATAACTTTTTAGTCACTTACAGTATTCTTACGAAAATTCGTATACATTTGAAGGTAGTTACAAGCAATAGAATAACGTTTCAAGTAAGTCTTTAGAGGTCTTATTTAAAGTGTTAGGACGTATTGAAGTGTTTTCATACTTACCTAAATAATTTTTAAACGGTCCATTATTTTTGTTATTTTATTGTCGAACAAATTAAATCTAATCCTTAAGAAGTTATGTACAAAAGATGGTTACAATCCGCTTACCCGTTTCAGAGATCCAGCAAACCCACAAACGTTACTCCAGCAGGATTTCGAATAACTTCGCAGCCGAAGAAAATACAAATACCAAATAAGTTGTAACATTTACCTAGTCCAGATAACTAATTATCTAGCTAAAATTTATTTCAATATTACAATTAAAAAAGAAAATGTCTGGCTGCGGTAACGTTTCAAACGTTACCCCAGCAGGAAATGTTTTTTTGAAATAACTAAAAAAGTTTAAGTGAAACAAATTTAAAAATGTGCCTAACAATTACAGAAGGGGAGCAACTAATTATCTATAAAGTTTAAATGACCATTTTCGACATTATTTTGCTGGGGTAACGCACACGTTCTTAGCTATAAATTTTGAAAATGACCACTAAACTCCACATGTCCGATTGTTCTGAAATTTGGTATATTGTTACTTTGATCGTATTTCTACGACATGGTAACCTGGAACTTGCTGCTGCAACAAGTAGTCTGCAGGAAAACCAACTCCTCAGGAAATTACAGCATATATACCATGTTTGGGCTTATTAGAACTCAATGAGCAGTTGTTGTTTTTTAAAGTTTTTTGTGTTGGGTTTTTTTTAATGGTGCTATTATCTAAGCAAAGGCCTATGTCCAGCAAGTAGCAGCAGCGAGTACCATAAACTAGATAACTTAAACAATCCAAGGGCCCTTTTGATAGAATTTGCTAGGCCCCGCGGTGGCTTAATCCGGCACTACCTTTTTTATATATAAATCCATCATGAATAAAGAATTACATACTCTTAGGCAATTTCCTAAATTTCACTTTTTTATCGGTTTTCATAGGATTTACTTTGGTGAACGTGAGAAAGATCCAACTAATTGAATCTTATTTGCCGACACTTACGTTACCCAAAGAACAAAGTTTGAACCTTTATAGCACGTGTTTTTTTCGAGTCAACGGTGTGGAATGAACTGTCCGCTTTTTCCAGATAATTATAATATTTTGGCATCTCCATTTTCACTGTCATTGGCGTTTTTATACTTAATTTTTCCTAGATTACAACAATCTCAATTGCTAAATTACATTTTTTTCGAACTGCTACTGAAAAGGCAGCAGATTTAAACTAAAGATATTCATACTTTTATGCCTACATAAAACCTGTTCGCTCTCAGGGTCGTTCGATCCCAGCAGATCCGACGCTAGTGAACATGTCTCGTTCGGAGCTGTCGTTCGCTTTGCTCGTAGAAGAGGCGCTAGTTCGCGTGGAGTCCTCGGCGCGGCGCCAGCTCTGCGTGGAGCTGTTGTGCGTTCTGGCGACCATACTGCGCCGTAATCCTGAGTTGTATCTACAACAGCCGCTACACGTCGATAAACTAGTCGATGACGCTCAGTACACGTATGCCAAGGTATTTTTTTTTTATGGAACTACATCTACAAAATATACAGCACTTTCTCTTAGAATAAGGGACATCCCGGTCGAGTGTATGGGAATATAGATTAAGGTGGTGCTGGTGTTACAGGACAGCGGTTTGACGGACAGCAATGCGCTGAGCTGCGCGGCGGTGGGCGTGTCGGTGGGGTACCTGGCGCGCGCCGTCGTCAACAGCGTGCTGCAGGGCGCCGCCGCGCCAGACCTCGTGCCCGCCGAGCAGCCCTCCTGCCTCGTCTCGTAAGACACTATGTTCGGCTTGTTATTTCGTTCCTTTTGTAGTGCGAGGTCTAGGTATGTTTACGAGTTCCCCACTGATGGTGTAATTTATATGTAAAACAATAGAAATGTAATAAATAGGTCATGGCATCTAACTACAGCAAAATAGAAACAAAAAATTCTAACAGAAAACCAAAATGATAACTTCTAAACCTTATATACGTCTTATCGTTTATTATAGTGTCACCTTGAATTCACTGTCAAAATATTACATTTCTTTGCTTATGTCTGGTGTAGCTTGATATTGTTGTTATTTGCAATGCAAACGTTTTTTTTTTAAACTACCAATTTGTAAAGAAATGTCTTATTTTTCTTGCGAAAAAAATTTGAAGACAAATTACTGTGATGTTAATTTAGTAAAAACCACTTTTTGTTTTGCTGGTTTGAGTCACTACCGCCGATTTTGAATGAACGATTGATGGATTCTAAGAGTTTTAAATCATACTTGCTACTTTCGAAAGATTTAGATATATTTTATTGCCATATCTAACGATTTTATTCAAATCTCAGCTTTTAGTCAATCAATTTTATCAATTTCTTGCCAAGTCTAGGTGCTTATTCTGTAAGTATATGAAAATATGTGTGCAAATTAACATCATTCGCAAATTTACTCCATTTTGTAATGTATTGTTACAGTTACGAAGCTTATTAATTTCAGAAATAAATATTACTAGTTTTATGTTTCTTTCTATATAAGTGTGTTCAGTGAGTTGCGACATATTCCTGGTAATAACTGTATCAAACTCATAACATTTAGCTCAGAGTACTAATTATTCGCGAGCAGTGGCCGAGTATAAGAGAATTACTGTCTAAGTATAGGTTCAATTTTTTGCATTGCAAAACATTTTTCAGAGTTGTTTTCTAATATTTGGTTTTAAGGGTACTCAGTTAATTACACTTTAATATTAAATAAATGAAATTAATATCATTGAATCCTGATGATTTGTGATTTTTATTTGTGGCGATCTTCATGATAATCTTATTTATTTATGTTACATATACTATTCCTATAACATATTTGTTACCTCACAGAAATAATCTGATAAAACTGTATAAACTATATGTGGTAATATTAACAAGATAATCGAATGTCCACTGTTGTGCAATGTTACACTGCTATTAACTGCTAACGTTGTTTTAAGTTGCGATGTGTGGTTGCGGTTGTTGTTGCTCAAGTTTTATCATCTGCACTGTTGCAACTAAATTTTTTACAGTGAAATGGGCTTTGACCATGAGCTCACCTTTAGCAAGCTGAAAGTACTTGTTGACAAGTGACTTTTTTATGTGGTCGTTTTCACACTATTTCATAGAAATATACTGTTATAAACAAATACATAAATAAGGTCTCCACTATTTATCAATCCTGGTAGAGTACTATATAAAATTACTGTAATTTTACATTATTAAATCAATTTAAGGTATTTTAGAACCATGTATATTGTGTGTTAAGATTGTTAACTTAACTATATATAAACTCTTTTATAAGTAGTTAAAAAAATCAGAATATGTATATTTTTATGAAAATAAAGTTGTGTTATATTACTTGTTTTATTTGCTTCACCTAAAAGCTAATAGGTGTATAAATGAGATGTACATATTTTCTACAAGTAAAATGTTTTATTATACATACAAAAACAATCACAATGTATTCACAGGTAATGCAAACTCACACAAACTGACTTTGTTCATACCATTGCACTCATTTCACTACTAAAATAAATTAATTGGCAATATGGCTACTATAGTCCATTATATATTTTGTTATTTGGTGTTTGTTTAAGTATTTTCCGCAGTGCTGAAAGAAAATAATAAAACATTAGAACAAATACACAATAGAACAGAAATATATGTCCGGTAAAATAATGTTAATAACTTGCCTTCTTTTTCTTCTTCAGTGAAGTCTTGTTTAGGGAATTCAATATCGAAAGTTATGTAAAGATTTCCATGGAGATTGTTGTTTTCAAAGTTGGGCATGCCTTCACCCTTCTTGCGGACACGAGCACCAGCCCAAGTAACCTTGTCCCTAGATACAGATACTTTGTGGCCATCCAGGTGTACTATTTCCATTGTGAAACCAGTTAATGCATCCTAGAATAAATAATAGTTACTTTAATTAGAGTTTGTAATAACTTAAATAGGTACTTTAATATTGGCCTATAATAATTTTATGAATGTGTATTTTATTTTTTATAATTTGCTAAGTCAATTAAAAAACCTGTAGTCTAAGGTTTGAATTTGATGTCAAAACTAAATATTTAAATGTCTGGTAATCTTGAGTAATATTAAATTCTATTATCTAAGAGCTTTTTCTCATATAAGAAAGTTAGTACCTAATATTTACCATTTTAAGCATGATTAAAATTGATTAATTCTTCATTAATGATCATTGATGTCAATTTATAGATAAATGTAGTAAATTGTGTCATCAAAATATTCATACATTTCTTTATATTTACATTCATAGGAATGTACTATCGCTTACATTTAATCAGCTATGAAGTATCTGTGCAAATTATTAAAATTAAAACACAAACATACCCAGTACTCATACTTAAGTTCTAGCACTGAAGAAGTCATTTTTAAAAACATACTATTAAACATAATATTTTTAGTAATATATCTTAATTTCTATGTTTGTAATATGAAATAAACCTTTAATTAAACAGCTATTTGATTAAAATTAAATGGCTGGTTTTTACTCTTCTGAAAAGTAACTAATGTTTTACATCAACAGTGTTTAATGTGTGAGCATTACAAGACTCACATCCTCTTGCTACTATTCAATTAACTTTATGAGAAATAAAACTAATATTTTATTTATAAAGACTAACACTGATAAGAACTTGTAACTAATACCTAAAAGAATTTTATTTCAAATGTAACACATACTAACCTGTAAAGATATTGTGACATTAGTGTAGAGATCATCCAATTTGCGTGTGAACTGTGGATGCCTCTCAGTATGAAAGACGAATATTAAATCGCCTGGTTCACCATCCATGTGTGGTTCACCCTCTCCCCTAAGTCTTGATTTGTGACCATCTGGGGCACCAACTTCCACCTGAAATTATAACATGAATATTGAAAGGATGTCCAATGTGTACTGGTCAGTTAAATTCGGGGCTTCTTTTAATTATCATTGTTAACCTTAAATAAATTTAACATACAAAACAAGATATTTTTTTGGAATAATCAAATCATTTTTTTATCAAATTTTAATATCTATAGAAGTTGTGTTTGTTTATTGAAACACCCATTCGTTAATTCATGAAAACGTACATAACATGATGGCAATTGCTCATTTTCAAAAGAAAATGTCTAAGAATAGTCTATACAAATAAATAAAATTAAAGTGTCTGTTTGTAATGTCAACATAATAGGTTTTTTTCATGCCCACACAGCTATTTGAACAGTGCCTATGCCTAAAACCAGTTTAAATATTGTTTGTCTGACTGTCTGTTTGTTCTGGGTAATCTTCTAAACAGCTGGACCGATTCTGATAATATTTTACTAACAGGTAGCTGTCTATGTAAGGAGTAACTTAGGCTATTGAACTATCCAGGAATCAAACACACCACTAAGCGCTTTTCAAATTACATGCAGACAAGTTGCGGGCACCACCTAGTTCCAAACCAAAATGTGTGATACAAAATGTAGACAGAAAAGAAAGAGTGCATATGTTATGCTTTTTCTCAATTATATAGATTGCATAAATTTAAGATATGTTTACTCATACCACTACTATTATGAAAGTTAAAGAGTTTATTCTAATACTAATGTTGAGAACTACAGGCCCAGTTTGTTACATAATTAAATTTTAATTAACAATTTTACACTACTGAGTAAGCTAGTAATTACTTACTAGCTTTATGATTTTATAAACATAGAATATGATACCTACCTCAATTTCTAACAGCCTTTCCTCATTTACAAGCTTCACATTAGGACATTCATCACACACAGTCTGTTGCATCATCTGGAAGCGCCCAGGGCCCAAGTTCCTTGTCACCATCTCCTGTCTGCAATTACACTTTCGAGTGCCAGATGCTGGTTTGATCACAGGCTTATTACGCGTTATCTATGATGGGCAAAAAATATTGATTAGTAATGTAGATAACAAAGGCAATATTAAATATGATTTCATGACTTAAGCGCACGTTGAATAGAACGAAATATTTACCTCTATGAAATTGCCATTATACAGTTCTTCAAGGGTGACAGTCAGCTCCATAATGATATCGGCGCCGCGGGGTGTCTCTTGATGCTGCTGCTCGCCACCAAAATGGAAACCAAAGTCACCAAAGAAGCTAGCAAACGGGTCATTGTTATTCATCATACCGTCTTTCTTTAGGCAATCTTCACCACAACGATCATACAACTCTCGTTTCTCCGGATCCGAGAGAGCCTCGTATGCTGCACCAAGATCTTGAAATTTCTGAGAGGCTTCAGGATCATCTTGATTTTTGTCTGGATGTAAAGCTTTTGCTAATTTTCTGTAAGCTTTTTTGATTTCATTTGTCGATGCTGAACGAGATATACCTAGAATTTGATAAAAGTCCCGACCGGCCAACGTCAATACTAACGCTGAGGTTAAATAAATTAAACATATATAGGCAGTATTACTAAACATTTTGATATTGGTTATGCCTAGGAACTAATTTGGAAGCTAAGTTAAATTCAGTAAAAAACTGAAATAACGTTTAACACATTTCGCCTTTTGACAACACACAGTATCACTTTGACAAATAGGCGGATAAAGACAATTCGTCCAGTCGCTATTGGCTAATAAAAACGTTAGAACTGAAAGAACCTATTTATAAACTTATAATTTTAAGTTCAACATTTATCACTTAGAACTTAAGGTTTGAATTTCAGTTTCAGCCACTAAAATGTCAATGTCCAATCATCAACGGACTCGTAAACGAGAAGTTGCTACTGAAAAAAAAGCAACGAGTTAAAAAGTGTGATTTTATAGTCGAGTTTTGGTCAGATTCTTGTATAATCTGTAGTTGTACTTTTGAAACTTGAAAAGTCATGGTTGTTTAACAGTGACATTTAGTGCACTGACATTTCAAAGCATTGCTTGCAAAAAGTTCGGCTTCCTGAATATAATATTACTACACCACAGTACTACACTACAACTTTATTTTTGTACAATAAGATTTAAATATCCTAAAATATGGCTTCTATTCTGTTACCCGAGGTACCGGTTCCAGGTTTTTCCTTTGAGAATAGCCAACGGTAAGAAAAGAAAACTTACTTTAGTACATCTTGTATCGCTACCGATTTCTTTTACTATATTTATTTTTATCTTGCAGCAATGCATTCTTAGCCCAAAAAGGGTTTCCTGCTCCAACGGCTACCAAAACCGGTACCACCATTGTGGGCATAATTTACGCTGACGGCGTTATACTCGGCGCTGATACAAGGGCTACAGAAAACACTGTGGTATCAGATAAGAATTGTCAGAAGATTCATTATTTAGCCGGCAACATGTACTGCTGCGGAGCTGGAACTGCGGCTGATACTGAAATGACGACTCAGTCAGTGTCTTCGCAGTTGGAGTTGCAGAGGCTACATACAGGAAGAACAGTAGCAGTTGAAACTGCTGCAACTTTGTTGAAGCGTATGTTGTTCCGCTATCAAGGTTACATTGGTGCTGCTCTGGTTCTTGGAGGTGTCGACAGAACTGGACCTCACATTTACTGCATATACCCCCATGGTTCAGTTGACAAACTTCCATATGCTACTATGGGTAAGAACAAATATTTTTATTTTACTTATTTTATATTGATTAAATTTGCAGTTTAAATGGCTTGTTTTTGTTTAGGTTCTGGATCTCTTGCTGCAATGGCAGTTTTTGAGGCTAACTGGAAGCCTAATATGACTGAAGAAGAAGGCAAGAAGCTTGTCCGTGATGCTATTGCAGCTGGTATCTTTAATGACTTGGGATCAGGCTCTAATGTAGATTTGTGTGTCATCCGAAGCCAAGGGCCTGCCCAATATCTTAGGACCTATGAAGAGGCCAATGTGAAGGTAATATAATTTAAATTAAATTTTTGAATTATGGTAAAAAGAAAAAACAGTTCCAAGATTTGTGGGAAAAGATGTTATTAGCTCAATGCTTGTAATTAGTACTACTTGTAGGCCCGTATTTTGAAAGTTGTCTCAGTCGTGATCTAGTCTTAAAACTAATTTTAAGTAGAGATTTTATTATTGAACGTCACTTAAAACGAGATTCGACACACCATACTCAAGTGAGTGATAGTTTATTTTAGAACTATGTTTATGTCAAAATCATTACTCAGGTATAGATTTTGACAGCTGTGATCTTTGTTTACGTGAGACAAGCTGAAACTAGTCTCAAGCGGTGATTTCTAGGGCATTTAGAGGAAATGAATGTGTTTTACAATGATTTATTTTTGAATAATTACGAAAGAATTACTTGGCATACTATAATCAATTTCACTTTCATTTACCTTAATTGATATGAAATTCACCAAAATTCACATTTTACACACACAATACCAGTTTAAATTACCACAACCTTTCGGTTTATGTTAAAAGTATAGTATTATAAATTTTAGAAATATCAAATAAAAACATCGTTTGACATTTCAACATGACAAGTGTTGATAAATAACTTGAAAGTTCCGTTATAGCCTATTCATACAGCTAGTCATTTTTATTTTAATATTTATTATTGATACTTAATTTTGAACGAACAACAAGCTTGTTAACATGTTAACATTGCTGCACTAGCAAATAGTATATTATATACAAATTCACAGAAATTATTTTTGTAAAAGAAAATTATTTTTTAAATAATTAGCTGCGTAATGCGGAATAATAGTGTCAAACATGCGGAAACGTAATTGAGAACAGACTAAGTTCAAATCAATACTTGAAACTAGTTTCAACTGAGTAAAACTTAAAACGCGTTCTATAATAAGCTCAATACTTAAGATTTGATCTGCACTTAAAACTAGTTTCAGGCAATCAGAGTTGAACCGACACTTGAGATGTCTTTTAAAATGCGGGCCGTAGTGTCTTATCTGTAGCTGTTATTAAACTGCTTGTGCAAAGGGAATCATTTCTTGTTGTGTCATTAGTGTAAGTGCTAATACCAAATTCAAATACAGTTTCTTTGATTATTTTCCATTTAAATTGAGTTGGACTGTACAATACCATTTTCTCTTCAGGGCAAGAAACAAGGATCATACAGATATCCCCTAGGGACTACAGCTGTGTTAAAGCAGTCCGTCATACCGCTGGAGGTGACATCTGTCACAGTTACAGCTAGCCCACAGCCTATGGATGTTGAACCATCACACAGTCGCCGTTAAATTGAAAATGTTCATATTTTAAATGAATATTAATAAATGTAATTTTTTTCACAAACGAACACCTTTTTAATACACCTAGCTGTAAAAAAATTAATAATATGAATAAAACACTTTTATAAATAAATTATTTAATAAAAATATAAAAAAGAGAAATTCTTTCAGGACGGAATTATTACCTACATTAGAATTAGCCAAAATGGTGTCAGTTTCGATGATAAATTATTCTGTTTTCTATCAGTGACCACTATAAATGGAACTGTTATTGAATAGATATTCTATATCATGAGAGGTATACACATTGATCACATTTAACGTTATCTAGCTATTTGAATATACTTATTAAATTGACATTACATACTCATTAAAAATTTAAGTTTTCTGTACTTCTACATACAACTGCTTCAAACGTCACATTATACATGTATGAAACTTACCTTTTGCTTTTGTGTAAAGTTTTTTTTTTACATATATTACATAGAAAACAGCTCAAGTTAACCTTTCACACAAGTCATGCACCTCTAAAATATTGTCTAATGTATTCCCATTCACAATTAGCTTAGTAGAATGTACAAATGTACAGAGTATTGAAGTCCCTTACACGCTATTTAAACATTATTAAACAATAATTACATAATTGACACAACCTATGTTATTATTATGAGCAAAATGCAACATACAGATTCTGACAAGTTTATAATGGCAACTTATGTGGTACTTATAGTGATCAGTCACGCTTTTTTATGAAGTATGAAATCCCAAGTGTCTTTCCACCTAAGATTCAACAGATCATGTTCAGTCAGATCAACAGTCCCGTAATTGAGGACATTAAATTTCTTATAAGTAATTAAAACATATGCTAGCCATATTACGACACAGAAAATGAAAACATTTGTCAGAGAACGAATACTTTGTCTAGACTGTATTATATAGTATATGTGATCTATTACATAGCATAGCAACATAATTTTGTATATATATGCAGGTAAATAATGGTGAAGAAATAGTGTCCGATCCATAAAGAAATACGGAAGGTAATGGATCCAGTAACCTAAGAAAAGAATGTATCCAGCATCGTAGAACCTTTGCAATGCCATTGGAGATAAATCGGTAAATTTACGTCTTTGCCGAATTGCATAAACTGCCAGCAAACTGCTATACAACAGCACAGATATAGACCCCGTGTACCACGTTATGAGATTCCCGATTAAGTGTATTTGAGCCTGTAAAAGAAAGTCACTTTAAGAGATAATATCTTAACAGGAAATACCCATTAGGTTTAGCGGTTAAATTATTACGTTCGAATTAGGTGACAGCCAGTAGGCGATAGATCGCACTAGTAGCGGCCACTCTGAGGGCTCACTAGCGAACATGTGACCCTGGGGAGCGTCGGGCGCGTGTGCTATCATTTTGTATTGTAGCTCAGCAAACTTCTCCCAAAACGTCAATTCCGTTGTAGCGGTCGGTATCATTTCTGCAGAAACAAGTTCCCTTTCACGTTCCTTTCTATCTTCAGCTGAAATATAAATTTCTTTCTATAGAAGAAATGACATTTAATGGACAGCTGAATAACTTAAAGTTATCTAAGAATAAACAGGGAACCTTTTGTATAACGATGTTCCTCAACGTTCCATACAGCATCCTCGTGCGTGAGTATTTTATCAGCTACCACTTCATGTTGATGGAAACCCCACGAGGGTAGCTGTCGACCACTAAATCGTAGACAAGAGCCAGAGTTGACATGGATCAGTCGGACCATCGACCGGATACTGTCCCAAGTAGCGTCTTCACTGTCACGGTTCACGATATCCACTCGCCAAAGGTTTTGAGCTGACATCGACACGTTGTAATCGATGTAACAAGATACCTCCTGAAAATTTCACATTCAAAATGAGGACTAACAAAATTATATTACAATTTAAAGCTTATATATGTGTATATAGAAACAATTACACGGAGTGTCCGAACATACAATTATTTTTGGTACGTGTAAGGTAGCAAACAAGCACGCGCATTTCTATGAAAAGGGATTTAATAAAATAAGTTAGCATTGTCTGCCTTTTAACATTGACTGGCCTATTGTTCCAGTGGCCAGCTATCCTGATTGTTAATCCAGACGGTCAAACCCACGAAGTCCGATTCCCACCCAGGACAAATATTGTGTGATGAGCACGATCATTTGTTCTGAGTCTCGGTGTAACTTATCTATATTAGTCCAGTGAATGACGGTAAAAATAAGGTGCAACATCCCAATTAATTTCTTGAAAATCTGGAATTAAACTCTACTTACCCTCCTTTTCAAAATCTATCCTATGCCGATGTGTGCTAATGACTGTTAGGGGTGAAACTACCCCTAATTGTCAAAATTGATAAATTCATAAATTTAGGCATCTTAAGATTGAAATAATGTATGTTTTTGTTTTTAGCTTTTGATTACAGATAGTTCAGTTTGAAACCCTATTTGTGAGATTTCAACCCCTAATTTGTTCTTTATACCTTTTTAAAATACCCCTATTGCTTAGGCATTTTAAGATTGAAATTATGTATATAGGTTTTGATTACAGATAGTTTAGTTTGAAACCCTATTTGTGAGATTTCAACCCCTAATATTATATTATTTACGACTATTGTATTGAATAAGATTTTTGCAATACCTAGATGTAAGTATCAAGATGAAAATAAATTTTGATTACGTCCCTTACATCCTACACTTAGTGTGAGATAGCTAAACTAAATAATAATAGTTTTGCTATTATTTGGTAGATGGAAAAGTAAAAGTGGGCGGAGTGTAACACCCCGCAAATTGTCACGCGTTGTTTCATAGGAAAATCTAATTACAACACCTATCTATGGTGCTAATGATGAGATGACTATGTGTAGTATACGCATTCAAAATGCTTGCTCTCTGCTTCAAAATGAAAAAATATGCGTTTGATTTTTTTAAATTTTCTCGGTTGCATTTTGAATAGAGATAAAAAGAAAACCATGTTGTAGAGAAGTTTATAGCCGATAAGCTCATATAAGTCTCAACGATGAAAGGGCTCAAGAGCGGTACTTATTTCATACTAATGCTAACTTTGACAAGCCATATCTTGTTTAATTTTTGAGCTACAGTAAAAAAAAAATATATTTTCTTTGGTGAATGGCAATGCTAACTTTTTTTACTCTAGCAATTTTTATGTATATAGTTTATTTTCTGGGTTATTTTTGAAAAAAGTCAATTTTTGATATGTTTCAAAAAGACCTATTCCACTTTGTTTTTTTTTTTCAAAAATAAGCATTTTAAACTGGTCAAACTTTTTTATCATATTTTTAATGTTAAAATAAAGTAATTTTATAAATATGAAACATTTAATTCCAATCAGGGTAGTAATGAGAACGGTTTCGTTATTGATTTTTATCGAAACCAGCTTTTTTTCGCCATAACTCCGTTAGTTTTTATGCCAGTGGCCTTTATAAAAACACATTTTAAAGATCTTTTAATGTACTTTAAAAAGTATCTCAGCACATTCAACATAAAATGTATCGATTTTCGTAATGAAATGTTTTAAATTTTTCGTTAAAAAATACCTATCTTCAATGAGCCTAATTTAAAATTTTTTTTTTTATTATTAGTTTTTGTGATGAAATCAATACTTTTTTAGTTATTTGTGAAAAACCATTAATAAACGTGTTGAAAAATATAGACGTTTTCGATCACGAATATTTCGAAAAACTTCCTTAGAACGTTTTAGTTTAGAATTCATTTCTCTATTGATTGCTGCTTTTTTTTAATTACCACTCTCTAGTCGGGGTGGTATTAGCCCCTAGCGAAAAAGCACACATCGGCATAGGGTAGATTTTACTTTTTGAGGTATTGCCTACTTTCTATCAAAATTCGCTGGACTATATCCTGAATATACCAATTTGTGTTGCACATTTTTTTATCCTCAAACAAACCATTCATTGTAGTCTTGCATTAGTAACTTTATTAAGAGAAGTATTTACGATTGTGACACATTACAAACAAATATTGCCGTTTGCTCAACTCTGGCATACCTGTGCTTGTGGCGAAACCGGTGCAGCTACATCGTGAGAATTCAAAGCCCGACTAGTAATTCCATGAACTATTTGAACAACATCGCCGTGCCGAATTGCGTCTGGAGGCCTAGATACCGCTAGCGACGGCTGATCGGGTCGCTTTACTATCCACCAGTTGTTCACGTCCTTAAAGCTGTAGCACGTGACCTGCTGTTGATGCGAGGAGCCGCGACCGTCCGCGTATCGGACGGGATACACGTGCGCATGAGAGTGGAGCCAACACGTACGTCCATGGGCATGCCTTTAGGAATAAAAAGGTAAAATGAGGTTTTCATTCAAATTTTCGTTTAGATTTGTGGGAAGTTAATAAGTGTACAGCGATATTAGTAAAAAACAAGATTTAAAAGTGCGAAATGCTTCAGGTTTTCCAAGTTGTGACGGAACGGGACTGAGTAAAACACAACGCACCGTGATTGGAGGTTCTATTGCCGGGATTTATATTTAATTTAAAAAGAAAATACTGCCAACTATGGCAATGTTTAAATGAGAATCACATACCCTTTGTGTCTAGCGTCGCTCTTACCATTAGTAGGTTAAAGTTGCTACTATTGTAGGTTTTGCAGTTTTAAGGAACTTTTTACCCATACATACAATAGTGCTGTTTGAGCAACATTAGCCACAACAATTCTTGATTTACTAATAAATATTTTGTGCTAGAGAAGAAATGCCTAATATTTTCTATATAGATGATAAATAAATATACCATACCAAGAGATGAGTATTACCTAAGTGTAATTTGAGAGCCATGAGCAACATGTAATGGTTGACCCCGCGTGATGCTGGCTAAACCTCCTTGCAACGACGCCTGGAAAGCGCTCGTCATAACACTGTCGTGTGGGCCAGCATTCGGCAACATTGCCAAATGAGCGTAGAATACAGTCACATATAGTATGAGAGGAATAACTGTAAGTATCATTGCTCTCCATAAGGTTGACAGTAACAATCGCACTCCAGATTCCGAATGCCCAATACGCCGCCACATTTGTCTTCCAACCAAGAAGATCGCGAGAAAAAAAGAATATAGTCCAGAATATTTTACTCTGAAAATATATGTTTATATATTAAATAACAAAAATATTAGTTTTCCAGATATCGCCATTTTATCCCTGATTTAATTTATCTCTGACAAACATCACTTAACTGCCATGCGAAAAGCATATAAGTAGGATAATAATTGTCGAGATTAATAATAAGTAAGTATGATTAGAACTTTGAGGATCACAAAATTTTATTTGAGTCTAATTGTAATGGAATCTTTGTAAGCAAAGGTTTAGGATTCACTACTTCCTAGTTATATCTATAGGTATATATATTATATAAGTTTGTATTTACAACTGTACTTACAGCCCTATAATTCTGTAAATTTCGCAGATAAACAACAATTTGGTCGTTTAAAAAAGACGTGTCCGTATTTATAATAGTCGTAAAAGATCATTCTAGCAAATTCCAATCCCTACGAGAACCGTCCGCTTCTGATTAATACAAATTCCTTTCGAATGTACAAATTTGTATATCTCAGAACAAGATAATCGCGCGACAATCTATTTTCCTTATTGTTCCGTGATAACCTGCATTATTATTAAACGGTTCTTTGTGACAATAGTAAAGATCACGATCACTACCGTTAGAAATAAAAGTAACGAAAAGTTTATTTGCTTTTAAATATTTATTATCTGTTTTATAGAATAAATGCGATTACGTGATAAAAAACAAACGTAATTCATGTTATATAACTTTGTTTAGGTAATTAATTATTTCGGCGGTCAACATTCTATATTGAATTTATCTAAATGAAATACATACTGTATGTTATTACATGAAATACCAATCGAATACATACATAATTAGCAGAATCGTTAAAATAAGGAATGCAACATCAATTACCTAAACTAGAAGTAAGCATTTCTTATTACATAATTTAAGCATTTAGCTTAATCTAAAACAATTTTCAATAAACTACACATCTACAATTGACTACTAACTACTACATTTATGGTCACAAGGTTCTACTGACTGCACAGATAGCGTAGTGGTTTCAGCGTTCGCCCCGCCGCTCATTACTACGCACGAGTGTTGTGGGTCCGATCCCCACATGGGACGATACTTTGTATAATCCACAAATTGTTATTCTGAGTCTGAGTGTTCATTGTGTCCGTTTCTTGTATGTTTATAAAGTCCCCCGCGACACAGGATATATTCCTAAAGCGGGAGTTATCTTTAAAAAAAGAAAAAAAAATACTCACGAAAAGCAGCATCCAAGTGAGAGAGCTGCGATACAAAGCCATATAACACTAGCAAGTCCATTTCGACGCGTACTTTTAATAGCACAAAGCACTCCACACAAACCGAAGAGTATTTGTATGCTTTCTAACAACATAAACCTTGACTGTGCTAGGAAACAGTTTTCTGCAAGTATATGATACATGAGTTAGAAAAAATTGCATACACGGTTACTACCACTTAGAATACTCATACTCACCAAAAAGTACCAAAACACCTGCTAGTGCTGCAGTCCAATGGTAAAACGATAACTCCAGCATTAATTCGTATGTAACAGGTACCAAGAAACTTCCAGCCAATGCCGGAATAAGACGTAAAGCTGCTACTGGTACATTTTCAGTATATGGTGTACCTATTCGGTCAAAAGTAAAATTCCCATCGAATCCAGCTGCACGGCCTGCAAGGTATAATAATTGCTTTCCAAGCGGTGGGTGGGCATCGAAAAAGAATATTCCTTTTGTATAAAGAGAGACATATCGACCATAGTGTAATTCATCAAATCTGAAACGAAAATTATAATTTGTAATAATAGATTTTGATAACGAAATACCTAGAGTCGGGCAAGAGTGTACAGAAAACACGTGTATTATAATAATTCAGTTGTTACATCCGTGGACCTATTGTAAACGTCGATCTCATTAAATTGAGGACCCAAGATTTGAAGAGTCACCATACCCAATTTTGAACCAAAATGGGCAAACTAGCGGTGATCCTAACCACGGAGCAAGTCCTAACAAACGTCGTAAAGAGCGTCTCGCTGCACAGTATATAGTCATAACCATTGGTCCGAAGGAAATGGACCAAACATTTCTTTGTTTTCCAGCGCGGAAATCTCCTTGGATAACCCCCCCCCTCCACAAAGCAGCTGGGGTGTTTCTTTCAGACTTAAACCGACTAAAAACCGCACGCCTCGGGTACCAGTATTCTCAGGAACTACTGGTTCGAGTTGAAAAAATATTTTAGTGTTGGATAGCCCATTTATTGAGGAACTCTATATAACGATGCTACAATCAATATGAGCCAAGCAATAATGAAAAATGTCGGAAAATGGGGGAAATTTATTCCTTTCGACAGATGCAGATGATATCGGGCGGGTCAGCTAGTGTAAAAATAAACCTACATGAAAACTTAAATGGCTTATTATTATATGTTGGTTGCAAAATTACATCAATTATTTTTTTCTCATTTCGGTCAATCATAAATATATAGAAATAGTGTTTAGAGTTTATGAATGCCATAAACTCGCTATATCCTGCCACGCTTCTCAATATCACATTGTAGGTGATGAGAAATAAGAAAAAATACTGATGCGAAAAATAGATAAAAATAATCTTTAAAGCAGTATACGGGATTGTAACTTGAGCTCAATTGGTGGAGAACTTTTTGAGTGTTTCAAGCATACACTAACCAACTTAAGATATTAATAGATAGACTGTGTTTACTTACACAACATATGATGGTTCACCAAGGTTGGGTAATCTTGTGCTAAGTGCTAAAGCCAGTAACCCAACAAATACCAGATTTATTTGTAAGTGCAAGTATACTCCTGAAGATCCTTTGACTACTTCCTTTAACTTTGGAATATCTTCTGACACCATTTCTGACTCATCAGGAAGAATGACTTCTTGACCCTTGACAAAATTATTTGTTAAATGAAATAGGAGTTAAATACGAAGGACTGTAGAGGATGCATTAATAATACCAGATGCAAATATCAAGTCTTGCTATCAGCTATCAGACTCCATCATTATGGTCTCAAACCAAACCACATAATGATGGAGTCTCTCTTGCAATTCAAATACATTATTTAAATTTAAATATAATTTGCTACGATAAATGCAATATTACATGAAGTAAATTAAACTTAACATGGTTCCAAAGGCTTATTATCCTTTTGAAATAATATATTTCAAGAAAAGAGGCCATCTTAAATGATAATTTGTTATAAGGACCCAAGAATAACCTTTTCAAGAATAGTTTTTTTTTAAAGAAATTTAAATATTATTTAAATTTATTTGTATTTTTTAGTATGATCAGGTGATTCTGAAAACATAATTGTCTGAGGTTTTGGGAATAGTTGACTACTTTAAAATTATTTACTTTTAGCATTAGCTTGTGAGCAAGTCAAAAGCTAATCTTAGAAACAAGATAAAACAATCACAAAAGTATGTCACACTTTACCAAATTAGAAAACTAATAATTATTAACAATAGTTTAATAAATCCCAAGAAACTAAAGTTCAAACAAAACTAAAGTTAGTCCGTCTTTTACTTTCAAAATAATGAAAGAGAAAAAAAATAGTACATTTTAAACAAGTATTTCGAGCTATATTAAGTTATGATATGACCGCAAGAGACAACCTACATATTTAGTATTTTAGAGAATACTTTTAAAACAGGCTTATAATTTACCCTTAATTACATTTTCAATTATTATTTTTTTATTTACTTACATTATTGATGGATTTTTCTAAATAACTGTCTGTCTCTAGTTCACTGACCTCATTATTTGGTTTCTTTTTTAAGCGTTTCTTAACAGATGTGGATGTATCCATGTCTAAAATTCAATGACTTACTCTGAAATCACTAATAAGTGTTATTTCATTTACATATTTAGAATTTCTTTAGAGGGTATATCGTATTATCATCATAACTTAAAAGTAACTTCACTTGACAACTGATACACATACATACGTACATAGTTATATACTATAATTTTCTATTGACAATGACAACATTGACTGTCATTAGGTATGGGACAAAATCACACTAAACTGTGAAAGTAGTCTTGGGTAGTACACGTACGATGTACTGATAGGTACTGTTACTGGGTATTGTACTAAAAGTAATGTAGCCGAAAGGCAGCTGTTAATCGGACATTTTGCACTATTAGTATACAGTGTCAACTTCAAGCCAGTACTAAAACTACCTATTGTATACTCTGTCTACTAGTGTCTACGTTCGTTTGTTGTGCGACGTACTATTAATGATCCGCTTTATTGTTCCGTATTGGTAAACAGTATGAGAGTAAAAGGGACAATTGGGTTGTAAAGTATGAAGGAAAATCAAATAGTATGCTTAAAAGTTTAATGTGAGGTAATCTAAAAATTCGTATTTAAAAGTCAAACTGTTATAATTTATAGGATTCAGAAAAGGATAACACATTAAAAATAATCAAGAACTGTGTAATTATTCCTATACTGAAGAAAAGTAACTGATTAATACAAAGCCATCTATATTAAAAAATAAAAATAAAAAGCGTGGTCTGCCAAAATTCTATAACACTTTTTTTTAAATTACTTGGTATTCCATTTCATTAATGTTAGTAATATCAATGCAAACGCTTAAGTTTTCTACTCCTACTAAAACTGTACTAATAGTACCATTACTGTGTGCTAGTACGTTGTACGAATTGTACTAGTACGGTGCGAACCTGCAGATGTCCGATTAAGCACAAGACTATGTGAAAGACCCAGTGAGCTATCATTCGTTTTATCGTACCTAGGTTAGGGTTACTAATTTCTCACTTTTTTACTGTTAAATAGCGTCTAATCTACCTACCTGGCAACCCTAATTTACGTACGCAACAATCGAATGAAAAATCATAATTCACTGTGATTTTGTCCCACGTCTAACTGTCATTGACAACTAAAGGCCATTTCAAAAGAGCTACCAACTCAAAATATGCTGAGGCAGCAGAACACACCAGTTACGTTCCAGCCTGCAGATATTAAAATTTCAAAATAATAAAAATCTCATTTTATAGATCTAAATTAGCCCTTTCGACCTACGTTATTTAATTTATAAGCCCGTTTTTCGTTTTCCCAGGAAAAATAGAAACATAATTTTCAATTTTCCTCTACTTAAAATAGCCATATCTCTTTGAAAAATAATTATTTTTTACTCTACCAAGCGTGAAAAAATTGCCCTTGCGCTAATTTAATTTGCCCGCATGCTAATTCTTAAAAATATTCAATAATTATTATTGTAAACAATAAAAACCGTCGTGGCATTTCCAAGCCAATTATTTGCGCATGGCGCATTGCGCATGCGCGACAGAATAAAGGTGATACTCACATCATCAACTGCAGATCAGCTGATGCTACACGCACGGAAGGACTTTTAAAGTTATTATATTACTGTTTCGGGAAGTTTTTCAGTACTATTGGATTCATTATTATGTGCCTTTGGTAGTTTGATGTGTCTTTACTCTTATTTCTAGGGAGTAGTCAGTAGTTTAAGTGTACAAATCATGTACACTTAGTGCAGATTTTGCCTTGCAAAGCTGAGCTCTACGAAAACGTTTTTTCGACGACTTTCTATTAAGCGTTTCAAGACTTTACAAAGTAAACTTTCAAGCTAAGAGGAAGCAGCTAACTATTTTAATATGTGTTATTGACTAGTCACGGCATCATGGAGATTTCATCTTTCTGCTGATTTGCTCCAAAATTATATACTTAGTACGTGTTGATTGGGCCTGTTTAAGCATACATACATTTTTAAACAAAGAAAGAAATGTAAATATTTATTAATAAAATAGCTATGTTTTTTGGTTAGTTTTTTTGTTTCAATTCTTGAAAATTTTAATTATAAATTTACACATACACATCAAACTACCAAAGGCACATAATAATGAATCCAATAGTACTGAAAAACTTCCCGAAACAGTAATATAATAACTTTAAAAGTCCTTCCGTGCGTGTAGCATCAGCTGATGTGCAGTTAACGATGTGAATATCACCTGTATCGCGCATGCGCAATGCGCAAATAATTGGCTTGGAAATGCCACTACGGTTTTTTATTATTTACAATAATTATTATTGAATATTTTTAAGAATTAGCACGCGGGCAAATTAAATTAGCGCAAGGGCAATTTTTTCACGCTTGGTAGAGTAAAAAATAATCATTTTTCAAAGAGATGTGGCTATTTTAAGTAGAGGAAAATTGAAAATTATATTTCTATTTTTCCTGAGAAAACGAAAAACGGGCTTATAAATTAATTAACGTAGGTGGAAAGGGCTAATTGAGATCTATAAAATGAGATTTTTATTATTTTGAAATTTTAATATCTGCAGGCTGGAACGTGCCCGGTGCAGAACACATTAGGCCAAGGTGCTAGCCCAGCATATTACTCCAAAAATTGGATTATATTTACAGCTTGGTGTACTGGTCATCTTTCTATACCATAAAAATTATTAGCAGAGCGCGCCAAGATTCTTTGATGTGTTCACGATACACTGATATGTACTAATCGGTTGGTGAGTCAATGTTGTCGCCAAACAACCATAATACCGGCTTATTATCTAATGTGTACAGCGATTTTAAGCCCGCTATGCACATTTAGGTAAAGATTCTACGTAATATAAAAATTGTCTTGTCTGCAAGAGATTCCACATCCATTTTTATCATTGCACAAGTGCGAATGGAACTGATAGCTAACCAGCAACAAACCGCCTCCCCTCCATTTCTGAGGGCGGGGACTCAAAGGGCGACAACGCACTTCACGGCACTATGACCCTTGAGTTTTAATTATTAGGTGTCTAATCTAGTGACCTGTCTGCTCGTTTGTTTTCTACACCATAAAAAAAACATAGAAGGTGGTCAAGGTATCTCTTTTCAACTATTAATATTCACAATAAAGTTACATTAATGGAGACCTAAGCCAAGACTGTTTTAAATCTGAAAACATATGCCATGTTTATGACCACAATTCAAAAATATGTAATTTGCAAAACACGTTATTAGGCTAGATTACGGCTTGTATGTAAACATTCCATTTCAAGCTTGGCTGAATTATAGCTCAATACTTGACTAGAAACTTTCGTCTTAAATTAAATTGGCTCCCAATTCGTCAGCGTCGTCACCTGCGGGCACTAACGACTCTCTACACTATTCTCAACTCTCCTAACTCGCCTACATACTTGACATCCTCCTTCCAGTTCTTGTGCTCCAATCATAACAGAACCCTGCGCTCTACAAATAATCTTCTACTCTTATGCCCTGCCCACACTTCTGCGTGTGTTCATTCTTCCTTCCTCACTCAATCTGTACTTCTATGGAATGCTCTTCCCCAGGATATCAGAATGGCGACCAGTCGTAATTCGTTTAGGGCGAAGGTGCGGGCTATTCTTAGCGGAATGTAGCGGAATCATCACAAATATGATACTTTATGTATTATGGTATATATGTATGTGTATATATATAACACAATATATATGAATATGAATGTATGTATTCTTGTATGTATACGTTGGTATTTATATATTATTTCATTGCTTTTTGCTCAGTATTGCTATCATTACTTCTTTTATGTCCACTTTATAATTCTCAACCAAAGGGTAGTGCACCTCCACACTCATTTCCACACCACCCTAAGGTAGACTGGTAGAGAATGCCTATGGCATTAAGTCCGCCATTGTACTTGTGTGCATAAAGTGGAAAAAATAAATAAATAAATAAAAAAGTGGAAACTAGTTATTCGATTGCATATTTGTCGGCCCCTAATAAAAATACTTTATAATCTATATTGTCTTTTACTTAATACTTTATAATCTATATTTCTATTACTTTCTAATAAATGTCAAGTCAAGCGATCGCGGGTAAAGTGATATGTTATCAGTTTAAATTAAGTTACAGTTTAGTAAACAATTAAATCCAATGTCTGTAAACAAAATAAGCGGCGATGATGATGTACCGAATACGATACCATGTCCAATTTGTAACAAGGATTTTGACAAAAGTGCGATCCAGGAACATGCTAACAAGTGTTTATTCCTAAATACCTCTGAACAGAGTCAATTCAATCAAAAGCGACATGAGTTGTTTAACAACGCTAAAAGAAGTAGTTCCCACTTAAAGAATACTAATTCATTAGAAAAACGAACTCGATTAAGTACAAGCCCCAGTTCATCAAAAGCCATAGTGAGTTCAGTTACACCGTATCTTGTTAGATTCTTATAAGATTTTCTTTTCCTCGACTTCTTGGATAGGCTCTGCCATGCAAACTCAGCTTTAGTGCTGCTTGTCCCTAATATTGCGCTGAGATGCTTTGCAACAGTATGCCTGTTCACATGTACCTAATTTGAATGTTGTTACACCACTAGTTTCCTGCAGTTTCATCTACGTTGATCATTGTAGCGCTCCCAAGGAACATAGCGTGATGTTTAAATACCGAAAATTCTCCTCGAGTCAGTAAATCAAGTGCTAAAAGAATTTGCATCATTCTTTAGCCTTATCATATTGGTTTTTATGACTCACTTTAAAAACTTGATTACATTGTCTATAATTTGTTCTGTTTTGATTGCATAATATTGCATGCATCAACAATAATCATGCTAAATTTTGTTTTCAGCAGCCACAACCTGAATCCACTTCAAAAGTCCTATCTAAAGATACTAAAAATATACCTTTAGCTGAACGGATGCGGCCTATTAGTTTACAAGATATTGTGGGACACACTGAAGCATTTGGTTCTGGATCAATGTTAAGGTCATTATTAGAACAACGAAAAATACCGAATATGATATTGTGGGGGCCTCCGGGATGTGGAAAGGTTTGAAATAAATATTTATTAAGATGATCTTTAACCGGCAAATGACAATAATTATAAATTTGAATATTAATCTCGCTCCAATTCAAATAAAGAATGTTGAGATAGTGAACATTAAACTACATAAAACTACATTACAAAGTAATATGGTAAAAATACTAAATTATAAAAATTGATGATGACAAAGATTTTAATTCATAAATATTGCAAATTAACTGTCTAAATTTAGTGGACAGTATTAGTAAGTACCAATGTTATTCTACAAGATACTAGAGATGCCACGAATATTCGGCAACAACTTGGTATTCTGCCTATTCGGCTACTTTTTGGACTATTCGGTATTCAACCGAATATTCCGAACTTTTCTTTTGTCTCGGTCTAAATGCCGTATGCTACCACTTACAGAGGAACGTACAGTTCACTTCCTCTATTTATATAATCACTATGCAAACCACCTGTTTACATAGTGCAAGTAGATCATATACTAATATTATATACCTTTGTTTTTGTTTTTTATTTTATTTTGTTAATCATTACTTAATATATGAATCATGCATATTCTAAATACCAAACTACTAAGTATGTGTACCTTTGTGTTTTACCTTTGACATATTTTGTGTTTCAGACATCATTGGCGAATGTGATATCTAACATTTGTAAGGAACAAAACAACATGCGGTTTGTTAAACTCTCTGCCACTATGTCAGGTATTAACGATGTTAAGGAAGTGGTGAAAGTGGCCAAAAATGAAGCTCAGTTTAAAAGACAGACTGTATTGTTTATGGATGAAATTCACAGGTGGGTTTGAGTTTGAGTATCTGCACAAGAGTATTGAGTAACAACAAATGTAAACTTGATCCTTAACTCAATATTTTCATTTTCATCCTTAACTAATTATTTTATTGGTTAATAAGAAATTTTACAGACTATGCTTATTAAAAAACCCATAAAGGACCACTCTCGAGTCTAAATGCGGAAATCGGAGCCCACAACCAATACCAATATTTAAAAAACCCTAGTAATCTAGGGTTTTTACAATAAGTGTATTTAAAACATATGTTTGAAGTTGAAGAGTTTGTTGGTCTTTTAGGTTGGATAGCTGAGCATCAATGAAAAATATTGCACAGACAGAGAAATTTATAACTTTTAAGAGACACACAAGAAAGATTATTTAGAGAGAAAAAAACGAAACTTTAAATCACAATTCTATAATAAAAATTTTTTGTTAACAAGTAAGAGTTAACAAACATAGTTTCATAAATAAAAGAAATAAGAATAAATTGTTGTTCATGTAACAAAGCAACTATGTCCTGTATGTAAAAATTTTGCAAAATTGTAGTTGTGTAATGTTATGAGGATTATTGAGAGAAGGAAAACTTGACACAAACCCTATACCAATCCGTCTGGCCAGCGTGGTATAGTAGGCCAAAACCTCCTTTCTAAGGAGAGGCCTATGTCCAGCAGTGGACTATTAAAGGCTGTTGATGATGATGATGAGGATTACTGTCCAGCTAATGTAAAACAACTATCTATTTTAATGGTTTTCAAGGGCTACCCGATGTTGCATTGCCAACCCTATTCACCCTACTATGGAGCTTTATTTAGCAGTATAAATAACAACACTGAGTTACTAATACTGGAGAGCGGCGGTCTTTGGTATGGTGTCGTTACTTTCCATGTCGGCGGCTCTAATGCAAGCAAAAACCCGCTGTGTCTTATGAGCAGGTTTTTGACTTAATAAATTCCTCCTATAAAGATTCGTAAATATGCTAATCATTAAAAAGATTGAGTTTTAAAGAACTAGACATTTACAGTAATGTACAGTTACAGTAACTATTTAAGCCAAAATTTTCTTTACAGATTCAACAAACTTCAACAGGATACGTTTTTGCCTCACGTCGAAAATGGGACAATAATTCTTATTGGAGCTACCACTGAGAACCCTTCATTTAGTTTAAACAACGCATTATTGAGTCGCTGCAGAGTTGTGGTTATGCAAAAATTGAGTATTGATGATGTGTTACAAATTTTAAAGAAAGCTCTTACAAAAACTGGAAAAGCAGCGATCAAAAACTTTAAGGGTGATTTAGCGAAAGCCTCAAAAGATGATTTACCGAAGTATGTACCTAGTATATTTACTCATAGATAGTGCACATTAGTACAAGTAATGATAAATGAAAGCCATACTAATGCCATATGTGTAATAAATACTAATGGTGAGTCAACTCCCTTGGTAGGCCGCTAAATACTTACATGATTGTCTCCACGCCTAGTGGATAAAAATGTGCGAGGGTTGTCACAAAAACATTTCCTTAGATTAGACAAAGGCTTGCGTTTAGGACGTACGTGCGACCATAAAAAAAGATGGCACTGGACGCCGGCGAACTGAGCCAGAGCCGGTGTCCAACGAGTTAGCCGTGAACGACGCACATTTTACGAACACTGAGTTTCGGCGCGGTAGATTTTTTGGCCGAAACTGGCCGAAACCAAACCTTCGGTCGGTCACGGTAATAATTACATATGTAATTAATTTAGTTATATATAACATAATAAAGAATAAACATACATTTATGTAATTAATATAATTATGATGAATGAATTCAGTAATGTAAGTATTTGTAATTATACAGGGTTACAAGAAAAGTCTTGCTAGATCCGTTAAGGGCGTGGAGTACCCATCATTTCTGACATATTTCACTATGAAACACCCTACCCTAAACTTAACCCTTTTCGAGATAATCGTCTTTTAATTTTTTTATTGAAATTTGCTGATTTTTAGGCTACTACATTTATTTTTGTTTATTTTGTGTATCTTATTATTATTATTTTTGCATTTTTACATGTGTAATAAGATGCTTTAGGACGTCAGTCATTAAAATAGTTCATAAGTTAATTGAATAGATCGTAGTAGACAAGTGAAAGTAAAGAAATAAAAAAATATATTGGAAAATTATTTTTCTCTAACGGATATCTAAAAACAATATTATGGTAATTGTTCGGCAGATGTTTTTTAAAATATCTACGTTTCATCAGCTATCTAACGAGGTATAACAATCTAGGGTTTATATTACATTTCGTGGAAAAAAAGTAGTTGGGACGCTCCAGGTAACAGTTCTAACGGTTCCGCGCCTATTGTCCTTCAAGTTAAGACGCACCAAGCGAGCGAGACAATTTATGTAGGTGCGAATAAAAGAAAAAATGTGTCGAGACCGGTTAGGGCTGGGAATACAACAGGGGGCATTGTTTGGTTGTCACTATTGTACCACCAAGTACATCGAAGGTTTTATTATACGCTCTATCTCTTATATTACAAGAAAAGCAAAGAGATAAAAGTTGTGAGTTAATCAAATAATAAAAATATTGCGAATAATCTTGTGTTGCAAATAACGCGTGCAACTGATGTACGTGACACTCCTAAACGCAGTGGCGGATTAACCCTTAGGCAAAGTAAATTGCGCGCGCGATAATTTTATTAACAAAAAAATGCCTAACATAAAATAAATCAGTAAGTATGCACATACAATAACTTACAACAATATAAATATTTCCTTAATTCTATAGAGATGTTTAAGGTTGGCATTAAATACGTAATTGGCAATACTTCTTTGTTTTAATTTTCTGATACTTTCAAAAATTGATGCTAGTGCGTGTACAGAAAAATGCAATTCCTACGACTCTAGCTGTAGTGAATATATATATATAAAGGTTTATTAGCAGCCGAAATTATTAGTATTCCCGTTAACCCCCCAGCTAGCTAGCTAGCAAGCTAAATTGCTTGTGTTAGGAGTGAGTTCACGTTAGTGTATTGATCAGGATTCGAACCCACGACCTCTTGATCGAAAGTACAATGCCTTAACCACTAGGCTACCGCCGCTCAAGATTACTTTAGTTGTAGTATTGGAGCAGGGTTGTCCAGTCAATGTCACTATACGTACCTCTAACCGTCCAGAATAAGGCGTCATCACGTAGCGTTGGGCGCTTATTGTAGTCATCGGAGAGTATTTCTCACTATCAACCGTTACATGCTTTGAGGCTGGCGCACTTTCCAGCGCCTCATATTGCCCTGAGTCATGTGAATAGAAGGAGGCACTCGTAACGACATCGAGCCCTCGATGAAGTATCTCTGGCTCGTACTAGGTCGGGATCGTGGGACTCAAGAAATCGAGGACCAGAAATCCCAACTCTGCTGGGTCCTCGTAGAGGAGTGGAGTGAGATGACTTATCCAACCGAGCGCCGGGCACGCCATTGTAGCAGCAGTAAGACTCGTTATGGAGGATTAGCGCGAAAGGAAACACGGGAGCCACTCATACCAACTGACGGCAGGAGATCGCCTGTGTCTGATCCGCAAAGAACCAACGCCTGTGGGCCACTACAGCGGTATGCAAAGCATGGATACAGCGCTCCACAGGCTGCCAGAATGCCCGGCGTGGTGTGGCCCCGTGACGGCCATCGGAATGAAGATTCTTTAGCTCGGTACCATTATTGCGGCCATGGTACGGAGCGATGGCTTCTGGAACTGCGCCACCTCCGTCTGCGAGCAAGTAATGCTTAGAACTCGCCCAGTCCACCAGGCCCCATCTCGAGCCTGGTACGCCGATGAGATGCTTGCCTAGGGCGCTCTTGATACTTAATCCGCCTCTGCCTGTACGGGCATACCGGTTAGCAAGCGAAGCCGGCCGGTACGACCGCAGATGTCGCGGGCAGGAGGGGGACTCCGCTTGCCTTCATGCCGCGTCCCATCGTTGCTGCTCTAAGTAGCTGAGTTTAACCACTATTAGTATTTATTACACATACCAATAATAAAAAAGAGTTTCTGTGCATTGACAAGGATATCAACTGCGACATGGGGTCTATCATTTAATACCTTAAAGATCATATACGGAGCTACTTATTTAGGTTCTATGTGCTATGGTGCACCTGTATGGGCCGATAGGGCGACCGTAGGCGCTGTCCGTCGCAAACTGTTACAAGGCCAACGACTTGCACTGATATTCTTGTGCAAGGCATATAGGACGGTTAGCACCGAGGCTTTGCCGGTGTTGGCGGGTGTGCTTCCGGTCGATCTCGAAGTGCAGAGACGTGCAGCCATGTACTATTCAAGACAACAAAACATGGAATGCGATTTTTTTTGGGCGCGCGGGATCGCGGTAAAATTACAAGATTGCTTCAACAGCAGTCCGATGTCTATAATGACCTCATAGACGAATGGCAACAACGCTGGGATGAATCATCCAAGGGGCGCCATCTTCACCAATTCTTTCCATCTGTTCGCGAACGGTTGTCGAGGACATGGCTTGAGGTGGATCACTGTGTCGCTCAATTTCTTACGGGTCATGGTAACTTTAAGAGCAAGCTTTATTCATTTAAATTAGTCGAGTCACCATTATGTCAATGCTCAACACCTAACTCTCACTATGAACAGTCTGCTCATCATATCCTCTGGGAATGTAGTCTTTGGTATAATGAACGTAATATAATGCTGAATACCTTGCAGGTGACATCTGGGGCGGTATACTATGGGGATCTTGTGTCAACTAGGGTTAATTTCCGTGCGTTTAGGCGATTCTGCCATACATATTATAGAATTCATTTTGTTTTGTCTCCCGCTTTGCTAAGGAGGGAAGTGGATTTACTGTATTTCCAACTCCTCCAATTTTCTTCTGATTAATTTCGTTGCGGGTTCCAAGACAGTTTAATTTCTTCCTGGGACTTCCCGAGTGTCATAACTCGGTGTGTTCGTGGGTCACTGCTGTGGATCCTGGTGTACAGGAGTTACAGTGGTGGGCATGTGGGCGGGATTAGTCCCATATCAATACTATTCATTCATTATTTTCTTCTGTAATTTTTTAGGATTCAAAATAATATCACATAATCAGGATAACTGTTATAAATTTATTATTGAATTTAGTTATATATATATACTCTTAATATTTCATTCGTCAGAGCTGATTTAGATAACGAGTTTAAGATAAACTATAGTAAGATTATACTTTGGACTGAATAGTTAGAATGGCAGTAGCTGTAATATAATGGCAGCATGTATACTAAAAGTATGTAGTAATATCAATTCAAAAGTATAGAAGTAATTCTCATCTTGAAATACATTAGATTGCTCCTGTAATGGACTGTTAAATACATATTATATAGACTTAAATATTCTGTGTAGATATGTACCGACGACTATATCTGAATCTCACTGAAGCACAACTTAATAATAATAAGTGACTTCAAAATATCTGCATACGATTTGTATTTGGGTTAAGAAAATATGATCACGTTTCTGAATTCCGTCAAAAGCTCAAGTGGCTTCCGATTCGCCCTCGCCGGAATACTCATATCCTCACTTTTCTTTATAACATCTTGTTCAATCCTAGAGCTCCCTTTTACCTCAAAGAACGGTTCAAGTTCCTTAATGACACACATGATAAATGTCTGAAGTCATCCGAGGATTTGGGGCTGGAGATGCCTCTGCATTCCACAAAATTCTACGACCAATCTTTTACTGTTGAAGCTGCACGTTTGTGGAATTCATTGCCGATAAACATCAGGCGAGCGCAAACGATAAACAGCTTTAAGAGAATGGTTCGGTAATTTTATAAACTTTGATTAATTCAATCGCGTCAAGGCATGACAAGAACGTTCCTTTTCTTTTTTTCGTCTCTTTTATGTGATATACTTAACTAGCTATGTATATATAAGTATATGTATGTATATCGTATGTATATGTGTATGTATATAATAAATATTTATTTAATTTTACCATTTCACCTTCAACTACTACTGTCTCTCCAAAACATTTTAATCCATCCTAAGGTTGCCTGGAATAAGGATGGATCCGCCCTTTGTACATTACATGTCTAAAATGTTTATGTACCATAATACTTGTAAAATGTGTGCAAATAAAGAGTTATCTATCTATCTATATCTTATATTAAAGTTGCAAACATTTCAAAATTTGTTATTGATGATAAATCAGGAATTTATTATTATTATTCAGGTATTTCTCATAACAGAATCCATACTAATGTTATAAATGCGAAAGTGTGTCTGTCTGTCTGTAACCTCAAACCGCTGAACCGATTTAGACGAAATTTGTTGCAGAGATCCTCCGAATCCCGGGAAAGGACACAGAGTAGTTTTTATTTCAGAAATCGTCCTTTAATTGGGTGAAACGGGAGATGGAAGTTTGTATGGGGAATCAATAACTGCTAAACCGATTCAGATGAGATTTGGTATGAAGATACTTTGATTCTTGAGGAAAGACATAGGCTACTTTTTACCGCGATAATCAATATTTACGCGGGCGGATCCGCGGGCATAATAAGTTCATTGTTTGACAAATTAATTTTGCCTTTAAAATTTTTAACAAATTTATTCTAATATTCATGTTCTATTTAAGGTGCCTTGTAGAAGAGGAATCATTGCAATGGCTAGCTGAGGTGAGCGACGGAGATGCCAGAATTGCTTTAGGTGCATTGGAGATTGCACTTGATGCCAGAGACCCTGGGACAGAAATACATGTTACAGGACCTGCTATACTTACACTTGAAGATATAAAAAATGGTATTAAAGTATGTGACAATGAATAATTACTATCTTAATATCAGCTGAAGTATGCGCGCAATAATTACCTTTTTATCCGCTTTACAGAGAACCCATATGATGTACGACCGGCAAGGTGAGGAGCATTACAACACTATATCAGCGGTACATAAATCAATTCGTGCTGGCGACGACAATGCTGCATTATATTGGACAACAAGGGCTTTACAAGGTGGCGAGGATCCTTTGTACATTGCACGACGTCTGGTGAGAGCGGCATGCGAAGACATAGGTAATTTTGAATCAATAAAATTGCACCGAGTTTTTTTAACAATTTGAAAACACGAGTTTGTCTTATGGTTGTTTACAGGTCTGGCAGAACCTAACGCTATAGTGGAAGCTGTTGCTTGTTTACAAGGTTGCCAACAGCTAGGTATGCCTGAATGTGACGTTTTACTTGTGCAGTGTGCCGTGAGATTGGCAAGAGCACCGAAGAGCAGAGAAGTATATCGCGCCATGAGACAGTGCCAGAAATATTTAGCACAAGCTAAGGGACCTCTTCCACCTGTGCCATTACACTTGCGGAATGCTCCCACAAAACTAATGAAACAATTAGGTACAAATCTTCTGAATTCTTTTTATTTGTTCACTCACATTATTTACATACATGTATAATGAATTTAATTCTCTTAGTTTCATATGCTATTATCCTAACTATTTTACTTCTAACTGCACCAGACATTTATACTTAAAAATGTGAAAGTGAGTTTGTTTGTTACGCTTTCACGCCTAAACCACTAAACTGATTTTAAAAATTCTTACACAAATATGGATTCCTTTTTAAGCTTCTTTACACCATGTGTGTCTTAGTTAAGACGCATGTAATCTCTTTATTGCCCACTTAATTTTATATCCTAATGGAAATTTTCTTCAATTTATAGTATGTTGGTAAAATTATTATACTTATACTTGACTGCACGGATGGCGTAGTGGTTTAAGCGGTCGCCACGCCGCTACTTCTACGAGGAGTGTTGTGGGTTCGATCCCCACATGGGACGATACTTTGTGTGATCCACAAATTGTTGTTCTGAGTCTGAGTGTTCTTTGTGTCCGTTTCATGTATGTTTATAAAGTCCCTGCGTCACAGAATATATTCCTAATGTCTTAAACAAAAACTATACTCTCTTTACTTCTCTTCTCTCCGAATCACTTTTCAGTGTGTATTACCCCAGAAAAATAATGTCGAAAATGGCCATCTGAATGTTATAGATAATTAGTTCCCATCTTCTGTAATTGTTAGGCACATTTTTTAATTAGTTTCACTTGTTATTTAATATTTTGCTGGGGTAAAACGCACACCACTTTCAAGATTGACTTGTATGAAATATTTGTTTATTACTTCCATAGTTTGTCAATAACGTGAAGATATGATATGGAACTGTTTTATTGCTACCTATCTTGGAAGAATAACACAATAAATTTTCTCTGGTCCTATCGATGAATTAAGGATTGTTGTTTGATGATTAAGGTTGACACGAAACCAATCCCTTTAACCATTACAAAATTTTCACAGGTTATGCCAGTGGTTATAACTTATTACATAAAGACGAGTCTGGATTGGAATATATGCCTGAAGGAATGGAAGATTGTAATTTTTTTCAAGATGTTTAAAGCTTCTAAATAAAAAGCTAAAATCCTAGAGTCAATGTTTTATTTATTTGGGATAATCTCATTTCACAATTTGTATGACATGGTAAAAATTTACTATTTACAAGACGTACACATAAACGTATGTAATATTACAAATTTACCTATAACATTGTACCTTTCGTAACATTGACGGCGTTTGCCACGCTTTTCGATCCTGATTTTACAAAAATAAAATAACATTATTTCTTACTTTACAACATTTACTACTGCACATTGTGCAAAATTTACATTACTTCTGATGCAGGTGTTGATCTGCTGTATTTAAGTTTTATCTTTTAAATAACCATACAAAGTAAACCTATTAACTATTACATAAGGGTTTAGTAGACTGCATTGTTCAAAATATGAACAGTAAGCCTCACTTTTATATACAGATCACTTGAAGTTTTAATTGCATACTACGTCTTTCTCAGTAGGTGACAACATACTTGGAAGCATCTTTATTATCCACAATCAAAAGCAAAAAAATTCCATACACTAAAAGATGTTAAAAGGTGAATAAATCATTTTCATGATTTAGTTATATAATACATATTTCTAAGAATTGTTTGTAGAGATTTTGCAATCAGCTACTTAAAAGTAAATCAATAAGATGAAAATAGATTGCAAATCTATACAAGAAAATTCCTAAACTGTAAACACTAATCTTAGCCTACAACTAATTATGCTATAAGAGAACGTTGTAACTAAATAATAATAAATTAGAATCAGACTTCTAATTTGGATCCTAATGTTGACAGGAACAATATTCCGTTTGGGTCCAAATGTAATTTTTTTATCAATACTAGTCACTGAACATTTTTGTCACAAATTCATAAAACTAATTCCATGTGAAAACAACATATGAAATGGAACGTTTTTGGATTTAACAAAAAGTTTTATTATAAAATATACTATAGCTAATGCTAATTATTGACCTTAGAAGATATATTCCGGACCGGCCATATCAATCGCCCAGCGGAATTTATCGCGTTGAGTTTTGTTGTAGATTTTTTCAATAGGTACACCATGTTTCTTGCACCTGTAATAGATAAATAGTAAAATATTAATGATCTTAATCATTAATTGTTATAAATATAGTTAAATAGTCAATTTTGAACGTACCAAGCGACTGATATACGTGGATCAAGATAATTCAGTTTAGAAGTACCAAGGGCAATAGTTTTATTTTCATCACGATCTGTCTCTTGTAATTCTAGCTTCTTCAGTTGCTCTTTCAGACGTTCAAGGGCCTTCTTTTTCTTATCACAATTAAGTTTTTCTTTGACTGAGCCGCGTTTTGCAGCTTTTGATGCTTGTCGTAAATCCTCTTCTGCCTCATCAACTTGATCACGTTTTGCCTGTATTTTTTCTTTCAAAGCCTCCATAGACTTGGAATGACCTTAAAAGATACATATAAACTTTGGTTAATAACATAAAAAGTCTGGGGGAAATTATAATAAACATATAATTATTTTTTTACCTTTGGGAACAGCACGCTGATGGTTACAAAGTACAGCAACTGCACGATTTGCTCGATTGTAGGCTAGAATTTTTTCGGGAACTGAAGCATCTGGATCTGTGAGTTCATCTAATTGTCTTTGAAGAGTAATAGAGGCGTTGTAGGTACGGAATACTTTAGCTGTCAATCCTGGCATCAAATCCTTTAAATGTTCATTAAGTGTTTGAGTGTTAAGTCTGTCAAATAGATCATCACTGTCTTTTTTATTTTCCATAAACAATTCTAGATTCTTAAAGACACGCTTTTCAACTGGTACTTCATTGTAATATCTGATAGAATCTTTACCAAGAAAATCAAATACAACCACATATTCCTTGCCATCTTTTTCTTTGTGCAATGCTATATGTTCAACACGCAATGAACAACAACCTACTGTATCCGCTTGATCATCATCTTTCTCATTACCTGCTCTTAGGGCAAGACGATCAATGAAATACAGAGCAACGGCACGTTGACGAACTCTCATTTCTTTAGCTTTCCAATCAGCACGATAATTTTCCCTAATTTTATCTATGCATTTGTGAAGTTTTCGAGCTGTCTCATATTTCTGCCAATCTTTTTCACCTTTGAGTTTAGAACTAGGATTCAACATGACATACTTGGCTTGTCCTTGAACATTTTCTGTCCATGATGCCAACCATGTTACAGTATTGTCATGTCTAACTTCTTTCCATTTGTGTCCAGATGGCGGTTTAGGGATCTTACTGTCCTTAGAACAATTAATAAGCACATCTTCAGGCATGACACGTCTTTTCAACATACCCATTTTTGGATGTTCACCACGACCTCTAAAAAGACCCGGTGGTTCTATTCTAAAGTTGCCTATCTTTTCCTTATGACCATCAATAGTGCAAAAACCATATTCCTTTTGAATTTCCTCATTTTTAGCTTTCAAGGCCGCCTTTTCTTCTTTTGTTCGATTCCTATTTTTCTCAGATTGATTTAAGAAGAAAGCATGCATTTCTTTAAAATTGCACTTTGAGAGATCTTTTATGATTTTAGTTTCTTCATGCGTCATTACTTTACGCCAATCAGTAAAAAAGTTATTGTTAAATGTGGACTTAGTCGTATAATCATGATCCAACATACGAGCATAAAATCCGGCAACCTCTTCAGAATCTTGGGACAACCTCATTTCTTTACCATCATAAAAAAATCGAACATTATTTGGTAAAGGTTCATAAGGTGGTGCAAATACCGGCCCTTTATGTTCCAAGAATGTCCATTTTGTACCATCATCCTTTTTTTCTTCTTCCCACCTATAGAAACAAAAACAATCCAAATTATACTATTTATAGAATGAAACAAAATAACATATAATCATTCGAATTAAATACGAACACACTTTGGTCGGCGATAACGTAACTGTCTATTAATTATATTTAGAGCACTCGTTTCATAACACGATTTTATACACAATATTTTAGTGGACAGTCTTCGAAACATTTTAATAACCTAACCTTCAAACTTATGTCACATTGTTACGCACAGCGCCACCTAGCGGTTTACTAGGGAACTTGTCATTGTAACAACTTAAAACTATGTGAACAAATGTCACAGTTTAATGACCTGAGCATAACTTAGCTTATCATTTCTACACAAAATTAGTAGTTTGTACCATTTCCAAACTTCTTGATCATCTTCTGTTTTTTTCTTGCGTTTTGTTGGACTTGCACCTTCATCAGGCTCCGACTTAGTCTTGGTTGGTTTAGTTTTTACAGCTTTGGCCTTCTTTTTGGGTTTTTCTTCTTCTTCCTCTTCATCATCATAATAAGTAGGCTCTAATAATAAATAATAAAAATATGTAAAATGCTTTTCATCATAATAACACATAAAAATTTATAGAATTTCTTGAAATTATCAAATACACAAGAACTTTCTGAAACATCCATACCTTTTTTAACTTTCTTCTTTGATTTCTTACGCTGTAGTAATGGAATATCTTCTTCACTCTCACTAGGTGCTCTGCGCTTAACACCTGTGCGCTCAGACTGTGCAAAACAAAACATATAGCTATTATATTCTCATTTATATGAAAACGAAATTTTAAAATGATCATAAAATATACCTGTGAATCCTCTTCACTGTCTTCTTCCGGAGGAAGTTCTGAGAGTGGTTCATCTTTAAATTGGGACAGTGAATAGTCACATGAAGAAGCTGTTGTGTTAAGTCCAGTAAAATCATTGCTTTCATCCTGAAGTTCTTGCTTCACATCTTCATCAATCTACACAAACCAATTACTTTACTAAAAACATCATTATCAAAAGCAGAAAGTGTTTTTCTATGTCAAACACTATTTAAACTACCAACCTGCATGGGTTCATCTTTAACAGGAGAATCTTGATAATCTGATTCAGACTTAATCTTGTCCTGTTTTCCACTCTTCTCTTTGCTTTTGCTAGAGCTATCAAAAATCACAAATCAATCATTTTTACCTCAACCAAAGCATCTTTATATACTTTTAGTTTCATACTTATGATCATCTACCAGAAAATATGGAACTTACTTGAGTAATACATTATTACTAATTTTAAGACCTACTGCCATGATAAATTTTAAGGAATATTATCAATCACAATAATTTACATAAAGCTTTAATTACTAAATCTTTTACAAGAAATATGAAATAAATATCACAATTTTGACAAAATGACTGACATATGTCACTATTGACCCAACAAGTTACCTGATGATACTGATAATAATGAATATTATACCTGTGTTTATCTTTGTCACTGCGGTGTTTCTCTTTGTCACTACGATGTTTATCACTTTTATGTCTGTCTTTTTCACATTCTCTATCCTTATCCTTTGACTTGTGATCCTTGGAGGAACTTTTATGATCCCTCTCTTTTTCCTTAGATGATGATGATGATGACTTCTTGTCATCGCTGCTACTCTTGTGCTTATCTCTGTCAGTCCTATCTTTATCTTTATGCTTGTCCCTGTCACTACGGTGCTTGTCCTTGTCACGATCCTTGTCTTTGCTGCTTTGCTCACGATCACGGTCTTTATCACTCCGCTCCTTATCCTTGCTAGATGACTTATGTGAACTGCTGTGATTTTTACTGCTTGAATGCTTGTCTTTTTCTTTATCTCTATAAATTAAACTCATAGATAAAACACATCACCAGCAAAAGAGAAAAACACAGAACGTTCTAGAAAAACTAACCTGCTGTGCTTGGAGGAGCTCTTACTGTCTCTTTCTTTGTCGCGGTGTTTATCCTTACTTGATGACTTGTGACTTGACTTATGCTTTTCAGAACTACTGTATCCGTTGTGAACGCCGTTCACGTGTTCATTTCTATTGCCATTTACCTTTCCCTGTGAACAATATATTTATCCGACATTTATACACTGTTGTAAATTACATAAATTTTCATTACTAGATAAAATTTAAAATCTTTACACTAAAAAACAACGTAATGTGCATCATCCAATATTTAAAAAGTAACAAGACCGACGCTTAGGGCTCGGTCTGTCTGAACACTGTAGTAGACGCCATATTGGGACTTAGAAAATTTTCGCTTCGTGGAGCCTTCTGTTCATCAGTAAACAGAGAAATTTCTATTTCCACGACACATAAATGAAGGATAAAAGGATAGAGCACGAAATATCCAATTGATTTAGTCACTTACTGATTCACAATCATTATCGTTGGCTGGATTTTCGACACTCATTTTGCCTACGTATTACCAGCGTTGGTTAGTACAGTGAGATTACATGAGGCCGGTCAGCGAACGCAAATTCTAAGTGCCGAGAAGTGACGAATGCGCATGCGCCGTTCCATTCGAGATTGTCTGCAACTTCAGGTGAATTGGTTCAATGTTCTTATACGTACGAAGTTCATGATGGTTTTAAATATTGCAAATAAATTATTAATAATATAGTTGTAGTTGATAATATTTATCGGTATACTCGACAAACAGTATGGTTATAGTAAAATTATAATTTTACATACTGCAATTTTAACACTATCAAACCTAAAATCACCAATATTTTACCATTGTGAATATGTTGCCAATGAACTAGTATTTAATGGTTATCGAAGTTAGGGTAGCGAAAAAAATAATAAAATGTAATATCTTTCAAGAGGTCACTGCCGGAATAAAAACTTAAGACGGATCCATATAAATCATAACTAAGGACAGATCCTGAATTTCCAAGACAACCATCAGCAACCTTTTTATTGGAAAAAGAAACCGTATGCTAAAATTAATGTTAAAATATTATGTAATATTTTAATGTGTTCTATGACCCATTTTGCTATTATTCGTTTGGTCTGTCCAAAGTTTTAATAGAAGTTAGTTGGCACCTGATGTCTGTTGAGGAACAACATGTATTCTTAAAGACTGACATCTTTATATACTATATGGCTTTATACTGTCCAATGAAGTACTCCTTTAATACTGTTTCTACAGTGTCCCTAACTTTTTTAACATTAAATATGGTTTCGGTTTCCTTTTTAGAGGTCGTGTCGTAAGCTCTCTCGGTATCCTTTGCATTTTCATCATCATCATCAACATCCTTTAATGGTCTACTGCTGGACGGGTTGCTATAGGGTTTGTGTGAAGTTTTTAGGACCGTAACTCTCGAGTCAGACCACCTAATGTACTTCCGCGAGGGAGATTCCAAGATAGCGTTGGATTTTTGGTAAATAAGTCCTTTTCTAACAACTTTGTGAAAATGTCCAGTGTATCGAACAGGGTAGCATACCTCATTGTCAAGCTCACCGAAAACTATAACCTCAAGGTCTTGCAAGTTTACGCAGCGACCTCGGCACACTCGGACGATGAGGTGGAGAGTATGTCCGATGACATATCGATCTTCAAAGCCGGCAGTCATTTCGGAAGTGGAAAGCTTTTATGGTCGTATACGCTTCGCATGCATCTCAACTTGATCCCGAAAATGAGGACTTTAGAGCCGCATTGAATGATGAAATCGAGATGGCTCTTAAACAGCTGAAAATTATAAAAGCCCCTGGGGAGGATGGCGTTACAACAGAGCTGCTGCAGGCTGAACCCGTACAAAGGGAGCTCCAAAAGCTTTTAACGCGGTCCTGTTTGAAGGGAGAACACCGGAGGCGTGGAGTAAGAGTGTGGACTTCCTGTTCTTCAAAAAGAGTGACAAGACCATGTTGAAAAACTATCAACCAATTTCACTACAAGCTGTTTTCAAGAGTCATCATGAACCGTCTTGCGCGAAGACTCGACGAATTCCAACTACCGGATAAAGGTAGGTTTCGGAGCTGATATCATACAATAGACCACATCCACACAGTACGGCAGATTATACGGAAGAGTATAATCAGTCCCTGTGTCTAGCATTCGTGGAATATGATTAATCCTTTGATTCAATCGATGCGAAGCTGCTCGAGAGCGGTATCCACCAGTACAGAGAACCTCTCCCACCCCCATGCCTGACCCGTGGCATCGACGCGTCACAGATGGCGTTCATGATACCACGGAACTATGCAGCCCGCCCTTTTGAATCGGACAAGACCTGTACTTTCTCTTCCTCTGGCCATTCCGCGATGATAGCTGCGGCAACGAGCATATCTCGGTTCATCCGCATGAGGGCCTATCATCGCGGAGGGCAACTCTACATTTGCACAGGCGCGGTCTCCACTCAAGAACTTATTTTAACCCAACGGTTGGCGGTTGTGTGGCTAATATGATCAGCCCTCTGCCACTTCGCGTTGCTAATCCGGTGGGCAATGTCGATGACCTTGGTTCTCTGCCGGATCATCCCATTCCTGATGCGTTCCCTTAGAGAAACGCCGAGAATAGATCTTTCCATAGCACGCTGAGTGACTTAAAGCTTGGGGACCAGCTGTACTGTAAGTGTCCACGTTTCGGCTCCGTATGTCATGACGGGTAGGACGCACTCATTGAAGACTTTTGTCTTTAGGTACTGTGGGATCGACGATGAGAGGACTCGACGTAGCTTCACAAACGCTGCCCAACCTAACTGAATTCTTCTATTCAGCCTCGTCCTCAAAATTGTTTCTACCTAACTGCAATGTCTGTCCAAGGTACACATGTTTTTTACCGGCACCGTGTGGTTTGGGCCGATAGGCGGGGGAACCCCGGGGGACCTGAAATGACATGGTCCGGGTCCTCCCCAGAGCAGGGCGCCTGAGAACGGCTGTCGGGGTGTTTTTTAGTGGATTCATTACATACTCCTGGCTCCTGCGTCCCCTAGGAGCCGGAGATCCGAAGGAATTCTCCACCCCGTCAAGAAACAAAAAAAGGCGAACGTAGTGTAGGACGCCCATAGTAGACGTGTAGTAGATTCAATGTGCCCCGGGCAAAACGGTATATTGTATAATAATAATAATTTAGCAATTAAAGTTAGGTATAATCGCAACCAATTCTCTCGAACTTCAATTGCCAATAATTTTATGTTACTTTTTTCGTAAGTGACTAATTACTTACTTGTTCCTTTTTTATTATATCTTGCTAGTTCAGTCTGAATTGTCGGAAGACATTAATGTAAATGTTAATAGAATCATCTGCATAGTTCTCGTAGCTCTCATAGTTCGAATATAGCTCATTTAAGGTAAGTTGACCCGCCTGCTCGTTGCCAACTATGTAATAAAACAAAGGAAGATGTAAGAAAGAAGGAACTTCACTCTTCGTTTCTCACTCAATCGGTCCTTTTCTGAAAATCAGGATAGCACCTAGCCTTTCGTTCAGGACAAATGTTCAAGCTTATGTTTCGAATACCCTAGCAAATTCATAAAAACTAACTTTTTTTTTAAATCTAGTGCACCAAGTCTCTCATTTCTGCACTAGAATGGTAGAAATTGCCTAAAGCATTAAGCGCGCCATTTTAGAATTTTATTTTTATTCATAATGAAAAAGTCAATATGCTTTACGAACAAAATGAAGCATTTAAAATGTAAAAAAACAATGTCTGCTCGTATTGTCTGTCCGTTTGAGTGCATTGTTCGGTCCGAAGCATCCCGTAACTGGAGATACTCGTAGCATGTCGTTAAAGTACCTAGTTAGTTTATAATCTTGTCTATTTTATTTAAGGGGCATTATGATATTAGTGGTTTAAGCGACGCCACGCCATTTCCTACTACGCTGTGTTCTCTTGTGGGGATCGAACCCATCACACAATGGACGACACTTTGTGTGATCTATAAGGTACCCATGGAAAAAAAAAAAATCCAGCTCTTTTTTTTTTTCAAAGTTACATTAACTTTTTTGAAAAATGTTGTAATTTGATACCCTACACCCTATGATTAGATACTGTGGTTACAAATGTGAACATATCCCCACATTTTTTTTATATTAGCTACCTAAGTAACATAACTTTTAATTGCAGTTCCAAATAGGACCTATACATTCGTAGTTTTTAATATAAAAATAAAATAAACATCTTTTTTCTTGAAATTTTTGAATATTTTAACTTTTTATCAACTTTGACATGCTACTGTGTAAAAAAAAATGTATGAAATGTACTACGGCATGTTATTGTAGGGATGAGGAAAACGTGGCGAAGAAAGTTTTAGGTATGGGAGTTGAAGGGTACAAGAGAAGAGGCAGACCGAAGAAAATGTGAATGAACTGTGATTTATCATTTGATTTTTTCGAACGTAGGTTAGGGTTGCTACTTACTCACGAGTTTTGATTTTCGAAGCCTTCAAGAACAAACCGTATCGTGTTTCGCCTCACACCTATGATTGGGCCGGGTCTAACAGAGATATCTGTAGGTGAGGAATCTAATCTCTGAATGGAGGTAATTTAATATCACATGATTTATCTGAAGCCTTAGTGGTACTCTGCAATGTTGACATTTGTTGTTTTCATTTAGTAGACATTTCCTTAAGTTCTATTTTGTAATCGAAATATACTTCTTCAGTAGTCTGATATAGGTTCGTAGAATAATACTTAGATGCGACATATGCGGTTTCCACAACCTCTTGCAGGATCTTATAATGTGAATCATTAAATAATTTCCATTGCTTTTCTAAACTCTTCAACCTTACTTCGACGTAATTTTGTGTAATTCTCTCCTTTGGAGAATTTTTAAAGTTAGAACGTGCTCGGGCAATAGCCGCACTTGTGTCCAATTGAATTCTTTCGAATGCTTGCATTTTGTACAAACCACTAGTAGTAACACTTCGAATCCTTTCGAAACCTTTAGACAGCGAATAACAAAGGCAAATCTAAAACAAAAATTAAAAACACATTTCGTGAACAGTCTGTAGATTCCCTGTGCTAAACCTGTTTCACTTAGTGTGTTCGGGAATGTAAATATTATGTTTTTGTATTCTACCCTAAACTTAATACTATTAAGTAATGTTACTATTGTAATTGAATGGAGAAACAGAATGACTGAAACTATGTAAAACTCCTGCCTCGACAGAATTTTAGCTACAATTGTATATGTAGTAAACTTTTAACAATTGTCTACCAATTTAGGTATGCAGTTATGCCTTTTTTTTAGAACAATAACTGCCTACTGACAAAATTTGAATTTTTAAGTGTTTCATATGTACATTTTCTGTTTTAGTGTCGATGATATGCTCTTCTTAATTGAAAAGTGGGCCCACCGCGCAATTCATTATGGCATGGTTGGAACTATTATACCTAGAGGGGCAGAGGGTTTAAACCCATTGGGTTAAAATGGGTTTAAATCGGGTTTTTACTATTTACACCATAAAATATACTAATAACAACTTTTTTGGTTTTGTCGATCACGTTATCGAAACATAAATGTGACAATTATTGCTTTTCTAATAGATCACGTCGTTACTAATAGAAGTTTTCAGTTTGGAAGGATTTCACCAGTTTTGAATTTTTTTAAGATCTTAGAATGATTGGACGCATCCATGGCCTTAAGGTAAGGACCTTACTGTTCAACCTATTTTAAGAAACGAGGAGAATACATGTTAATTAATGTAAGTGCTTGTTTCTTTTGTTGCCGCCTAAATGAACTGTATCGTCTATGCACCGAATAGATTTTTTAGAAAGATTTATATGTAAAGAGATTATTCCTATTTTTATCAAAATCCTGTTCTGATGATAGGTTTAATTAAATATATTCCCTTGTTGTTGCTATACATCTAGATCAGGGATTCCCAAACTATTTTGGACAAGTGACCCGTTTTCTAAAATGAACTGATAGCCTAGACCCCCATAGCTAAGTTACTGCACGCTTATCGACTTGTTGAGTTTTTTAAAAGTACAACAATGATATTTCCTACTAATATATTAGTCATTCTTATAACATGTTGGTATACGTAACACAACTAAAACGGTATCTTGGCAGTTTCAAATAAGAACTTGTCGTTTTTGAGACCTCGTCGACCCCCAAAATCAGTTTTCGTTTATGTCGACCCCTGGGAAACCGATTTCGACCCCAAGGGGTCGATGGCGACCACTTTAGGAAACTCTGATCTAGATGATGCGTGCGACCTCACCTTAATTAATTAGTTATTAATTCATCTGTATTTTTTTTGTATGTTTGTGATGCGATATCAATGCGAATTGTAGACCTCTAGTCTAGTCCGTCTCTAACTTTATAGGTATTTGTGTTTAGGAGTCGTTATGTCATGTTGCTCAACTGATGATGGAAGGATCCTTGACCTTTAGGAAAATAACTATTTCAAAAATCTTGTGAACTTATTGTGCTAATGTAAAGCTGACATAGACCAGTATCACTTAATATTACTTATCGTGTCGCACTGACTTCAAACAGACTAGAAGGGACTATTGCTATTATAATGTTACCACCTGTTATATTGAGGGTAAGTACTTATTATCGATATTTTACTTAGATTTGTATTTTATTTTTATTTTTAGTGCTCTGTCAGTATTGTGTGAAGTCAGTCCAACCTTTTTTTTAAAGGGATTTATTTATTTCCAATTATATGAAATAAAAGTTAATTTAGCAGGTCTTTCTGCAGTAAGACTATTCCGTTTTACATTATGTATGTGAGCTTGTGCGCTAAATGTGCGTTCTGTGGCTGTAGATTACATGTTGCCATCGGAGGTCTCAATGTCACTTTACTTAATTTTGTAGAACTGCATATATCTTGTCACCACACAACTGGTCCAATTTCCCCCAAGCAAAGCTACACAAATTGTTTGCTCCAGAAGTATACTTTTGATAAGAATTAAACAAATAGATAAGAGTAGTTATTCAGTATTAGTCAGGTAGTTATAACCCGGCAATCTCGTGCGCGACCGTCCCGCGGGGTGACATACAGTGGCGGGGGCGAGGTAGCGCGTCATTCTAGCACACGGGTACACACGAAGAGAAGTGTTTCCCTTCCCCGCTACACCACCCGCTACCCGCTGACATCTTGAGTACCTCGTCCCCGCCACTGTCTGTCACCCCGCAGGACGGTCGCGCACGACGTTGATGGACTATAGTAGTTCATTCATTGATTTTAACTATTACAACAGTAAAATCAATAAACACCCTAATAAAAACTCTGTGGGAGGGAAGAAATGGGCTTATATTGGTTTAAACCCATTTATAGCTGGAATAGAGTCCTAAAACTCATTCTGTAAAGTGTTAGAAGTTGGTCTTGAATAGCTCATTTCTTAAATACATTTGTTCGTTCGTAAAATAACGTTCGACTGCAGAAGCACGGAGGGCGTAGCGGTTTAAGCGGTCACCTCACTACTTCCTACTTAGCCGAGTGCTTTCGATCGATCCTCATACGGAATAACACTGTGTGATCCACAAATTGTTGTTCTGAGTCTGAGTGTCCTTTGAGTCCGTTTTTTTGTATTTGGCAAGTCTCCGCGACACGGGATATATTCCAAGTGCGGGAGTTGTGTTTTTTCAAAGAATAAGACTAACTGAATATAACTGATAGTAAAATATAATTTTTTTAGAAGACTTTTTATTATTTTATCAAAATACTATGCTAAGCATTAAAAATTACATAATTATTATCCATTTTATCATTTCAGTGACAATATTTAAATAGATAGACAGATATTGAAATGCCATAATGACAACAATTTCAATATTATTAAGCTAATTATAATTGATTTACTTAAATTATATCTGGTTTCTGAAATGGTGATCAAAATATGGTTCAACTAACAGAGCTGTCAAATGAACAACTGTGTCATATCAGTTAAAGATTGTGAAACATTGGTCAATGGGGGCCGACCCATACTTCACCTAGGATCTCAATATGTGGTCTGGAGCTCCAACTGATGATCAAGAAATAGAAGAAGTACAAATCAAGAAATGAAGATAAACAAATACATTATTTAGAATATAATAAGTAGGATTTAATTTAACGAATTTTTGCCCTAAAGAAATTTAATTTTGGTTGTCAAATTGTATTTCCGAATATAATCTAAAGAATTAGTATTTTTTGATATCACTATCTAGCAGTTTTTGGAAGTAAATAATTGTTTAGATCTTTTGAATCATATAAGTAAAACAATTTACATCACTGCATGGGAACCTATACAGTCCCCGTACTTCACCCAGTTGAAGAAGACAGGTGCAGCACGGTCCATCCCCCGTCAATGGAAAAATTACTAACAACATTATATAATCATTACTGTAACTGATTCAGTGATCAAACTAAAGTGCTTTCCGCAAGTCAATATACACTTGACATTAGATTTGCTAGACCTTTTGATCAGCCTTTTAGAAACCAAAAGTTAATGGAGAAGATTACAAAGTGCTAGCTAGCGTTATAATTAAAATGTCCTTATAAATAAATTATTTCCATGTTGCTCCCTTCCGAAAGTTTTTGATAGAAATAAATACAATAATGTGAGATGCGTAATTATGTTACATTTAACAATATCTAACATCAGTCTTGAATCAGTGACTTTAAGCTGTTTAACAATTGATGATCATCAATTCAACAATTAATATTGCTTATCATTTCAGTATTATGTAAAGTAATACCTTATACAGGTTACAACTGTGTTGTAATGCCTACAATCCAGTTATATAAATATATAGTCAAATAGTCTATTAAATTTATAAGCTAATGATAATTGATAGAATATAAATATTCCTACAATTTTGAGGACTTACTATTGTACATATAATATATTGTTTAATTGTATTATCTAGGTGCAATTTTTAGTCATCACATTACTGTTTTATTATTACTATTTGTCATTTATTGATTGACCTTTTTCTTTTGTTTGAGTTTTGAACACAGGTTTTCCATTTGAGTCCCATGAGGTAGGTGCAAGTTTTTTAAATCCAAACGCCATGTAAACAGCTAAAACAGTAAAATAAATACAGATTAGTAATAATAATAAATTGTAATTATTTCTAAAGAGGCTGTAGAAGAATGCTTCCAACAACAGTACTTGCATACTAGCATGCCTCGATATATATTGGCCTTGAGTAAAAATCAAACCAGAGCATTCTCAGGTGAACTGAAGTATGCTCGGGTTGCTCCAACCGTGTGCTAAGCACGCTTGCCTCCCAATGTGGGTACCTTGAATTGTGGTGAGGCAAATGCTACATATGAGGTGTCTGCGAAAAAAAGTGCTTTTTCTTCCCTATTTTTTAGCGTTTGCGTTCTGCGTAGTTTGCAGCACACACCATCGTGGAGCGTTTGTCGTCAAATGCTGGTTCGCCCTGTGGTAGTACATGCTTCCACACTGCGCAGAGTAAACATTCACTGCACTGCCTTGCAATGTCTGTATTCACCTTAAGCTATACTATAGGGTAACACATCAGTCTATTAAGGTTAAAATTTATTAAATAAAGATCTATATTATATAATTGTGTGGGATACTTACTTGCAACTTCCCATTCACCAATGCTCATTGTGCCAATTTGATCTCTCTCCATTTTATTTTCTCTATTTTTCCAAAATTCTTTAGCATGTTCATATTCAGATTCATCAGCTAGAAGTTCTTTACCAGGAGGTGGAGGGTAACTTTCAAAGCATCTAATTTTCTGTAGTAAATGTCTATACCGCTCGGAGTGATCTTTGAAGAAGTCTGCAAATCGTGCTTTATACACTAATTCTAAACCAAAATCTGATGCAAGCATAGTAAACAATTTAAAGTTAACTAAAAATTCAGGACAATCCACTACCCCTTCAAGATGAAAATCATATTTGCCTCCAAATAATGGGTAACCTTTCTCCACATCAAATAGTAACTTTATATTGTAAATTCTGTTTCCAAATGAGCCATCAGGTGACTTTTTTGCCCGTGACACTATCTCATTGGCATCAGGAATAGTGCCAAAAAAATAGCCACCTGGCTTTAGGCACTCAGATATGTTAGTGAGCATTCTTCTAGCTTGAGTTAAGCTTTCGAAGCTGTAATGTAAACCAAACTGGCAGCTTACTATATCAAAACTAATGGAAGGATCTCTATACTTATCTCTCAATGTTTGTTTACTACAATCGGCTGCTATAAATTCAGCAGAGTAAAGGCGACCGCACCGAGAACGGAGGTCTTCATATCGGTTTTGACACTGCTGAACTGATACTTCTGCAATATCAGCAAAAACAACATGTTCTACTCTGGCTTTCTGCCATTTACTCAAATCACCACCCTTACCACAGCATATATCCAGTACTCGTAATGATCTGCCATAATCCTTTTCTCGGATTTTGTCAGTATACTCTTGTATGAGTACACTTTTAACCCAATTATTAAAGTTGCGGAGATAAAATATGGGAGAATTAAACCTTTCTCTCAGTCCTTTTTCTTCTAGATGATTATAGTGCGCTGCTACAACAGAGCTGTGTTCTTCAGTATTTTTTCGTTTACGAGGGGGTTCTTCGTCGTCATCAGTAGCATGATGTCTTATTAAATTACCATTTTGACTTTCATTGTTTAAAGTCTTTTCGATATCGTCTGCTGCTTTTTGATCTTGATAATGTGCTGACATTTTTGTATGTTTTAGTTATTATTATCTTATTCAAACATTGCCTTTAGCATATGCGTATATCTTGAACAATTACAATTTCGAATAACACTGACAACAGTGACAACACTGACAACGTCACGTCACGTTCTTCACTTTTTCTTGACAGGGAGAGAATGAATGTAATTATCGGTATTGGAATGAATGAAACTGATGTAGGCGTCGTTCCGCAGTGTTGCCAACTCTTCAAAATATTTACTCTTAGCCATAGTAAAAATTGCCATAATTGATTGAAAATTCCCTTACAATAAAAAGCAGCAAATAAAAAAAACTAAATATGTATATTATATTTATTTATTTATGCCTTTATTGTATACACTTTAATAGAAAATAACAAAAGATGAGTTACAAATAAGTAGAAGTAACATTCGGCGGTCTTATCGCTCACAGCGATCTCTTCCAGACAACCTTAACATGGATTTTAGGTGTTTAACAGTTTAGGGTAGTATTGAGATGTATGGGGGCTCGGTTAAATAAAAAGAACTGTTAACGTTAGCTGCCACAATTATAATAATACAAAACTTAAAGAAATACATAGTGCAATTCCAAAACACAACATAAGCAATAATTTGAGACAGTTGAGACATCGTTGTAAAGGAGTGTACTTACTGAATAATATAAAGGAACTTACATACACTACAGTATACATAAACGTTACACATTATCACGTGAATATTTAAAAATATTAGACATAAACAAACACATTCATCCACAAATATACATCTGTGGACATTACCCATATACAAATACACATACATACATACACACATACTCATACATATTTGGAATATATAATATATTAAATAGTGAATCGAAAGAATATTTATAATGACAGATAAAAATCCTTTCATAATTTTTAAAAAACATGCAGAGTTTTAGCTTGTCGGATTGTTTCGGGCAAGTTGTTCCAGAGTCTTACTGCTTTGAAAGATTTGTGTGCCAACTGGGTGGAATGTTTTGGCATTTTTAGTTTTAAATTCTCCGATGACCTCAGGTCCCTGCAAGGCGCGGTTTTTTTTTTTTTTTTTTTTTTTAATTGGGACTAATCCCACCCACACGCCCACCACTGTAACACCTGTACACCAGGATCCACAGCAGTGACCCACGAACACACCGATTTATGACACTCGGGAAGTCCCAGGAAGAAATTAAACTGACTTGGAACCCGCAACGAAAATAATCAGAAGAAAATTGGAGGAGTTGGAAATACAGTAAATCCACTTCCCTCCTTAGCAAAGCGGGAGACAAAATGAAGTAAAATAGGCATACACCCTTTTAAACAGGGAAGCACCACGGCCACAAAATATTACGGGTCCTACATGAGCTATATTTGATTTCTATAATATGTATGGCAGAATCGCCTAAACGCACAGAAATTCACCCTAGTTGACACAAGAGCCCCATAGTATACCGCCCCAGATGTCACCTGCAAGCTATTCAGCATTATATTACGTTCATTATACCAAAGACTACATTCCCAGAGGATATGATGAGCAGACTGTTCATAGTGAGAGTTAGGTGTTGAGCATTGACACAATGGTGACTCGACTAATTTAAATGAATAAAGCTTGCTCTTAAAGTTACCATGACCCGTAAGAAATTGAGCGACACAGTGATCCACCTCAAGCCATATCCTCGACAACCGTTCGCGAACAGATGGAAAGAATTGGTAAAGATGGCGCCCCTTGGATGATTCATCCCAGCGTTGTTGCCATTCGTCTATGAGGTCGTTATAGACATCGGGCTGCTGTTGAAGCAATCTTGTAATTTTACCGCGATCCCGCGCGCCCAAGAAATCGCATTCCATGTTTTGTCTTGAATAGTACATGGCTGCACGTCTCTGCACCTCGAGATCGACCGGAAGGACACCTGCCAACACCGGCAAAGCCTCAGTGCTAACCGTCCTATATGCCTTGCACAAAAATATCAGTGCAAGTCGTTGGCCTTGTAACAGTTTGCGACGGACAGCGCCTACGGTCGCCCTATCGGCCCATACAGGTGCACCATAGCACATAGAACCTAAATAAGTAGCTCCGTATATGATCTTTAATGTATTAAATGATAGACCCCATGTCGCAGTTGATATCCTTGTCAATGCACAGAAACTCTTTTTAGACTTTTCATTAACTATTTTAATATGTTCGATAAATGAAAAGTTTCTTTCTAAAACTAACCCTAGATAACACACTGCGGTTTTATTTTTTACAGTAACATTGTCAAATCTAATGCTCGGCGGTGATTTGAGGTTACCTTTTAAAAGTAACTGGAAGGTTTTGTTGGGTGCAAAAGTTAAGCGATTACGTTCACCCCATTGAGATATCAAGTTCAAACATCTATTGGCTAATCTCTCAAGCCCCGCCCTAGTATCAGATTCCACCAGAAATAAGCCGTCATCAGCATACGCGTTCAGAGTACATCCGGATAGTATTGGTATCGCAAGAAAATCGTCGAAGCCGATATTCCACAAGTATGGACCTAGCACCGATCCCTGAGGACATCCCATTGTAAGCGCCTTCGACACAGAATGATGACCAAGTCTTAGTTTAGTTGTACCTTGTGAAAAGTACGAAGAGATAAGGGAATAAATATTTTTAAAGCACCCCCTTGATTTTAATTTCAGCAACAGCATGGGCCACCATGCGTTGTCGAAGGCGCCAGATATATCTAAGAAAATAGCCAGCACGTATTGAAATTTTGACCCTGTGACAAACTTTCTAATGATTCTATCTATTGATATTGATTGATATTCTCTGATCTAACGATTTACCCAACGTAAATTCAAATTGTCTATCATGAAATTTGACTCCACCAGGCAGAAGCCGGGGCACTACAAGACGTTCTAACAGCTTTCCTAACGATGGTAACAATGTTATTGGTCGGTAGGATTTAGGATCATCCGGTGGCTTGTCGCCACTTTTTGGTATTATACGAATATTACGGCAACGCCATATACGAGGAAATATTCCTTCAGCAATGCAACGTTTAAAGACAGTGAAAATCGTGTCACCCGAAAGTTTACAAGCTTCTTTTATCATTTTGTTAGATATTTTATTATCGCCCGAAGCCTTGTTTAGCGGCAAGGATCTAACGATACCGAGAAATTCGTCTGAAGATGGTAAATCAGACATTGGAGACAGTGGTGGTTCGATGGCCCACTGCCTGATCTGTCGGTGATGATCAGTGTCGTTCTCCGGCCGATCGTCAGGTACGAGTGAGTCTAAAAGATATTCTGCTGTTTGTTCTACTTCTGTGGTATATCTGTTATTAATTTTGATGTTCTGTATGTATGCAAGGTCAATTTATCTATTTGCCTTAAATTCGTGATACAAAGGTGACCACGGGCCCTCTCTATCGAGTTTATCAACAAGTTTCTGAATTAAGTTTCCCTTGGATTTTTCCACAGCAGCTCTGTAGTGGGACCTGGCAACTCTAAGAGCAATGAGAGCATTGTTGTACAAATCCCCTGTTACGTTATGTTTTTTAATAGTGTTTAATTTTCTACGAGCTTTCCGGTAGCTTCTACGTAGTTCGGCTAATCACATCTACGAGTGTTAGTGATAGATCCGCGACCAATAGTTACATCAGCGCAGTATGTAAAAGTTTCTGATAGTATTTCTGCGCTTTCCTCAGCTGATAAACTACTGCGACTGAAGTCTTTGGTATGAGTTGCAAAGAGTGAACCAAACAAAGCCCAGTTCGCACCTTTAGTTTTATATCTGAAATTATCGGGAGCCCTTTGTGGATCCTGTGCAACCCTTGGTATGAATTCGTACACGATCAAGCGGTGATCACTACAGGATGCGTCCGGAAGGACACGCCATCCGGATATCGAGACGTCGCCGCGCGTAAGCGTCACGTCAATAGAAGACTCACCCATTGGGTTGCAAAAAGTTGGTGGTGCATCGGGGGTATTGTGAATAATAAGATTCATTTCCGCAATGAAATCTTCAACCGCACAACGTCGAACCGTGTCGGTTGAACGCAACTTGCCATACCATAATGAAGATGATGCATTGACATCAGCGCCAATGATAATTTTATGTCCCACGAGGAACTGCAAGACGTAACGTAAGTGATGTAAGTGAGGATCAATAGGATGTGAATATTGAAAATAGCAGCTCACTACGTAAACCTTACAGGTAGAGGATGAGATCTCAGCAACGGCGCAGTGTGACGTCATAAGATTACGCAAAGATGTTACCGTAAAATTAGAACTTGCAACATATATCCCAGCCTGCGAACGGCAGTCAAGCTGTACTACATTACGACGCAAGCGAGCGCTCTGATATTGTTCTTGTAAAAGGACAATGTCTAACTTTTGTTCTAAAATTAAACGGTCTAATTCTGATGTAGCTATTTTATCGTTATCAAGATTTAACTGGCCTATCGAAATATTATTCATTACTAGTAAGTTACTCTTTAAACTTTTTTTTTTTTTTTTTTTTTTTTTTAACTAAGTTAAACTATTCAGTAATTGGTATTTAATATTAGCTGTTCCAGTTTTAATTTGTATGTGGCACAGTCGTATGAGCCGCATCGATGGTCAGATGGTTTTTTGAACCGCTTACACTGTGCGCACGTGGGCTTAAAATCTGGTGTGTCTTTATCTGGACAAGCTCGCGTTTCGTGTGCGGCGGCGCAATTAGCACAAGTAGGGGTTTTAATGGTGCAAAACTTTTGTACATGACCGAATTGCTGACAATTTAAGCAACGAACTACTTCTATATCGTCTATGAATCTACATGTGGCCCAGTCTATATAAACTTTATCTTTTGTGTTGGCTAGATGTTTCCGAACTGCTGCCTCTAATTCTAAGCCTATCCATTGACGCCCATTTTCTAGTTTACGATGCCTAACAATTTTGGTTGACTTAATAAAATCGTTCTCACTTAATTTTCATTCGTCCTTGATATTCTGACGGTATAAGGCTGTTAGGAAGGCACGATCTTCCATAGAACCGGGTA